GCCCTGCTTCCCCACTCACTCCGCCCTGCTTCCCCCCTCCCTCCGCCCTGCTTCCCCCCTCCCTCCGCCCTGCTTCCCCCCTCCCTCCGCCCTGCTTCCCCCCTCCCTCCGCCCTGCTTCCCCCCTCCCTCCGCCCTGCTTCCCCCCTCCCTCCGCCCTGCTTCCCCCCTCCCTCCGCCCTGCTTCCCCCCTCCCTCCGCCCTGCTTCCCCCCTCCCTCCGCCCTGCTTCCCCCCTCCCTCCGCCCTGCTTCCCCCCTCCCTCCGCCCTGCTTCCCCCCTCCCTCCGCCCTGCTTCCCCCCTCCCTATGCCCTGCTTCACCCCTCCCTCCGCCCTGCTTCCCCACTCACTCCGCCCTGCTTCCCCCCTCCCTCCGCCCTGCTTCCCCCCTCCCTATGCCCTGCTTCACCCCTCCCTCCGCCCTGCTTCCCCCCTCCCTCCGCCCTGCTTCCCCCCTCCCTCCGCCCTGCTTCCCCACTCACTCCGCCCTGCTTCCCCCCTCCCTCCGCCCTGCTTCCCCCCTCCCTCCGCCCTGCTTCCCCCCTCCCTCCGCCCTGCTTCCCCCCTCCCTATGCCCTGCTTCACCCCTCCCTCCGCCCTGCTTCCCCCCTCCCTCCGCCCTGCTTCCCCCCTCCCTCCGCCCTGCTTCCCCACTCACTCCGCCCTGCTTCCCCCCTCCCTCCGCCCTGCTTCCCCCCTCCCTCCGCCCTGCTTCCCCCCTCCCTCCGCCCTGCTTCCCCCCTCCCTCCGCCCTGCTTCCCCCCTCCCTCCGCCCTGCTTCCCCCCTCCCTCCGCCCTGCTTCCCCCCTCCCTCCGCCCTGCTTCCCCCCTCCCTCCGCCCTGCTTCCCCCCTCCCTATGCCCTGCTTCACCCCTCCCTCCGCCCTGCTTCCCCCCTCCCTCCGCCCTGCTTCCCCCCTCCCTCCGCCCTGCTTCCCCCCTCCCTCCGCCCTGCTTCCCCCCTCCCTCCGCCCTGCTTCCCCCCTCCCTATGCCCTGCTTCACCCCTCCCTCCGCCCTGCTTCCCCACTCACTCCGCCCTGCTTCCCCCCTCCCTCCGCCCTGCTTCCCCCCTCCCTATGCCCTGCTTCACCCCTCCCTCCGCCCTGCTTCCCCCCTCCCTATGCCCTGCTTCACCCCTCCCTCCGCCCTGCTTCCCCACTCACTCCGCCCTGCTTCCCCCCTCCCTCCGCCCTGCTTCCCCCCTCCCTCCGCCCTGCTTCCCCACTCACTCCGCCCTGCTTCCCCCCTCCCTCCGCCCTGCTTCCCCACTCACTCCGCCCTGCTTCCCCCCTCCCTCCGCCCTGCTTCCCCCCTCCCTATGCCCTGCTTCACCCCTCCCTCCGCCCTGCTTCCCCACTCACTCCGCCCTGCTTCCCCCCTCCCTCCGCCCTGCTTCCCCCCTCCCTATGCCCTGCTTCACCCCTCCCTCCGCCCTGCTTCCCCACTCACTCCGCCGTGCTTCCCCCCTCCCTCCGCCCTGCTTCCCCCCTCCCTCCGCCCTGCTTCCCCACTCACTCCGCCCTGCTTCCCCCCTCCCTCCGCCCTGCTTCCCCACTCACTCCGCCCTGCTTCCCCCCTCCCTCCGCCCTGCTTCCCCCCTCCCTATGCCCTGCTTCACCCCTCCCTCCGCCCTGCTTCCCCACTCACTCCGCCCTGCTTCCCCCCTCCCTCCGCCCTGCTTCCCCCCTCCCTCCGCCCTGCTTCCCCCCTCCCTATGCCCTGCTTCACCCCTCCCTCCGCCCTGCTTCCCCACTCACTCCGCCCTGCTTCCCCCCTCCCTCCGCCCTGCTTCCCCCCTCCCTCCGCCCTGCTTCCCCCCTCCCTATGCCCTGCTTCACCCCTCCCTCCGCCCTGCTTCCCCACTCACTCCGCCCTGCTTCCCCCCTCCCTATGCCCTGCTTCACCCCTCCCTCCGCCCTGCTTCCCCACTCACTCCGCCCTGCTTCCCCCCTCCCTCCGCCCTGCTTCCCCCCTCCCTATGCCCTGCTTCACCCCTCCCTCCGCCCTGCTTCCCCACTCACTCCGCCCTGCTTCCCCCCTCCCTCCGCCCTGCTTCCCCCCTCCCTCCGCCCTGCTTCCCCCCTCCCTATGCCCTGCTTCACCCCTCCCTCCGCCCTGCTTCCCCACTCACTCCGCCCTGCTTCCCCCCTCCCTCCGCCCTGCTTCCCCCCTCCCTCCGCCCTGCTTCCCCCCTCCCTATGCCCTGCTTCACCCCTCCCTCCGCCCTGCTTCCCCACTCACTCCGCCCTGCTTCCCCCCTCCCTCCGCCCTGCTTCCCCCCTCCCTATGCCCTGCTTCACCCCTCCCTCCGCCCTGCTTCCCCACTCACTCCGCCCTGCTTCCCCCCTCCCTCCGCCCTGCTTCCCCCCTCCCTATGCCCTGCTTCCCCCCTCCCTATGGGGATTTGATAAAGGTGGGTTTGGGGGAAGGGATTGATGGGCCGTTAGGTGTGGGAATTAGGTGGCCGGTCATGTGAGTTTGGTGCTTATCCTTCTCGTCTGCCCGCGTTCCCTTTCCCTGCTCCTCTCTCGTGCATGCCCTGCTTCTCCCGATCCTCTGCCCTGCTTCCCCCCATCCCCTTCCCTGCATCCCCCCATCCCCTTCCCTGCTTGGGCCCCCCTCCATATTCTCAGGTGATATTTTCCCACACGCCAGGTGAGCCCAGGGTATGAGATGAGGGGATCGATGGGTCAGAGGGAAAGTGAGAGGGATATGATAGCTGAAGGGCCTGCCAGATCCCTGGAGCAAGCAATTGCCGATGCATTTGCAGTGCTGCCATTTTCCCGCCAAATTTCGTCCCCTACTGGTGCATCCCCTTGTATCTCCCCCTGCTCCCTCCCTACGTGCCCTCCTTACTCTCCCTCTCCATAGGTCTCTCCTCTCCCTGCCCATGTGCCCCTCCCCGACCCTGCTTTCCTTCTTCTTTGCCTCTTCCCCCATCCTGCTCCTGCTCCCCCCTTCCCACATCCTCCCTGCCAGGAGGACGACCTAGAAGCATCGCATCAGGAAACTGACAGCAAGGTGCGGATCCTTCACTTCCCCAATCTTCACGCCCTCTCACTCTCATTCCTTCCCACCCTCATCTCTCTCATTCCATCCCACTCTCACTCTCAGTCCATCCCCCTCTCACTCTCATTTCATCCCACTCACACTCTTTCATTCCATCTCTGTGTTGATGTCTAGGGTCTACTGCCCTGTGTCCACCCCAACACACAGGCCTGTCAGTGCTGCTGGAGCTGTATCTTTGGTCGCCTTTCACCGCAGAGAAGTACGTGTTGACGCTGCCACTGCCGCGGCGCACAGCACATCGACAGGGTGGGGCTGTTGCTGTTGGGGCTGTTGGTAGTACAGTCAAAGGAGCAGCTAGTGGGTCTCACCCTACAGTATCAATGGTGACAAAACCTTCAAATGCTGACTTGTGTATTACTGATGCCTTGGGTTGTGCGTCCATGAAACAAATTGAACGTCCCAGCTTTCAGACGTTGAGGATATGGCCACTGTTTGGCAGCTGGTCGGGAAACACCGTTGTGTGATACTAGCAAAGAACCTATGTGGAGAGGCAGTTAACTCCTATAAATACATGCTGTTCGCAGACACACAGACGGAGATAAGGTGCTAGAAGCCCCAAATATAATGGAATAAAAATATCTCTGCTCAATGTCCATGGAAGATGAGCCGGGCGTATGACCCAAGGGCGGATAGTTTGGCGAGCCTGTGGTGTGGAAAATCATAGAAAAACGGAAGCGAGTGGAGGGCGTCTTAGTATTGTTTACTTGTTGGGTGGAAAAGGGAAAAAAACAAAAAAGCGATTATAGAGGGAGTAGGTACCACCATCATACCTGCCAAGGGTATAGCCAGTGTGGAGTGATTAGTGGTCAAAGTTGAGGGAGATACCGTAACAGGTTGGGGTGGGCCGCAAGGGCCGAAGCGGGTAATCGAGAGCACATGTGGGGAGTGGGAGTGACGGGAAGGAAGGTGAGCAACTGAGAGAAGGGTATGGGTTGAGTGGGGGCGGAGGGGTGTGACTAAGGTGGGTGGGGATGGAAAGGACCGAATGACAGGGGGAAAGGGAAGTGGGGATGGACAGGGGGAAAGGGAAGTGGGGATGGACAGGGGGGAAGGGGAGTGGGGATGGACAGGGGGGAAGGGGAGTGGGGATGGACAGGGGGAAAGGGAAGTGGGGATGAACAGGGGGCAAGGGAAGTGGGGATGGACAGGGGGAAAGGGATGTGGGGATGGACAGGGGTTTAGGGGAGTGGGGATGGACCGGGGGAAAGGGAAGTGGGGATGGACAGGGGAAAGGGAAGTGGGGATGGACAGGGGGAAAGGGGAGTGGGGATGGATAGGGGGAAAGGGAAGTGGGGATGGACAGGGGGAAAGGGACGTGGGGATGGACAGGGGGAAAGGGAAGTGGGGATGGACAGGGGGAAAGGGAAGTGGGGATGGACAGGGGGAAAGGGACGTGGGGATGGACAGGGGGAAAGGGAAGTGGGGATGGACAGGGGGAAAGGGAAGTGGGGATGGACAGGGGGAAAGGGAAGTGGGGATGAACAGGGGGCAAGGGAAGTGGGGATGGACAGGGGGAAAGGGAAGTGGGGATGGACAGGGGGAAAGGGGAGTGGGGATGGATAGGGGGAAAGGGAAGTGGGGATGGACAGGGGGAAAGGGACGTGGGGATGGACAGGGGGAAAGGGAAGTGGGGATGGACAGGGGGAAAGGGAAGTGGGGATGAACAGGGGGCAAGGGAAGTGGGGATGGACAGGGGGAAAGGGAAGTGGGGATGAACAGGGGGCAAGGGAAGTGGGGATGGACAGGGGGAAAGGGAAGTGGGGATGGACAGGGGGCAAGGGGAGTGGGGATGAGAAGGGTAAGGGGGGGCGCACGGGCGAAAACCAGGCACACACCAGGTACATACCAGGTACGTACCAGGAGTCGGGGACACTCACACTAGTACACCCGAGAAGTCGTGTCAGAATCAGGCCTGTCAAGCGGCTTGATGGCTAAGTCAGCGGGGGCGCCGCAGGCGTGACTGGATGGAACGCTGGGAGGGACAGAGGGAAGGCGAATTGGGGAGGGACAGAGGGAAGGCGAATTGGGGAGGGACAGAGGGAAGGCGAATTGGGGAGGGACAGAGGGAAGGTGAATTGGGGAGGGACAGAGGGAAGGCGAATTGGGGAGGGACAGAGGGAAGGTGAATTGGGGAGGGACAGAGGGAAGGCGAATTGGGGAGGGACAGAGGGAAGGCGAATTGGGGAGGGACAGAGGGAAGGCGAATTGGGGAGGGACAGAGGGAAGGTGAATTGGGGAGGGACAGAGGGAAGGCGAATTGGGGAGGGACAGAGGGAAGGTGAATTGGGGAGGGACAGAGGGAAGGCGAATTGGGGAGGGACAGAGGGAAGGCGAATTGGGGAGGGACAGAGGGAAGGCGAATTGGGGAGGGACAGAGGGAAGGCGAATTGGGGAGGGACAGAGGGAAGGCGAATTGGGGAGGGACCAGATGGAGGGGGTAAAGGGGAGTGAGAAACAGGGATATGGAAAGGGAGGCATTGAGGGAAGGGGAAATGGGTACTGACTGTGAAAAGGGGAAATGGGGAGTGACTGGAGAACGGGGAAATGGGGAGGGACTGGGCGAAACGGGATATGAGGAGTGACTGCGAAACGAGGAAATGGGGAAGGACAGAGGGTTGGATAAATGGGGAGTGGCAGAGGGATGCCGAGATGGGGAGGAAAGGGGATATGATGAGTCACTGGGAATTGTGGAAATGGGGAGGGATGGAGGTAAGGGGAAATGGGGAGTGGATGGGATATGGGGAAATGGGGAGGGATTGGGGGAAGGGGAAATGGGCAGTGACTGTGTATATGGGGAAGGGCAGCAGAAGGGGAAGGGGAAATGGGAAGTGAGAGGTAAAACGGGAAGTGGGGCAAGGCAGCAACCCGCCTTGGAATCCGTCTGGAAGAGAGCCGGCACGGTGCAATGCCTTGCAATCTGCCTGAACACTAGCAGGTGCGGCGCTGGGCCTTGCAGCCTGGATAAAAACGAGCAGTTTCGGCGCAGTGCCTTGCAATCCGTCTGGGCAGGTGGCGGCGCGGTGCACTGCAGTGCAGGAAAAGGTTGAAAACGAACAGGCGCGGCGCAGTGCCTGGAAATCCGCCCCTAAAAGAGGCAGCGCAACACAGTGCCGAGCAAATCGTCTGAGAACGAGCATCGCGGCGTGGTGCCTTGCAATCCGTATGGAAACGCGCAGGTGAGGCGCGGTGCTTTGCAATCCGTCTGGAAACGAGCAGGCGCGGCGCGGTGCCTTGCAATCCGTTTTAAAACGAGCAGGTGTGGCGCTGTGCGTAGCAATCCGTATGAGTGCGAGGTGGCGGGGCACAGTGCCTTGCGATCTCCGAAAACGCGGAGGCGCGTCGAATTGCCTTGCACTCCGGGAGACCGCAACTTCTTTGGGGCGACGTGGCATTGGAATCAACCTAAATCACATAATGGGCGCAGCGCACCCTAGCATTCCGTCCGTACGCGAGTAGCATAGGCGATGTGCCGTGCAATCCGTACCTAAGCCTGCGTACGCAACTCAGATGCTTGCGCTGCCCCTCGAATGCAGGAGAGTCGGCCTACAGTGGGGGTCGTGCCCGTTCGCTACTTCTATCCTCTGAAGCAAAGGTCGTACCTGGTGTTTTATTTGCTAGCGGAATGAATGGTCAATGCCGTCACTTTATTTGTCGCGGAGACTGAACACGCCAAGAGGTAGAGTCTCAGAAACAGCAGCTATGACCGTTTGCTCCCGAAATATGAGTCTAAGCACGCTTCGCTTTCGTTGAACGGTTTCGTGACTGAATACGCTACCCTTTTTATTCCGCGCTAGTGAGTTTAGACTTGGTAGCGTGGAACCCAGGTCCACTTTGAAGAGCAAGTTTGGGCCCACTGGAACAGTCAAGCTCTGTCCTGCCCCCCTCATTTTTTGGTGGCTCTGTTCTCACACGTTAGTTCGTATCGTGTTCCCCACTCCCCTCTTTGCGCACATTTCAATCCGTTTCCTCTGTCGCACATGTTAGCCTTCGCTTTACATGGATTGAATTGGCGAACACGCCCACCAATGCCCTGGATCGTAAGGGGACCAAAACCTCGCCGTCCAATCAGATTCTGATGGTTGCTTCTCTTTAGAAAATTACAATGTGTTCATGAACAGTGGTTCGATTCTTGTCGAGCAGGGAGCACCCTCCTGAAACAGTGCCAGAGTTTCAAACTGGGACTCCCTTCACTATTTTACCTGCTCGCTTTAAACTCAACCCCGAACCCTGAACCTGAACCCCTAACCCTGAACCCTGCGTCCTGTCTTACTCGGCCCTGGATCTTCTATACGCGTTATAGTACCTTCGGACTCACCTTTATGCGTTCGGCAGCAGGCGACAGAGCAGCTTGAGAGGCGCCGCAGGGAGGGGCGAGGCGAAGAAGCATGGCGAATGACAGAGGGAAGGAACAGGGTGAGAGGGGAGCAACCGGGGGAAGAAGGAGAGAGGGAGGAAAGGAAGTCACAATCACATGTTTTACGACATGGCACACCACAGGGTGTGAGAGGGTAAGGAGTGTTTACGTTCAAGGGTTGCGAGAGGTCAGCAGACGTACTAGGGAGAGAGGCAACGTGGGGCATTTGTATTTGGCGGCTAGCGACTGGCACACGACGCACGGCTGCTGTCCACCTTTCGCCATGCTGCACTGCGACAAGCGAACAACAAGCGTGCGAAAAGCGTGCGACGGCTCGAAACTTCTTTCCTAAATGTCACGCAAGAATGCAAAGAGGGCGTTGAGACGGTTTGTGATTCCTAATCGTCCACTAGCTTTGACTGAGAAGGTGTGCAACTACTCGATTTCTTCGAATGGGATTTTCGCTCGCAAGTTTCTGATGTGCTGCTAATGGGGTCAGCGACTCCGCAGGATTCTGAGCCAGTTTCTGCTGGTAGGCGGTTTGGCGACGTTCGGGGGCGTTTCCTGGTTCGTTCGGAGTGTGGAATAGGCGTGTGAGACGGGCCTTGTTTCAGAAGGGGTGGCTCATTTTTTTTCGTGAGAATTAGGTCGAAACCAGTGTGCTTTGCACTTCGGGTCAGTTCTCGATTTCAAGGAAACGAGGCGAAGCCCGTCCAGTAAACAACGATTGCGACCCCAAAGTGTAACGAAATTTGTACAAACAACTTCCCATTTGCTCGTTGTTCAATATCTGCGTAGCCAACCAATCCCATCTCCTACACGCCATCACACTACTATTTTAGAATTGATCGACCAATCCCAAGGCGCGCAGCAGCTCTCCTAAGCACCATCGCACTATTATTTTAGAATTGATCGACCAATCCCAAGGCGCGCAGCAGCTCTCCTACGCGCCATCGCACTACTATTTTAGTATTGATCGACCGCGTCAAGCCTTCGCGAATAAATCGAGTTCAGTATGAACCTTTTCAGGATACAATGAGGATGTGTTCTTTCAGGATTCAAGCACGCGATTCCTTGTACGGTTAAGATTCGCGTTTAGCAACTCGTGATCTGCGACGTCCGTTTCCGTCACCTCTCGCATGGTCACGGCCGTTTGAAAGCCGGAGCACCGTCGTGAAATCTCCTTCACAGCGTTTCGCTGTTTACTGCTATTAAAAAATCCAGATATCATGGAATTTGGTTTCGGCCTATTCCAAACCAAACGGCAAAGCCCCGACCCGCCGAAATCCAGATCAGGCGCATCAGGAGCACCATCAGCTACAAGCCCCCGCGCATTCACTGCCTCAGGCTCGGATTCCTCCGCCTCCTCTCTCCTCTCATTCGGTCCGTACCTCCCTCTAGCAACCGCCAGCGACACCACTAGCAGCAATCCTCTGATCGCGTCAGGCGCCGCGATTCCAGCTGGATCCACTTCTTCGAACTCCTCCTCTTCCCACGGGCAGGCCACTGCCAGCGCGAAACGCGGCGGGACTTCCGGCGCAACTCGTGCTGGTTTGCCTGCTGGGGGTAGGGATCTAGGGGGGAAACGGATATGGGGGTGGTGGCTATGGGGGAGGAGGAACCGGGGGAGGTTTGGCTTATGCCGGAGCGAGTGGTGAGGGGACGGGTGGGAGAGGAGCGGTGAGGACTGCTGTGGGTGGCGGTGGCGGCGGTGGTAACCATGCTACCAGCGCTTTCAATGGAGAAAGCGGCATTTCAGTGGTTTGGACAGGTTCAGTGATGCCAGGACAACGAGAACTGCAGCCGCACGTTGAGGAAGCATGGGGGGCATGGGATACTTAGAAGGAGGAGCGAGAGGAGAAAGAGGAGCGGGTCGAGAAGCAGGGGTTGCAGACGGCGAAATAGGGGCACTTAGGGCAGAAAGAGCTAGTACTGCTGGTACCTTCTCTGCCGGCCCTACTGGTACCTCTCGTGTCAACCCTATCCGTGCCCCTACTGGCGCTGCTGTCACTGCTGGTGTTGCTGGCGCTCCTGGTGCTGCCACCACCACCATCAGGGGCACCACCACCAGCAGAAGCGGCATTGGAAGCGGTAGCAGCAACAGCAGCAGCAGCAACAACAACAGCAACAGGGGGGGGATTCCAGGGAGCAGCAAGTCGGACCTGCTGTCGCGGGACTTATGGATGAAGGACAGCCACGCGCTGCACTGCTACGCGTGTGACGCGCAATTCACCATCCTCAACCGCCGCCACCACTGCCGCCGCTGCGGCCGCGTCTTCTGCGGCCGCTGCACCCAGCGCTCCATCCCCATGCCCTTCCTGCAGCGCAATCACCCACGACCGCTCCTGCCCGCTGCTGCTCCTGGTCCTGACAGTGCTAAAAGTGGCGAATCAGAAACAGTACATCATACTCTCTCCTCTAGACCAAACCGTTCCCTCCCTTCCCCACCCTCTCTTCTCATCTCACTGTCTCTCTCCCACCCCATTCCCCATCCCTCGCTCCCTGGCAGTTGAACGTGAAGTCGTATGCCAACAACAACCAGCTGGCCATAATGCTGGATGAGCGAGTGGCAAATTTCAAACAGCACATCACACCCACTTTTCCCACCCTCTCCCTCCCACCCCGCTCCCCATCCCTCTTGCACCTCTCGCACCCTGGCAGTTGAACGTGAAGTCATTCGCCAATAACAACCAGCTGGCCATCATGCCGGACGAGCGAGTGCAGGTGCTGGAGTGGAACCGCCGCTACCTCACAGTGCTCGCAGTGGCCAACAGGCGCCTGTACCAGCTGCGCCTGCAGGTCCCGAGAGGCTCCTGGATTCCGAACGGCCTGTGTTGCGGCAAGTCATGGACTCTTTCCGCGTCTTCAGTGTTGCAGAGTAGGTAGAAAATCAAATGGATCGTGGTTATGGTGCTGCTGACTTGATTTGCTGTTCGCTATGCATCCCGATCCCTGAGGTGAGGGGTCTGTGCTGCGCCAAGTCATGGAGTAGATTCTATTGGAGTAGATAACTGTCAAGAGTACACCTTCAGATTTACAATAACAATCCTGAGAGAGGCCTGTGCTGCACCAAGTAACGTCATCCCCGGACAAGCCCTGCTCCTCGTTCTAAACTGTTGCGCCAGATCATCGTTCTTACCGGTACTTCAGCATTTTTCAGGCCAGACCCTAGCACACCACACTTATATCCAAACACCAAACACCTGTTTAGGGGGCTGTATGCTGTAAAATAATTGCCTTCGTAAGGTGTGGCAACATTCTCTGGTGTTACGGAGGTGACTTTGTATCGGACCACGTTTGCAACATTTTTTTGCGGATTGGCCTGGCATCACGCCGCGACTATCGCTGGGGTTAAACACACAAGGTAATTTTGAAGTCAATATCACACTATTGTGGAGGGATATTCAATGGTTGATCCCTACATCCCTTCTGTTGCCGAGAAGAATGGTTTTTAGTCCTGTACCGGCAGCTTTTATACGATTGGTTCCTAGTTCCAGTCTAGCCACTTAGTACAGGGTCCAGGTTTTGACACTGGTACCAAGCTTTCTGGCTCAATTGTTTAAAGATCAGGCTAGCGAGTAGCACACTGTTTTTGTTTCGGGTACACTAAACCAAAACAGAACTATCGGAAGTCCCTCGTACATGCCGACCGTCACCAATAGGGTGAACCTCTCCGCTGAAACCGCTGAAACCTGCGCCTCGAGAATTTTACGAAAGTGCCTGACTTGGGCTGATTGGGTTTGCGTAGCTGCTGGGCTTGGCAGGGTAACCGCATGGCGAATAATCGCACGCCTGCGAAACTTGCGCAATCCGCAACTGCCGCATTTGATGATTCCAATGTAATGCGTCTTCCCGCCAAAATGTTCTCCTGTGAGAGACTCCAATCCCTCCCCTCCCCAACCTTCGACTGGCAAGACGAATTTGTTTCATGGGAGCGCGCACTCCCACACCTACATAAACACGCTCGTCATCCCATTCGCATCATCAGTCACCCACATTCTTCGCAAATTCATTAGCCAGCCGCTTTCCCTTCTGCTTATTCACCGGTTATTCTCCGCTCACCGGTTTTGCGAGTCGGGATCAACTCCTTTGCCAACTATGGCTCGGACAAACCAAGGTGTTGCCACCACGGCGGTGCTGCCGGTGCTTCTGTTTGTGCTGCTCCTGACGTCAGCATCGTATGTCGCCGCAGGTAAGCTCCGCGTCTACTCGAATCACGGTGCATTATTCCGTTCAGTTTCGGATGTAACATTCAGCTTCGGTATACACCGCCTCTACAATTGACATCATTCTGCATCCGGTTAATTCGGGCACTACTACATGATAGTAGTACAGTCTACTCGACCTAATCCCTTCCGTTGTTCTCTGCGCTGCAGCATCCAAGGGATTCGTCGCCGCGCGGCGCATGCTGGGATCTGCACTTGGCGGGGGGGGCGGGACTGTGTACCACCTCGAGAAATCCGCCGCGACCATCCCGACCGCCGTGAAATTGTCGGCGCCGACCACAACCACCACCACAACGACATCACCGACCAAGACAACCACCACGGGCCCGACCGCCGTGAAAATAACAGCAGGTTTTGGGTGGGGGGGGACTGTGTACCACCTCCGGGAATCCGAAGAGACCACCCCAACCGCCGTGAAGACGACCAAGTCAACCACCTTGTCCACGCCCGTAAAAATCACGGCCTCCCCGACCAAGACAACCACCACGAGCCCAACGACATTCCCGACCAAGACGACCACAACCACGCCCGTGAAAATGTCCTCCATGGTGTCGACCACCTTAGCGATGGCCGACCCGACCAAGTCGACCACCACGAGGCCCGTGAAGATGTCGGCGCCAGAGACGGCGGAGGAGCTTGTGTCGACAAGCAAGACGACCACCGCTGTGAAAATCGCAGTGCATGAGACGTCGGCCGCTGTGAAAATCGCAGCGCATGAGACGTCGGCCGCCGTGAAAATCGCAGCGCATGAGACGTCGGCCGCTGTGAAAATCGCAGCGCATGAGACGTCGGCCGCCGTGAAAATCGCAGCGCATGAGCCGTCGGCCGCTGTGAAGCTTGTAGCAGGTTGGGGAGGGTCTGTGAACCACCTCAAGGAATCCGAAGGCACCCCGACCGCCGTGAAGCTGACCAAGACCACCACCACCACAACCACCACGACGCCCGTGAAAATGTCCATGTCGACCACCTTGGGAATGGCAGAACCGACCAAGTCAACCACTCCATCCACGCCCGTGAAGATGAAATGGACAACCGCAATGGCCGACCCGAGCAAGACAACCACCACCACGCCTTTGAAAATGTCGGCTGGCTTAGCGTGAAAGCGGCACACCCGTGAGCTCGTGGCGGGGACCGTGCAGGCAGTAAAGCAAGGACAATTACGGTATTCCCTCCTGACTGACTAGGGCAGTTTTTCCCCCTTTTCTGAGCTCCCAGTGTAGGCTGAAGTGTGGTATGTGTGTTTTGTAACATACGGGATGAAGCGTGTTTGTGCTAGGCTGTCTTGTAATGCATGCTTTTCTTTTTCCAACTCAATGCCAGCTATTTTACTTCACGTGGGCCTCCTAAACATGTTCACTACCGTATATTCCGTGTGTTAAGCATCCTGGAGTAGGGTGGTTGTAGAAGCTGAGCAGCCTTCAACCACAAACAACTCTGTTTTTGAGGCGCCTCACCTCAACAACACAGTACTAGCAGGGGAGGTAGGATGGTGCTTCGAGCTAGCTGAGCCACCCCAACCACAAACACAACTGTTTCTGAGGCACCTCAACCACAGTACTAGCAGGAGAGGTAGGGTGGCTGTACGAGTTGTGAGTCTTCAACAACTTTATTTTTGAGTCTTTCAACCACAACACAACACCAAACTCTTCATGCATGGTGTGTGTCAGTCAGGTAGTCAGTTTGCTAGAGGCAAGTGCTTTTGGACCTGCAAGGACAGGACACAATCATCAAAAGGAGGAGAAAAGGGAGGACATGCTTCAGCCATAGGTCATTTTTGAGGCAGCTAACAAAGAGATCAGAGATGAGGAGAGGTGCAACTAGAGGGAGAAAAGCAGGCAGGAGGGGCGAGAGGGGCGAGAGAAGAGAAGAGTAGGAGAGAGGAACGGAGCCGAGGCAAGAGGGGTTAAGAGGGGGGATGAGAGGATTGCCTGTTGAAGGAACTTGGTAAAGGCAGGATGCGACCGCGCTGCTTCTAGTGCCTGTGGGGTAGCATGGCGAGGGGATGAGAGGGGTTGAGATAGCATGACGGGGGGGGGGGGGGGGGGGGTGGGGGTTTGAGATAAGGATTGGGGTGTTGAGAATTTTGAGGGGCAATGGATGAGATAAGGCAATGCAAACAGCTGAGTAATTACACAGGTGAAATTTCGGCAATCAAACAAGGCAGTGACGAGGAAAGACGAGAAAGTGGAGCTTGAAAAAGGAGGAGGAAGGTGGATAGCAGCAGTGACTGCTTCTGGGTGTGGGGAGCTGTCGATGAGGAGAAGCATGCGCTTATCTTATTGAGACTTCTCAGAACATTTTTTGAGACGTAAATAGAGCGCAAGCGGCAATGGGAAGGGGCGAGCACTGACTGCTTCTGGGTGCGGGGAGCTGTCGATGAGGAGAAGCATGCGCTGCAGCTCATGGTCTCTCAATTGCTGCCTCAACGCTGCATCGTCCGCTGTGTATGTGGGGCAGGGGAGGACGGGAATAGGCGAGTAAGGGAAGTGAGGAGCAGCACGCCTTGCAACTCATGGTCCCTCAACTACTGCCTCAACGTTGCATCATCCGCTGTGCAGGCGGGGCAGGGGAAGAAGGGAATAGGCGAGTAAGTAAAGTGAGGAGCAGCACGAGTTGCAACTCGTGGTTCCTCAACTGCTGCCTCAACGCTGCATCGTCCGCTGTGTGTGGGTGGGGCAGGGGAAGAAGGAATAGGCGAGTGAGGGAAGTGAGGAGCAGCACGAGTTGCAACTCGTGGTCCCTCAGTTGCAGCCTCAGGGCTGCATCGTCCGCTGCGAGGGGGATGGGGAGAGTGAGAGGGGAGAGGGGAGTGGGCAGAGAGGGGGACAGGGAGTGGGGAGAGAGGAGAGCAGGGAGGGGCGCAGATCAACTCATGGTCCCCCAGCTGCTGCCTCAGGGCTGCATCATCCGCTGTGTGCGGGTGGGGCAGGGAAAGGAGAGGGTAGGCGAGCAAGGGAAATGAGGAGTAGCATACCCTGCAACTCATGTTCTCTCAGCTGCTGCCTCAGGGCTGCATCGTGCGCTGTGAGGGGACAGGGGAGGAAAGAGGGGAACATGGAGCGGGGAGGTGCGCAGCTCAACTCATGGTCCCTCGCCTGCTGCCTCAGGGCCGCGTCGTCCTCTGACAAAGGACGGGAAGAGTGAGATGGAAATGGGGAGTGTAAAATTTACTTGCGAGCTGACTGAAAAAAGCCTGCCGCCTCAGTGCTGCATCGTCCGCTGTGAAGCGGCGGTGGGGGAGATGGGGGGACAGGTAGTGGGGAGAGGGGAGCAGGGAGGAGCACAGCTCAATTCAGCCCCCCCCCCTCCAGGTGCTGCCTTGTCTGCAGACGAAGTCGGAGAGGAAGGGGGGGGGGGGGAAGGGGCAGAGTGGTGGGGAGGGGAAGGTGAGGGGGGAAGGCAGGATGATTGGGGGGACGGATGAGTGCTGCTGCTACTGCTGGGGCTGGCGCTGTGACGTCACCCATAAACACATAGCCTAGTGCCGGATCCTCACCTATCTCCCTGAGTGTGCTGCACGGCAGGCGCCAGGAGAGTTCGTCCTCATCCTCACACTCCTCAAACGGCCGCACAGGCTGCTTGCTCCTGCTCCTGCTACTGCTGTCTGGACCGGCGCTGCCTTGGCCATCTGCTGTGGCGGCGGCTGTAGCTCCTGCTGCCTCTGCTGCTGACGTGGCCGGCTGCTCTCTTGGTTGGCATGGTGTCTCTGCAGGGCGAGCCGGGAGTGAGTGCGGTGAAGAGTGGTTTTTTAGGTGGTGCGTGTATGTTGTAGGGAGGAGTGGGAGGGTATACACAGTGGTTAGAGGTGTGTGAGGTGAGGGAGAGGAGTGAGCGGAAGGGTGTGTGGAGAGATGATTGGAGGTATTGGTGAGAGGAACGTAAAACAATGGCCCTGCAGGGATGGAGAAAGAATCCGCATCGGAACGAGGTGACGGGAGAAAGTGCATGCGCGCGCGCGTGTTACGTGTATGTGCGCGTGTGCGCGTGTATGAGAGCGGGAAGGGGTCGCACATATCTAGCGCGCGAATATTTCAAGATTGGGCACCAGCGATCCTTAACAAACAACAAGAAACCCTTACACCCGAACCCAGATCACGAATCCAGAACCCCAAACCCTGAACCTGGATCCCCAGCCGTGAACCCTGCCTCCCGACTCACTAAAGCACTAAATTTGTTGTACGCGTTAGAGTAGCTTCGGGCTCACCTTTATGCGTTCTGCAGCAGGCGACCGAGCAGCTTCAGAGGCGCCGCAGGGAGGGGCGGCGAGACGGACGAGGATGGCGGATGACAGAGCGAAGGAACGAAAAGAGGGGAGGAACGGGGGGAGAGGGAGAGAGGGATGGACGAAGGTTACAAATACAGGTGTTACATAATGGCGAGTTTCGAGGTGTAAGGAATGTGTACGTCCAAGGGTTGAGCAGCAGACGACGTACTAGGGAGAGAGGCACGTGGGGCATTTGTATTTGGCGGCTTGCGACTGGCACACGACGCACGGCTGCTGACCACCTTTCGCCATTTGCACTGCGACAAGTGTACGACAAGCGTGCGAAACCGTGCGTGTGGCTTCTTCCCTAATTTCAACGGAGGAATGCGACGTGGGCCCGGAGACTGTTAGTGATACCTAATTGTCTACAAGCTTGACCGAGGAGGTGAGTAAATACACAGTATCTCTAAAAGACTGTTTTCTCGACCACCATACAGCATCTCGTGTATGGTATTGCAGCAGGATGCGCAGCGTTCGGAGCCGTTTCCTGGTTCGCTCCACGTATGAAGTATTTGTGTAAAGTAAAACGGCCCTTCGTTGAGCTTTGTTTCGGAATGATTGTAAGTTGTTATGTCGTGAACCCGCATGTGAAACATCTCAAGGCTCGGCCGAAACATGAGTGTGCTTTTCACTTCGAGTACGACCCCCAGAGTGGGCGAATTGAAAATCGAGGTGAAGCCCGTTTCAGCAAACGAGACTGACCCCAAAGGGAAACAACCAATGAATTTCGAACAGCAACTTCCGTTTTCTCTCGTCCAATAACTGCGTCCAAACCTAACCAATCCCAAGGCAGCCATCCCCAATCAACTGGCCAGCCATCACGCGGCAGGTCTCTTGCGCGCCAAAGCCGATGACCATTGGCTGCCTTCCTGGCTGCCCAACTCAGCTTCTTTTGGTCAAGCAGTCCCAGGATGTTCATTTCACGGCTTAGTACCATACCATTCCAAACGCGTAAGGCACCGTACTGTAACCCTTTTCTTGGCGATCTGTGGGATGCTGTCTGCTGAATCCTAGGTTCGCCATCTTCAGCATTCCACATCATTTCGCCTTCTCATCATGCGCTAGATCGGTGTTTTTCGGTTCAGATAGGTAAACATCCAAAACCGTTGTATACCGGTTTGGAAACTACAAAACCGATGAGTGGTTGGAGGCTGGGGACGATTCCCCAAGCTGAAAGCAAATGACGTGGATTGAATTCACCCACCCACATCCATCCTGTTATCCAGATGTTCCCATATTCGTTAGCACAGCTGTGTTTTGTGCTGCAGCCCGCCGTGAGTTGCGGCGACATGCGCGCGTGGATGCTTAGTAAACGGCGCGTTTCGTGCTAAGCACGCCCCACGCTTATTATACCCTCCGCTCGCGTCGTCTCGAATCACGCACTATTGTTATCGTATCGCTCGACGGCGACGGGCCTTCGCGAACTCATCGAGTCTCCCTTTCTCACTTTCTAAGGCCGTTCCTGACGGTTATCGAGAAATAAGCTAGGATTTACGGTCTTCGTATCCGACGAATTCAGACAACCCAACACGACTGGGTGAGCGTTTAAAACTGTGTTGTGCTCACCTGCATGTGTACGGCTTTTTGAAATGAATCTTTTCAGGATGCAGCGAGGATGCGTTCTTTCAGGATTCAGGCACGAGATGCCTTGTACGGTTGGGATTCGCGTTTAGCAACCCGTGATCAGCGACTTCCGTTTCTGTCTCCTCTTGCATGGTCACAACCGTTTTAAAGCCGGAGCACCGTCGTGAGCTTTCCTTCACAACCTTCCGCAGTTTCCGGCGGTTCTAGATCCCTGATATCATGGATTTCGGTTTCGGTCTATTCTTACCCAAACGGCAAAGTCCCGAGCCGCCGAAATCCGCATCAGGCGCATCAGCGACAAGCCCCCGCGCATTCACTGCTCCAGGCGCGGATTCCTCCTCCTCGTCTCTCCTCTCCTTCGGTCCGTACGTCCCACCCGTCAGCGACACCATTAGCAGCAAGCCTCTGAGCGCATCAGTCGCCGCACTTTCCGCTGGGTCCTCTTCCTCCACCGCCTCCTCTTCCCACAGCCAGGTCACTGCCACCGCGAAACGCGGCGGGACTTCCGGCGCAACTCGTGCTGGTTTGCCTGCCGGGGGTAGGGATTCAGGGGGAGGTGGATCTTGGGTCGGTGGCTATGGGGGAGGAGGAATCGCGGGAGGTTCGGCTCATGCTGGAACGCGTGGTGAGGGGATGGTGGGGAGAGGAGCGGTGAGGAATGCTGTGGGAGGCGTTAGCGGCGGTGGTAACCATATTACCAGCGGTTTTGATGGTGAAAGTGGTATTGTTAGTGGTGGGGATAGGTTCAATGGTGCCAGGACAACAAGAACTGCAGCAGCAGGTTCAGGAGGCATGGGGGGAATGGGTTACTTAGAAGGAGGAGCAAGAGGAGCGGGACGAGAAGCAGGGGTTCCAGACGGCAGAACAGGGGCAATTAGGGCAGAACGGGCTAGCGCTGCTGGTACGTTCTCCGCCGGCCCTACTGGCACCTCTCGTGTCAACCCTATCCGTGCCTCTGCTGGCGCTGCTGATGCCACTGATGCTGCCACCAGCACCAGGAGCAGCAGCAGCAGCAGCAGCAGCGGCAGCAGGGGCGGAGTGGCAGGGAGCAGCAAGTCGGATTTACTGTCTCGCGACTTATGGATGAAGGACAGCCATGCACTGCACTGCTACGCGTGTGACGCGCAGTTCACCATCCTCAACCGCCGCCACCACTGCCGCCGCTGCGGCCGCGTCTTCTGCGGCCGATGCACCCAGCGCTCCATCCCCATGCCCTTCCTTCGCCGCGACCAGGCACGCCCGCTCCTGCCCGCTGCTGCTTCTGCTGCTGGTGCTGGCGGTGCTGGTGCTGCTGGCGGTGCTGCTGCTGCTGCTGGTGGTGGTGGTGGTAGTGGTGCTGGGGGTAATTTTGCCGGTGGTGCTGGTGCTGGTGGTGTTGGTGTTGGTGGTGGTGGTGGTGGTGGTGGTGGGGTTCAGGATGTTGCTACTGAGAAGGTTCGGGTGTGCGACCAGTGTTACGCCGAGGCTCTCAGCTTGCCTCGGAAAGACCCCCAGCCTAGAGGCGCAGGTTCGGCGTTTCGGGAAGCGGCAGAGGTGGGAGATGGGGGAGGAGGAGGGGGCCAGGGGAGGGGAGGGAGGGGAGAAGGGAGGGGAGGAGAAGGGGATATGTGGGAGTGGGAGGAGGGAGGGAAGATGAGGAGGGGAGTGGGAGGGGGGAGGGGTCAGAGTGGAGCAGTAGAGAGAGAGGGAGTGTACGGGCCCGGCATGGGGCCTGGTATTGGGCCTGTTATGGGGAGGGGTGCGCAGAAGAGTGTTTCAGTGGGGGAGGGGTGGGGAAGAGACAACAGGGGTGGGTATAGCGGAGAAGGAGGAGCTCCGTTGGGCTTCAGACGGCAGCAGAGCAGTGGGTTGGCGGAGGGCGTGGGAGAAGGTGGTGGAGTGGGTGGCGGTGGTGGGGGTGGAGTTGGGACGCAGTATGAGTTCAGGCACCCGAAATACAGGTCGGCGTTGGTTGGAGTTATTTTGTCTTTCCTGGTTTTGTATCAATGTGCATTCTGCCCGTTTTTTTTTTTTTTTTTTTTTTTTTTTTTTTTGGGGGGGGGGGGGGGGGGGAGTCTGTCCGTCTTTCCCTCTCCCTTTTACACTCTCTTTCTAACACCGCGGCTTATTGAGGCGCATCTTTTATTTATTTATTTATTTCTGAATCGATACAACTTTGCAGGGTGTATGACGACTTTAGGGAAGAAGAGGAGGAAGATGAAGAGGAGGAGGAAGATGAAGAGGAGGAGGAGGAGGACGAGGAAGAGGATGAGTGCGAGGAGGACGATGATGAGGAGGAGGAGGATGACGAGGAAGAGGAGGAGGAGGAGATGGGGTATATACTGTCGCAGGGAAGGGCGAGGCGACGAGGCAGGGTAAGGGACAGTATCGATTCTAGAGGAGACGGGCCAGGGGAAAGGCTCAGAGAAGGAACTGAGGGAGAAAAGCTGGTTTCCGGAGGCAGAGGAGATAGAAGAGGCGGGAGTGGAGCACAGGCGGAAGCAGCAGGAGCCGCCGCAGCAGCAGCAGCGGCGGCAGCAGGCAAGGGAGGAATGATGAACGAGGAAAGGATGAAAGGAATAGCTGGAGGTGTAGCAGGAGCAGGAGGAGCGGGAGGGGGAGCAGGAACAGGATTAGGAGCAGGAGCAGGAGCAGGAGGAGGTGTGGGTGGTTTTGGGAGTGGGGTTGGAGCGGAGGCAACACGGAAGGGGTTGCTGGGGCTGGGTGGCTTTGCTGTTGGGGGTCTGAGTGGCTTTGGTGTTGGGTTCCAGTCCCGGACCCTCTCACATGACAGTCTTGTAGGGCTCAGTGGTGCGCAGGCAGCGCAGCACGAGGGGGGGAGGAACGAGAGGAGTGGGTCGGACCCGAAGTGGAGGGCTAGTAGAGAGGCGGTAGTGGAAGGGGAAGAAGGGGAGGTGGAGGTGAGGAAAGGACCTCATGCTCGACATAGTCACATTCATTATTATGACCCTAGGCACCATCACCTGCAGCGCCAGCAGCAGCAGCAGCAGCAGCAGCAGCAGCAGCAGCAGCAGCAGCAGCCTGAGCACCAGCACCAACAACAGCAGCAGCAGCAGCATGGGCCCCAGCAGAGGCATGTGGAGCAGCGCGACTGGCAGCCTGCCTCGAAGACCGATGCACCGGCGAGAGGCAACGCCAGTTCTGGTGGCAGCACCGCTGGTGGTAGCAGCAGCAATGCTGCTAGCAGCACCGCTGGTGGTAGCAGCAGCAATGCTGCTAGCAGCACCGCTGGTGGTAGCAGCAGCAATGCTGCTAGCAGCACCGCTGGTGGTAGCAGCAGCCGGGGCATGGTGGAGCTCGGTTCTGCTAGCAGCAATAGCAGCAGCAGCAGCAGCAGCACAATACAGAGCAGTATGAATAGCAAGGGCACGAGCAGCAGTAACGCCATCCAGAGCAGCGGCAGCACTGACCGCAGCAGCAGCAGCAGCACTGACCTGTGCAGCAGCAGCCTGCTTCCTGTACAAGTCCTGCCGCAGGCCCTCCCTCCGCCACACACCACAGCAGCAGCAGGCACAAGCGACGGGACCACACTTCCCCCAAGCGAGCCGCAAAAGTCGCATGAAAAGGAGAACATCAGCAAAGAGACGGCAGGCGATGACGCCAGAAAAGGCATTCCAATCAGCAACGCGCCAAAGCCCAAGGAGCCGTACGAGCGACTGGGGTCGATCAAGGGGTGGGGCGGCTGGGAGCATCTCGGGGCGGCGGTGACAGAGGAGGAGAGTGACAGAGAGAGTCCGTCCATGTGGGACCTCGCTTACTTCCCTCTCGGGTTCACTAGGACGTTTGGTCTTGGGCTAGGCGGGGGAAAGGCGGGGGGGAGTAGGATGGGCGGTGGTGGGGGAGGTAGTGGTGGTGGTGGTGGTGGTGGTGGTGGCGGTGCTGTGGGTAAATCGTCGTCGGTTAATGCGCTTGATTCGTTTCCGTTCTCGCTCATCTCCCCTCGAGGGCCCAAGCCTGCTGCTGCCTTGCCTGCTGCTCTTGCTGCTGCCGCTCCTGCTTCTGCTGCCAGTAACACTCCAGCTGCTGTGTTACCACCGGCAGTAACAGCAGCAGCCGAGCAGGGTCCGCCTCCTCTCTCACGTCCCAACACGCTTCCCCACCCCAGCACAAACGGGCAACACGCCAACCTCAAAGGTGCCCCTAATTCTGCCTCTACTGCTGCCACTACTGTCCCTGATGCCTCTAGCGACAACCGCACTGTCACGGCTGCTACCATTCCCAACTCCTCTGGACCTGCAGAGAGCAGGGTTGGTATTGGCAGAGGGGGCCCTGTTGGTCGAGTGGAAGGGGGGGACAGCATGGGTGGGGGCTTGGGAGCGGCAGGGAGGACGAGGAGTGGGTTTGGGCTGGAAGAAGGGGAGGATGTGGAGGACAGCGATTGGTGGTGCCGGGACAGGTGGACGCTGGGGAGGAAGGCAGGCAGGGGTGGTGGTGCTGCTGCTGGTTTGAGCACGCTTGATGCTGCTGCTAGGCAGGGAGTGGGAGTAGGGCGGGGGGAGCAGTGGCAGCGAGGGGAGATGGGTGAGGGAGCAGCTGTAGGTGTGAGGGAGGCAGGAGCAGAGGGAGTGGGTGAGATATTTCAAGATAAGGGTGGCGCCAACACAGCAGTTGAGATCAAACGTGGCACTGAGAGGACAGGGTGGACTCATGCTGCTGCCCCTGGTGCTGCTGCCTCGGCAGTTTCTGCTGAAATGGGATCAGGGGCAACAGCAGCAGGACCAGAAGCATCATCGAATGCTGTGGCAGCAGGATTGTCAGCAGAAGCACCAGCAGCAGGCAGCGTAGCAGGAATGCCTGTCAAAGCAGGCATAACGGATTCACAGCAGCAGCCGCAGCAGCAGAAGCAGCAGCAGCAGCAGCAGTCAGTGGGGCGAGGAGCACAAGGGCCGCAGTACGATGTGGTGAAGGGGCCAGCGCTGCATATCCGCACAGGCAGCCAGGACCTCTGGCGCCCCGGGGATGACCTCCATGCCGCCCCTGCTGCCCCTGCTGCTTCTGCTTCTGCTGCCTCTGCTCCCGCTGCTTCTGCAATTGCCGCTGCTACTGCTGCTGATGCCGCTGCTGCAGCGGCTGCTAATACTGGCGGTGGTGCTGTGGGTGGTGTTGGGGGCAGGGGAGGGGAGGTCGGAGGAGGGGTTGGAGGAACATGGGGAGGAGCAGCAGGGGGAAGCAGCGTGCTTGTTCGGGCTGGGTCGTTTGGAGTGGTTGGGTCCGGAGTGGATGATCGGATTGGGGCGATGGTGGTTGCTACTCCCACTGCCTCTGGCTCTGCCACTCCCAGACCCCGATCCATACAGGAAGATACAGATGCAGGGGAGGAGGCGGTGGAAGGAGTGGCGTCCGGATTCGGCGTATCTCCGTACCTGCAGTCGTCGTACGGCTCGTCGTCCTCCGAGTGTCCAGATGCAGTGAATCTGGAGGCGAATAGCAAGCTCTGGGAGACGCCGCCTCCGGATTCGTCTGCACTTGGGGGAGGTGGGATCCAGGGCAGGGGCAGGGCGATTGCATATGTGGATGAGGAGGATGAGGAGGGAAGCTGGTGGAATGAGAGAGGAGGGGGAGATGGAGAAGGAGAAGGGGAAGGAGATGGATGGGATGCAGGCAGCAGCACTGGTCAGTATGGTGATAGCTCATCCTCGGTTTATGGGGGTGGGGAGGGGTGGCAGGCAGATGGACAGATGGGGGTATACAGTGGAGCAGGAGGAGGAAGAGGAGGAGGAGAAGGCGGAGCAACACGAACAGCGGGGAAAGAGGGAGGAGGAGGCGCTACAGCTGCTGCTGCTGCTGCAGTACCGGCAGGGGCGGGCACAGTGCTACCAGGCAGTGTGGACGCACGGGAGAGGCTAAGGGAGGTGGTGGAGGGGCATTTCAGCGCGCTAGTGGAGCAGATGCTCAAAGCAGAGGGGCTGCAGGCAGGGGGAGAAGGAGACCCGGAAGGGTGGCTTGAAGTGGTTCGGCGCCTGGCCTCCGAAGCTGCGTCGCTGGTTCGGCCGGACTCGAGCTCGATGGGGGGGTATATGGACCCTGGGGGGTACATTAAAGTGAAGTGCATTGCAGGGGGCAAGCGCAGTGAGAGGTAAGGGGAACGTGGGGTGGGAAGCATGGCAGGAAGGTGGATATGTGTTGATTGTGATCCTCATGCGCTGTTTTGCCCATCCCCCCTCAATTCTCCGACCTGACATGTGGCCCTTGCATTTCAAGTTTTGAACCTTTCTTCCCGCTCATCATTCTCCCCCTCCCTCCCAGTTGCGTGGTGGACGGGGTGGTGTGTCGCAAGAACGTGGCCAACAAGAGAATGGCAGCGGACATCCGGTGGCCGCACATCGCTCTGCTCGCCTCCACGCTCGAGTACCAGCGCTGCCCCAACCGCCTCTCCTCCATCGACACGCTGCTCGCCCAGGTGAGTGGGTGTTTGTGAGTGACTGAGGCTCCTAGGGAAGGCTTCTGTGGGTGAGTGGGTGTTTGTGAGGCGCCTAGAGAGAGAATGGCATCGGACATCCGGTGGCCGCACATTGCTCTGCTCGCCTCCACCCTCGAGTACCAGCGCTGCTCCAACCGCCTCTCCTCCATTGACACGCTGCTCGCCCAGGTGGGAGCAGGTTGACTGCGGTTGAATGGGGTTGATCTGGGTTGACTTATACTGGCGGACCTGATTCTTACACGGTTTAAACTCTGCTTCAAGGTTTAAATTTGCTATCTATCCCTCCATTCTTCTTTCTTCTCATCCCCGCCTCCCTCAGCCCCACTCGTTCTTTTCATGCTTCCCCCTCCCTCACCTACCCATCGAGCAGCAAGAGACCCATTTGCGCCACATGGTGCGGAAGATAGAGCGTGTCATTCTGAGACGTTTGAAGCACCCTTCCCCCACTCCTCCCCCTCCCCGCCCCTTCCCACCCTTCCCCTCTGTCGCCTGCATCCCATCCCTCGCCCATCGCGCAGCAAGAGACCCATTTGCGCCACATGGTGCGGAAGATCGAACTCACATTCTGAGACATCTGAAACAACCCCTCCCTCTTTCCTGACTTTGTCCCAATTCCCCCCGCCCTTCCCCTTCTGCTTGCCTCCCCCTCCCTCGCCCATCCGTCGAGCAGCAAGAGACCCATCTGCGCCACATGCTGCAGAAGATCGAGCGCAAGTTCCGAGGTGTCTTAAACCCTCCCCGTCCCCCCGCCCTTCCATTTTTTTCTCTTGTTTCTCCCTCTCTCCCTCGCCCATCCTACAGCAAGAGACCCATCTGCGCCACATGCTGCAGAAGATCGAGCGCAAGTTCCGAGATGTCTTAAACCCTCCCCGTCCCCCCGCCCTTCCATTTTTTTCTCTTGTTTCTCCCTCTCTCCCTCCGCCCATCCTACAGCAAGAGACCCATCTGCGCCACATGCTGCAGAAGATCGAGCGCAAGTTCCGAGGTGTCTTAAACCCTCCCCGTCCCCCCGCCCTTCCATTTTTTTCTCTTGTTTCTCCCTCTCTCCCTCGCCCATCCTACAGCAAGAGACCCATCTGCGCCACATGCTGCAGAAGATCGAGCGCAAGTTCCGAGGTGTCTTAAACCCTCCCCGTCCCCCCGCCCTTCCATTTTTTTCTCTTGTTTCTCCCTCTCTCCCTCGCCCATCCTACAGCAAGAGACCCATCTGCGCCACATGCTGCAGAAGATCGAGCGCAAGTTCCGAGGTGTCTTAAACCCTCCCCGTCCCCCCGCCCTTCCATTTTTTTCTCTTGTTTCTCCCTCTCTCCCTCGCCCATCCTACAGCAAGAGACCCATCTGCGCCACATGCTGCAGAAGATCGAGCGCAAGTTCCGAGGTGTCTTAAACCCTCCCCGTCCCCCCGCCCTTCCATTTTTTTCTCTTGTTTCTCCCTCTCTCCCTCGCCCATCCTACAGCAAGAGACCCATCTGCGCCACATGCTGCAGAAGATCGAGCGCAAGTTCCCTCGCCCCGCTCCTCCACAAGCCCCCTCGCAAGCCTACCCACAAGGCCATCAACAAGCCTACCCACAAGCCCCCCTGCAAGGCCACTCGCAAGCCTACCCCCAAGGTTACCCCCAAGGGCCGCCCAGCAGTCACGGCGGATACTCTGTTCCAACCACACCCACGGGGGGAGCAGTGGGGGCGAGGGGGCGGGGTTTCCGGGGCGAAGGGGAGCCTGGGGCGGGGTTGATGAGGCAGACTGGGGTGCTTGGCAGTGGTGCTTTCGGTGGTGGTAGTGGGGGTGGGGGGGCTGCTGTTGGGGGGTTTGGGGGTGGGTATGGTGCTGGTGCTGGTGGTGGTGGTGGGGGTGGTGGTGGGGGTGGGCATAGGAGGACAGGCAGCAACGCCAGCAGCACCACGGGAAGCATAATTAGCACTGGAAGCAGCAGCACCTACAACAGCAACAGCACTTACAGCAACAACAGCAGCAACACCTATAACAACAACAGCACCTACAACACCAGCAGCAGCAGCACGTACAATCAAGCCCCGGCTCCAGGCGGGTTGACCCGGTACAGCAGCATGGGAAGCAACCACAGCCTCTCCAGCTACCCCTCAACCCCCGCCACCACCACCACCAGCAACACCACAGGCAGCAATGCCCCTTTCTCAATCCCCCCAACCCCCTCAGCGGTCTCAGCACCGCCAGCTGGCTCGGGCGGGCAGGTGGGCGGGCAGGTGGGCGGGCAGGTGGGCGGGCAGATGGGCGGGCAGGCGGGCGGGCAGGCGGGCGGGCAGGCGGGCGGGCAGGCGGGCGGGCAGGTGGGCGGCAGTGTGCTGCTAGTGGAGGGCACAGTCTCCGGGTTCGCCCAGCAGTGGATGGTGGAGCACCGCATGTCTCTCGTCTTCAACGTCAAGCGCTCTCTGCTAGAGAGAGTGGCGCGCTGCACGGGAGCTAAGGTGGCCCAGTCCGCTGAGACCCTTGATCGGTTAGGCCAGTGCCAGTGGTTCTGGACCAAGAAGTTTGTGGAGGAGTGGGATGCGGTGGGGGGTGGTGGTGGTGGGGTGGGGACGGAGGGAGGTGTGGGGGGAGGCAGAGGGAGGGTGTCTGCGATGGGTGTGAGTGGAGTTGGTAGTGGTGGTGGCGGTGGTGGCAGTAGTGCTGCTGCTGTTGCTGGTGCTGCGTCTGCTGCTGGTGTTGGGGGTGGTCGCAAGAACGTGAAGACGCTGTTGTTTCTTGAGGGCTGCCCGATCCCTCTCGGCTGCACGGTACGTGATGATGATGCCTCCTGACCTTCGTTCACTCTCTCAAGCCATGATGCGACTGTATAGCATCCGTACCACCGGTCTTGAGCCATAAGAGCCATATGCATGCATGCATGCATGTCCCTTACTATTGTATCGTACCATATGTATGTTGTCACGGAGTTGCTCTTGTCCCTTCAAAAACATGTGCTAAACGTTTCCCCTGCTCTTCTCCCCTTCTCTTCCTTCTGTTCCCTGCCTCCTCCCCGGTGCCCACTCTCCCCACCAGGTGCTGCTGATGGGGGCGCCCACAGCAGAGCTGAAGCGGGTGAAGCGGGTGATGCACTTTGCAGTGTTCGCCTCCCTGTACTTCTATCCTCACCCCTTCTCCTCTCTTCTTCCTTCGCCCTCCCGGCCCGCTACACTCCCATCCAGGTGCTGCTGATGGGGGCGCCAACAGCGGAGCTGAAGAGGGTGAAGCGGGTGATGCACTTTGCAGTGTTTGCCTCCTACCACCTCGCCCTCGAGACCTCCTTCCTCGCAGACGAAGGCGCCCTCCCCCCCGGCATCGCTCCCTGCCCTCCTCTGTGTGCCGCATTACCTCCTCCTGCTCCTGCTGCTCCTGTCAACTCCGCTCCTGCTGCTGCTGCTGCCCCGTTTCCCGCCGTTGCTGCTGACCCTCCCCCTCCTGCTGCTGCTGCTGGTGCTGGTGCTGCTGCTGACACGGCTTTCACAGTTGAATATGCTGCTGTTAATTCTCCAGGAAGATTTGGAGATGCTGGGAAAGGGGAGGGTGAGGGTGGGGAGCAAGACGGAGGAGCTGCCAGCTCCTCTGGTGCACTGACTGGCTCTCATCTGCCAGCTGGCGCTCAGCCATTGGCCGGTGACGCTCCCGCAGCGCAGCCTCATCTGCTTGCTGACGTCATGGCTGCTGACGTGGCTTCCACAGATGAATCCGCTGCTGTGGATCGTTCAGCTGGAACCGGTGCTGGTAGTATTATCACCCCTCCTCCTGCTATAGTCACATCTGTACCCGTTAGTAGCAGCAGCAGTGGCAGCAACAGGCCGTCACCTCGCCGGATCGCACAGCTCTCAGCATCCTTGTGGGCTAGTGGGGTGTCTGCTGTGAGAGAGGGTGTGCAGGAGAGTGGGGAGGGTGTGCGAGAGGGTGTGAGGGAGGGAGAAAGGCAAGGTCGAAAGGAAGAGGAGGTGGGTACTGGGGATACAGGAGGAGAAGGAAGCTCAGGTGGAGGTGCAGGAGAGGCGGCAGCGGGAGCAGCAGCAGGTGAGGCGACGGGGATTGCTCTTGGCACCGGTGATGGTGAAGGAAAGGGGAGTGAAGCGAATGCGACAGCACAAGGAGGGGCGTTGGAGAGTGAATTGCCTGCTGCAGCACCAGCACCAGCGGAGGCAGCAGCAGAGGCAGCCGGTAATGATGGGATTCTGCCTGTATCAGCACAAGGGCAGCAGCGGCAGGTGGACGAGGGGCTAACTCTGAAGCAATCCCAGCAGCCTGCAGGGGTGCTTTCTCCTCCTCCGCAGCAGCAGCAGCAGCAGGCGCAGCTGCGGCAGCAGGGAGGGGTTGGCATTGCGATTCTGCTGGATGGAACAGATACAGTGGACCCACATGCTTCTACTGATGCTTCTGGTGCTGGCGGTGCTGGCAGTGGTGGTGCTGCTGGTGCTGATGCTAGTGGTGGTGCTAGTAGTGATGCATTTCCCACTGCTGCTCCTCCTATTGCTGCTGCCATCACCGGCCCTACAACCGCAGCTGTACAGAGGAAGGGGGGTCTTATGGCGGACTCGTCCCCGTCTACCGGCCCAGAAGCAGCGCCTGACGCACCAGCACCAGCAGTGGCACAAGCAGCACCAGCAGCAGCAGAAGGGAGGGATCCCTCCTCTCAGCCTCTCACTATTCCCCCCTCTCTCGCCCCACAATCCCAGCTCGCCCCTCTCACCCCACAGCCCCACCTGGCCCACCCACTGGCCCCGGTATCACCGTCGGAGCACCAGTCGATCCTGGTGTGGGCGTCCAGCCGCTGTGTGTCGCGCAAGCTGCTGTGTGAGGCGCCAGAGCTGATGCGAATCAAGTATTATGGAGATAGGGACATGCCGCTGGGGCACTTCCTGACCCAGTTTGTTCTCAACCCCCTCTGGGTGAGTGGGCGTCTTTTTGTGGTTGCTTGCAAGTGCTTCCTGTATGTGGCTGCAAGTGCGGCATGCCATCACAGGACCACGTGCGTGTGTACTCGCACAAGGAGGGTTCCCTCACCATCTCCGTGCGCAAGGCCGATGACATCCTTCCCTCCTCCCTCCCTGTTCCCCCTCTCTCACACTTATACCCCTTCCTCCCCAGCGCTGCAAGTGCGGCATGCCATCACAGGACCATGTGCGTGTGTACTCGCACAAGGAGGGCTCCCTCACCATCTCCGTGTTCCTTCCCTTCTCCCTGTCTCCCCTCCTTTCCTCCCTTCCTACCCACCCAGCGCTGCAAGTGCGGCATGCCATCACAGGACCATGTATGGGTCTACTCGCACAAAGAGGGCTCCCTCACCATCTCCGTGCACAAGGCCGATGACATCCTTCCCTCCTCCCTCCCTGTTCCCCCTCTCTCACGCTTATACCCCTACCCACCCAGCGCTGCAAGTGCGGCATGCCATCACAGGACCACGTAAGGGTGTACTCGCACAAGGAGGGTTCCCTCACCATCTCCGTTCGCAAGGCCGACGACATCCTTCCCCCCACGCAAGTGGCAGGGGGGCTGGGGGGAGGGGGAGCAAGCGGGGGGAGGGGAGCCTATGGGGGAGGCGGAGGAGGGTACGGGGGAGGGGGAGTGAGTGCAGGAGCAGGGGAGGCGGACATGGGGTCTGGGCAGGACTGTGCTGTGTCTGGTGTTGGATCTGGTGGCTCTACTGGAGCTGCTTCTGTGGGCGGTGCGTGCCCGCCGCCCGCTGCCGCCCGGTGCATCTGGATGTGGCACCGCTGCCGGCAGTGCCGCCCGGTGGACGGAGTGGCGCCGGCCACGCGCCGCGTGCTCATGTCCGAGGCCGCCTGCAAGCTGTCGCTGGGAAAGTTCCTGGAGCTTTCTTTTACGAATCATGTGGTGGTGGGGCGCCTGGCGGCCTGTGGCCACTCGCTGCACCGCGACTGCCTGCGCTTCTACCGGTGGGTGAAATTAAATTACCGGATGGGTGCTATGGTGATCGTGTTGCGGTTCCATCCATGTGTAGGGCATTGGTAGTTTTGTTGGGGTAACATCCATCAGCCACTGCAGGGGCGCCTGGCGGCCTGTGGCCACTCGCTGCACCACGATTGCCTGCGCTTCTACCGGTGGGTGCCAGTGGCAGGGTGCTTGTGTTGCAGGTCTGTACCTAGCGGGTTGTTGGTGGAATGACAGGGTGGACGGAGTGGCGCCGGCCACGCGCCGAGTGCTCATGTCTGAGGCCGCCTGCAAGCTGTCGCTGGGAAAGTTCCTGGAGCTTTCGTTCACGAATCATGTGGTGGTGGGGCGGCTGGCGGCCTGTGGGCACTCGCTGCACCGCGACTGCTTGCGCTTCTACCGGTGGGTTCTGCAATGCCATGCGGGAGGACATCTTAGGCGCCTTAAAAGGCGCTACTACGGTACTACCTGTCATGTCATGAACGGCTGTAGAGGTTTGTGCATGAGTATGTTAGAGAGGTTGTAAGGCCCCAATCATCAGAGCGTCTACATGGAAAATGCAGATTACTCATGGCTGATTCTGTTGGATTCACAGTGTCTTCCCATTGCCTGCCCTTCCACTCGCATACAAACATACCATGCCTGATTTGCTCATTCCCCGTGCCATGACGTTTGTCTCTGTGAGCAGGAGTGGCGAGATGATAGCATGCCTGGCCTACTCGCCAATGCACCTCTACTCCGTCTGCCTGCCTCCCCTGCGCCTGAGCTTCAACCATGCGTTTCCCTCCCTCATACCATGCGTATTGTCCCTGTGAGCAGGAGTGGCGAGATGATAGCCTGCCTGGCGTACTCGCCAATGCACCTCTACTCCGTCTGCCTGCCTCCTCTGCGCCTGAGCTTCAACCACCGCCAGCAGCAGCAGTGGCTCGTGGACGAATTCAATGATGTGAGTGCTCCTGATAGGCCATTGACTCGGTTGACTCCCATTGACCTGGTTCACCCATATTCGTATCTCAATGCCTGAGCTTCAACCACCGCCAGCAGTGGCACAGGCTCATCATGGACGAGTTCAATGATGTGAGTGCTGCTGCTGTTGACTCCGTTGACTTGATTGAATCAGATTCGTATCACAGTGCCTCAGCTTCAACCACGGCCAGCAGCAGCAGTGGCTCGTGGACGAATTCAACGATGTGAGTGCCGCTGCTGTTGACTCCGTTGACTGAGCTGACTCCGTTGACTTGGTTCATTCATATTCGTATCACAGTGCTTGGGGTTCAACCACCGCCAGCAGCAGCAGCAGCAGCAGCTGCAGCTGCAGTGGCACAGGCTCATGAACGAGTTCAACGATGTGAGTGCTGCTGCTGTTGACTCTGTTGACTGCGTTGACTTGAAATCGTGGGCCATTGCTCACTCTGTGGCTGTCCAACCACCAGCAGCCGCAGATAGTAGCGACTGGATGTGGTGGTGGAGGCAGCGGAGCGGGTCTTCATGTACATCCTGAACTCTCTCGATTCCCTCGCAGCCTGCCCGGTGCCAAGAGGTTTGGAGTGGTTGCAGTGCACCCCGACACATTTTTCTCCTTCCCTCCCTGCCTTACTGACTGCCCTTTTCCCCAAACGGTGGCGGATGCAGCGGAGCGGGTCTTCATGTACATCATGAACGCTCTCGATTCCCTCGCAGCCCGCCCGGCACCAAGAGGTTTGCAGTGTACCTCACCCACTCTCCCCTTCCTTCCCCTTCCTTCCCGCCCCCCCCCAACAGGCAGCAGAGCGGGTGTTCATGGACATCATGAACGCCCTCGATGCCCACCCAGTACCGAGAGGTTGCAGTGCTAGTCGCCTCAACACCCTGTTGCCGCTCCCTCTCCCACCCCCACAGGTAGCAGAGGCAGCAGAGCGGGTATTCATGGACATTATGAACGCCCTCAATGCCCTGGCTGCCCACCCAGTGCCGAGAGGTTGCAGTGCAAGGAACCTCACCAACCTCACTCCCCTCCCGCCCCCACAGGTGGCGGAGGCAGCAGAGCGGGTATTCATGGACATCATGAACGCGCTTGATGCCCTCGCAGCCCGACTAGCGCAGGGTGGCCCGCTGTCTGCCAGCCGCTTTCCGGAGGCACGGGCGAGCCTGGCGCTGCTGGAAGCCACTCTGCAGCGCGATAAGGCGGCTCTGGATGTGAGTGTGTGGTGTGGTGCTGTGCGGTTGAATGCGCTTGATACTCTTGCAGCGCGCCTGGCTGCGGGCAGGCCGCTGTCTACCAGTCGCTTCCCCGAGGCACGGGCGAGTCTGGCGCTGCTGGAAGCCACTCTGCAGCGCGATAAGGTGGCGCTGGATGTGAGTTTAGTGCATTGTGGTGTGGTTCGGTGCGGTAAGGTACGGTGCGGTTGAATGCCCTTGACGCCCTTGCATCGGGTGGGCCGCTGTCTGCCAGCCGCTTCCCCGAGGCGCGGGCAAGTCTTGCGCTGCTGGAAGCTACTCTGCAGCGCGATAAGGTGGCGCTGGATGTGAGTGTGTGGTGTGGTGCGGTGCGGTGTGCTGTGCCGTGCTGTGTTGTGGTGTGCTGTGTGCTGTGGCTTCTTACCTGCTTTTGAGAATTCTCAGAAGTAACTACTTTCACGATGTTTCTCACTTCCTGCGCTTCTCTTCCATCTCTCCCACTGTTCCCTCCACAGAAAAAGCTCCAGCAGACAGCACCGGATTTCGGTCTGCCCGTCGAGCAGCCCGTGACAGACATTCTGGAGCTGAACCGAGTGCGGCGAGATCTGACCGTCCAATTGGCCGAGTGGGCGGAGCGGCTGCAAAGATTAGCGGCTGAGATTCAACAGCCGCCGCAGCAACCAGCCAGCCTGAGAGCAGCAGCCGTAGCGGCACCTCCAATGCAATCCGAAGCAGCAGTAGCCGCACCTGCGGCAGCAGGGTCGGAAACAGGCGGAGAAGAAGCAGGGCCTCTGCACCTCGCTGCCCGCTCTGCCGAGGCTCGGCGAAAGGAGGCCTGGGCGGCGGAGGCTCGGGAAACAGAGGCCCGGGAAACAGAGGCTCCAGGGACAGAGGCTCGGGGAGCAGAGGCTCCAGGGACAGAGGCTCGGGGAGCAGAGGCTCGGGAACCGGATGCAGGGGGGACAGAGGTTACGGGAACAGAGCCCCGGGAAGCTGGGAGAGAAGGTTCCAATTTGCCAGTATTGGAAGGTTCGGGGAGGGAGGGGGTTAAAGAAGTGGGAGAGAGTGGGAGGAAGGCAGAGCAGGAAGGGGAGGTTGGTGCAGGGAGTGTTTTGGCTGAGGGTGGGGAGGTAGGGGTGGAGGAGAGTGGGGTGGAGGGGAAGGGAGAGGAGGTAGTGGAGGGAGAGGAGGGCGTTAAAGAGCATGGGGTTGAGCAGAAGGGAGAAGAGGGTTTCAAGGAGAGTGAGGTTGATGGGAGGTTGGAGGGCGGCAGCAGTAAGGGAGAAGTGGGGGCAAGTGGTGAGGCAGCGACCTCAAATGTAATGGGTGGTGGTGATGCTGAGAGTGAGTGCGAGGAGGCTGAGGCAAGCAGCATTGGTGCAGCAGCAGATGCATGTGGGGAGGAGAAGGCAGAAGCATCTGATGAGAGCCCGGCGCCCCTTACCGTGACTGCGAGCCAGGAATTAGCAGGCAGGGGTGACCAAGACAATACAGGGGTGGCGATACATGGTGCTGTGGCGAATGTGCTTCCAGCTGGGGCCCCTGTTGGTGCTGCTGCTGCTGCTGCTGCTACTGTGGCAGAAGAAATTCCTGTTATGGCAGCTGCTGCTGTGGCTGCTGTTACTACTGTTTCTGCCACTACTCCTGCAGCTTCTTCTGCAACTGCTGCTGCTGCTGCCGCCGCTGCTGCACCTGCAGCCGAACAGGCCACTGGTCCTGCGGCTCTCCTTGGTGCTGATGTGGCAGCTGACGTGGCGGTTGCTGAGTCAGCAGCGGATGCTGCAGCAGTTGCTGACTGGGCGGTGGGAGTGGCAGGAGCAGCAGTGGTGCCCCGTGCGCTGTCAGTCGGCCATCTCCCTGTATGGGCCTCCTTTCCTGCTGCCGTTTCAGCAGCCTTGCCTTCAGCCCTACCAGCAGCTTTACCATCAGTCCTACCAGCAGTAGTATTACCATCAGTTCTGCCAGTAGCTTTACCTGGAAGTTCTCTACCCGCTTCGTCTGCAGCGAATGTAAGTGTGTTACCTGGAGCAGCGCCAACAGCAGCAGTTGCTGAAGATGAAGCACCAGCAGGAGCAGTGATAACAGCAGTGGTGACAGCAGCAGCACCAGCACCTGCACCAGAAACAGGCACAGAAGCAGCAACAGCAGCAGCAGCACTACCACCACCACCAGCAGCACCAGAACCAGCAGCAGCACCAACACAACCGGCAGCAGCAGCAGCAGCAGCGGCAGCGGCAGCGGCAGCAACAGAAGCAGTAAGGCCGAGCATGGCAGCGGGTCTAAGCAGTGCCCTGTCCGGAGCTTGGGGGTCGTTTCTGCTCCCGTTCTCCCGCCCTGCCAGCGTCAACAGTGCCGCGTCGCTGGAGGGGCAGGTTGAGGCGAGTGAGGATAGGGATGTTGAGGTGAAGGCAGGGGGTGCGGAGGCAAGGGAGGCGGAGACAGGGGAGGCGGAGACAGGGGAGGCGGAGACAGGGGAGGCGGGGACGCGGGAGGAGAAGGCTGGGGAGGAGAAGGAAGAGGAGGAGAAAGAAATGGTGGAAAATGTAGAGGAGAAAAACGCAATGGGGATGGAGGAAGTGAGATTGGCAGGGGTTGCATCTGAAGTGAATAAGTCAACAGAAGAGGATGCGGAGAAGCTTGAGGAGGGGAAGAAGGAGGACGAGTTGACTTCTCAGGCTGCTGATGGCATGGATGGGGGGTGTGTGAGTGAGATTGTTTCTGATGCTGCTGCAGAGTGCGGGGAGGATGCTCATTCTGGGACTGATGATTCTGATGGGACTGACGGGATAGCACAGGGCGCAGCTTTGGCGTTGGAGAGTGGGAGAGACTTGAGAGACGCTGGTAGCTGTAGCTTCTCAGACTGGAGAAGAGAAGGAGGGGCGCGAGAGGAGGAGGGGCGGCGTGCTGAGGAAGGAGTTGAGGAGAGGAAGGAGGAGGGAGGAGCGAGAGGGGAATGGAATGAGAAGAGGAAAAAGGCGGGTGGAACAAGAGGCGATGGGGATGAGGAGAGGGGTGAGGAGGGAGGAAGGGAAAGTGGAGAGGAGCAGCAGAAGGAAGCACTGACCGTCCCTGCAGACGCACCAACAGTGTCTGTGCCAGCACTAACACCAGTACTGTCATTGGCTGCTCCAGGCGTGATGCCAGTACTGCCAGCCTCAGCTGGTAGCACTCCGCGTCTCTCACGTCGCTCCAGCCTCCCTCCCCGTGCGCCGCTGCCTGGCAGCTGGGTGGCTTCCGGAGGGACGGCAGCAGACGCACCGTCACCAGCAGCAAGCACACCGACCGCAGCAAGCACACCGACCGCAGCAGCTAGCATGGCGGCAGCGGCAGCGAGCAAGGGTGCTGCAGAAGAGACACCAACAGCAGCTGCAGCTGCAGCGGCAGCGGCAGCGGCAGCGGAAACAGCCATCAACAGCGAAACAGGGGGCGCAGCAGCAGGTGAAGAAGCAGTTCCTACTGTTTTCTCGCCTGAGACTGCCTCTGGACCTGCTCTGCATCGGCTGTCTGCAGATGCAGAAGCAGCGCCTGTGCAGCCCACCACCACACCCACTCCTGCTGCTGCTGCCCCTTCTGTAACCACACCTGGAATTGAGGCATCGCCAGCTGCCGCCGCTGCTTCTGCTGATGCTGCTAGTGCTGGTGCTGGCTCTGCTGGTTCTGCTGGTGCTGCTGGTGCTGCTGATTCTGATGCTGCAGCAGCAACAGCGTCTGAGGAGGCAGCAGCGGCACCAGTACGTTCATTCAGTTGCAACACAGCTGGCAGCAGCAATAGGTCCCTTGCAACCACACCTATCAACCACCCTGCAGCAAGCATCACAGCGTCGCCTCTCTCCCGCTCGCCGTCCTTCCTCTCCCTGGCCGGCCCCTCCAGTGCCGTGCCGTCTCTGGCTTCCATTGGCAAGCTGGTGAGTGCTGGTGGGTAGCTGGTAAGTTCAGGTCGCTAGCAGGCACGCCTACCAACAACCCTGCAGCAACCACCACACTATCGCCCCTCTCCCGCTCGCCGTCCTTCCTCTCTCTGGCCGGCCCCTCCAGTGCTGTGCCGTCTCTGGCTTCCATTGGCAAGCTGGTGAGTGGGGCAAGTTGGTGACGGCACACCACTGGAGTTGGTATGATTGGATACATCATACATACAACATACATGCATTGGCATGAGTGAAGTAAGCGCTGAGAACTATCGAGAAGTTGTAAGCACGGCAATCTGATAAATGTATCCATCCGTGCAAACTCATGCATTTTCCTTCTTCAATCCTTGTTTGTACTTGATCTTTCTTTCGCAATAATTATTCCCCCTCCTCCTGCCCCCTACTCTCCTCTTCTCCCCCCTGACCCACCCCTGCACGCACATTCTACCTCAGTACCCTCAGGCCTTGCTGGGTAGAGCGCACGTGCTCCTCCCGCCAGGCATCGGGGGGCGCATCATAGCGGTTTACGAGGACGAGCCCACGTCGCTCATTGCCTATGCCATCTCGTCCAACCCCCCCACACCGTTCCCCATCCCTGTCCGTCCCTTTCCCCTTGACCCATGCAGTACCCTCAGGCCTTGCTGGGTAGAGCGCACGTGCTCCTCCCGCCCGGTATCGGCGGGCGCATCATAGCGGTTTACGAGGATGAACCCACGTCGCTCATCGCCTATGCCATCTCGTCCAATGAATATTACCGCGCCGTGCATGGTGCTGCCACTGTCGTCGGTGCTACCTCCCATGCTGCTACTGCTGCTGCTCACAGTGCCTCTGCTCAAACTGCCTCTGCTTCTGGTGCTGCTGCTGCAGTTACTACGTCTGCTCCTGGAGGAGGGACTGGGAGTGCTGGTGCGGGTGTGGGTGTGAATGTGGGGCAGATAGGGAGTGTGTTTGGGCCTGGAGTATCAGCCCAAGGGATTGGTGGGAGTGGCAGGGCGGTGCGGTCAGAGGTGGTGGGGGCTAAGGCAGTGGGTGAGCTGGTCAGGCAGGCCTCTGCAACAGCTGCAGCTGCAGCAGCAGCGGCGGCGGCGGTGGCAGCAGTTGAGTTAGATGCTGCAGCAGGAGGAGGAGCAACAGGCGCAGCAGCACCAGCAGCAGCAGCAGCAGCAGCAGCAGCAGGACAAGGAAGTCCAGTAGCAGCAGTGACAGCCGGAGGCGCCGGTTCAGCGGGCACAGAAGGAGCAGCTAGAGAAGAGGCGACTGGCAGCGGTGCTGCCCCTCCAGCAGATTCACATTCACTCCCGCAGAACACCTGTCGCCCCGATGCCTATGCGGCTGGTGCTGCTACCAGGCCGTTAGAGCCCGCCGCAGCCAGCAGAGAGGCGGGAACAGCAATGGATGTACAGTCCACAGCTGCAGAGGCAGCAGGGAAGGAGTCAACAGCAGGAGAGGGAAGAGGAGTCGATCGGACTACAGGAAGGGGAGAGGGAAGTGGAGCAGAGTTGGCGAGCACAGGTGCAGGAGCAGCAGCAGCAGGAGAAGTGTGTGGGGCTGCGGAGGCCAGAAGTTTTGGGGGGGGAGATGATGGAAGGGGCAGCAAGGATTGGGGGTCTAGTCGTACTAGTGACAGTGCAGCAGCCGCCCCCTGTGGCAGTTTGACGCGCGACAGCGGGCAGAGCCATGAGTTGTGCGTTGCTGCTTCGACAGAGAGTGCTGCGAGAATGGGTGCATCGACTAATGGAAGTGTAGGTGGTGCAGAGGGGATGGGAGCGTGTAGGGGAGAGAGCGGGGATGGTGGTGGGGGGGATGGGGATGGGTCGGATAGGGTTGGTGGTAGTGGGGTTGGGTTGGCGAGCAGAGGTGTCGAGGCATGTAGAGTAGACAGTGAGGGAGTGGAGAGCGGTGGAGTAGGAACTGGGGCTGAGTTGAGAACGCCAGCAGGAGCTGAGAAGGATGGTGCTAGTCCTGGTGTTGGTGTTGGTGTTGCTGCTGCTGCCACTGTCGGAGCGACACAAGGGCTGAAAGATGGCCTGGAACAAAGGCCGACGCTGCAAGAAATGTCTGCAAGTGGAAGTGCTGGTAGTGGTGAGGGTGCTGCTGGTGATGCTTCATTAATCACTGCTGACAGTAGTGGGGGCAGAGAGGAGGGCGTGCGCAAGCAAGAGGAGACATCACTACAAGACCAGCCCCCTGCATCCGCCATGCAGCACAAACAAGTGCAACAAGAACCTTCAGAAGCAGCGTCAGAACTGCCGCAATTGCAACAAGAACCATTTCAAGCACAGGCAGAAGCGCAGCCATCCGGGGGAGACACAGAGCCACTGCCAGGGCAATCCTTATCCCAGGAAGAGCTGGTGCCAGTGGTGTCTCGGGAAGAGCCGGTGCCAGTGCCCTCTCAGGAGGACCCGCTGCTATCCCGGGAGAAGCGGCACGTGAAGGTGGCATTCACAGTGGGCGGCAGCGACGACTCCCTGCCCTTCCCCGCCCTGCCCTTCCTCCCCGGCCCCACCAACAACCCCACCGGCACCACTGGCTCCAGCGGCAGCAGCAGCAGCAGCGGCGGCATTAGCGGCCTTGGTGGCATTACCGGAATTGGTGGCATGAGCAGCGGTGGTGGGATGGGCAGCAGCGGTGCATCGACGCCGGTGGGTTCTGGCAGTAGCAGCAGTCGTCGGCGTGGGGTTGCTGGCGGCATTGGTGGAGGGAGCAGCGGCTCTGCAGCGTCCTTCCAGGTGACTGCCTACTTCGCCAAGCAGTTTGACGCACTCCGCCGCAAGTGCTGCTCGCCCTTCCCACCGGCGGCCCCCGGCGCTGCCGCATCCGGCCAGCAGGGAGCTGCAGCCGATACGGGAGACGGCGGGGCAGGAATGGGAACAGCAGGGGCAGCAGGGGCAGCGGCAGCAGGGATAGCAGGGGCAGGGGAGGGGGTGGTGGACGGGAGTGGCGATTTGGAGTTTGTGCGGTCGCTGTGCCGTTGCAAGCGCTGGAGTGCCGAGGGTGGTAAGAGCTCCGTGTATTTCGCCAAGACTGCGGACGACCGTTTTGTCATCAAACAGGTGGGTGGGTGGGGCGAACTCTTCTGTCCCCTTGTTGAAGTTGACTCAGAAGTCAGTCTGCTCGCTGCAAGCGCTGGAGTGCCGAGGGTGGCAAGAGCTCCGTGTATTTCGCCAAGACTGCGGACGACCGCTTTGTCATCAAACAGGTGGGACGAACTCTCCTGTCCTCTAGCTATGCCCTCCCTCTGCCCTCTCCTCCTCGCCTCTGCGCTTCCCTCTCGTCTGCCCTCTCCTCTCCTCCGCCCTCTTCAAAAAAAAAAATGGCTTCGGGTTTTGGGTTTTGGGGTTTTTTACTTTTTTTTTTTCTCCTAGTTTTCTTGAACTCACACTCAAACCCTTGTGTTTCCCTCCAATATTTCCCATCCCCCTTATAAGGTGCAACGCAAGGAGATCCTGGCGTTTCGGGACTTTGCCAACGACTACTTCAAGCACCTCTTTGATTGCCATCTCACCTTGCCCTCCTTCTTTACTCCATCTTACAGCCACGCCCTTGATTTCACTGTCTGACCAACATGTCTTCATCCCCATTGTAATGTCTTCCTCTCCTCCCTCTCCCCCTGCTCAGGTGCAACGCAAGGAGATACTGGCGTTTCTGGACTTTGCCAACGACTACTTCAAGCACCTCTTTGACGCAATCGAGTCCGGCAACCCCTCGTGCCTCGCCAAAATCCTCGGCCTCTACCAGGTGGGGTCGTGATGAGTGTGTGGAGGATGGTGTGTGAAGGGTGTGGTTGATTCAAAGTGATTTCTTAGGGCTCAGAGTTCCGGCCGGCAACCCCTCCTGCCTCGCCAAGATCCTCGGCCTCTACCAGGTGTGCTTACCAGGTGGGGTTGTGAGGAGTGTGGAGTGGAGGATAGTGTGCGAAGGGTGTTGAATCAAAGCGGTCTTTGACTCCATCGAGTCTTGCAACCCCTCCTGCCTCGCCAAGATCCTCGGCCTCTACCAGGTGTGCTTGTGGGGGGTGGATGGTCATCGGCCGCTACTAGGTTCTACCAGGTGGGGTTGTGAGGAGTGTGGAGTGGAGGATAGTGTGCGAAGGGTGTGGTTGAATCAAAGTGGTCTTTGACGCAATCGAGTCCGGCAACCCCTCCTGCCTCGCCAAGATCCTCGGCCTCTACCAGGTGCGGTCGTGAGGAGTGTGTGGTGGGTGGACGATGGTGTTTGGTAGGTGAGGGAAGTGGTGGAGGATGGCATGCTCACTAAATGAATGGGCTGTCTGTAGGTGCCTTTTGAGTCGACTCAAAAGTCACCTCTTTTGAGTCGACTCAAAAGTCACCTCTTTTGAGTCGACTCAAAAGTCACCTCTTTTGAGTCGACTCAAAAGTCACCTCTTTTGAGTCGACTCAAAAGTCACCTCTTTTGAGTCGACTCAAAAGTCACCTCTTTTGAGTCGACTCAAAAGTCACCTCTTTTGAGTCGACTCAAAAGTCACCTCTTTTGAGTCGACTCAAAAGTCACCTCTTTTGAGTCGACTCAAAAGTCACCTCTCCTCTTTTGAGTCGACTCAAAAGTCACCTCTTTTGAGTCGACTCAAAAGTCACCTCTTTTGAGTCGACTCAAAAGTCACCTCTTTTGAGTCGACTCAAAAGTCACCTCTTTTGAGTCGACTCAAAAGTCACCTCTTTTGAGTCGACTCAAAAGTCACCTCTTTTGAGTCGACTCAAAAGTCACCTCTTTTGAGTCGACTCAAAAGTCACCTCTTTTGAGTCGACTCAAAAGTCACCTCTTTTGAGTCGACTCAAAAGTCACCTCTTTTGAGTCGACTCAAAAGTCACCTCTTTTGAGTCGACTCAAAAGTCACCTCTTTTGAGTCGACTCAAAAGTCACCTCTTTTGAGTCGACTCAAAAGTCACCTCTTTTGAGTCGACTCAAAAGTCACCTCTTTTGAGTCGACTCAAAAGTCACCTCTTTTGAGTCGACTCAAAAGTCACCTCTTTTGAGTCGACTCAAAAGTCACCTCTTTTGAGTCGACTCAAAAGTCACCTCTTTTGAGTCGACTCAAAAGTCACCTCTTTTGAGTCGACTCAAAAGTCACCTCTTTTGAGTCGACTCAAAAGTCACCTCTTTTGAGTCGACTCAAAAGTCACCTCTTTTGAGTCGACTCAAAAGTCACCTCTTTTGAGTCGACTCAAAAGTCACCTCTTTTGAGTCGACTCAAAAGTCACCTCTTTTGAGTCGACTCAAAAGTCACCTCTTTTGAGTCGACTCAAAAGTCACCTCTTTTGAGTCGACTCAAAAGTCACCTCTTTTGAGTCGACTCAAAAGTCACCTCTTTTGAGTCGACTCAAAAGTCACCTCTTTTGAGTCGACTCAAAAGTCACCTCTTTTGAGTCGACTCAAAAGTCACCTCTTTTGAGTCGACTCAAAAGTCACCTCTTTTGAGTCGACTCAAAAGTCACCTCTTTTGAGTCGACTCAAAAGTCACCTCTTTTGAGTCGACTCAAAAGTCACCTCTTTTGAGTCGACTCAAAAGTCACCTCTTTTGAGTCGACTCAAAAGTCACCTCTTTTGAGTCGACTCAAAAGTCACCTCTTTTGAGTCGACTCAAAAGTCACCTCTTTTGAGTCGACTCAAAAGTCACCTCTTTTGAGTCGACTCAAAAGTCACCTCTTTTGAGTCGACTCAAAAGTCACCTCTTTTGAGTCGACTCAAAAGTCACCTCTTTTGAGTCGACTCAAAAGTCACCTCTTTTGAGTCGACTCAAAAGTCACCTCTTTTGAGTCGACTCAAAAGTCACCTCTTTTGAGTCGACTCAAAAGTCACCTCTTTTGAGTCGACTCAAAAGTCACCTCTTTTGAGTCGACTCAAAAGTCACCTCTTTTGAGTCGACTCAAAAGTCACCTCTTTTGAGTCGACTCAAAAGTCACCTCTTTTGAGTCGACTCAAAAGTCACCTCTTTTGAGTCGACTCAAAAGTCACCTCTTTTGAGTCGACTCAAAAGTCACCTCTTTTGAGTCGACTCAAAAGTCACCTCTTTTGAGTCGACTCAAAAGTCACCTCTTTTGAGTCGACTCAAAAGTCACCTCTTTTGAGTCGACTCAAAAGTCACCTCTTTTGAGTCGACTCAAAAGTCACCTCTTTTGAGTCGACTCAAAAGTCACCTCTTTTGAGTCGACTCAAAAGTCACCTCTTTTGAGTCGACTCAAAAGTCACCTCTTTTGAGTCGACTCAAAAGTCACCTCTTTTGAGTCGACTCAAAAGTCACCTCTTTTGAGTCGACTCAAAAGTCACCTCTTTTGAGTCGACTCAAAAGTCACCTCTTTTGAGTCGACTCAAAAGTCACCTCTTTTGAGTCGACTCAAAAGTCACCTCTTTTGAGTCGACTCAAAAGTCACCTCTTTTGAGTCGACTCAAAAGTCACCTCTTTTGAGTCGACTCAAAAGTCACCTCTTTTGAGTCGACTCAAAAGTCACCTCTTTTGAGTCGACTCAAAAGTCACCTCTTTTGAGTCGACTCAAAAGTCACCTCTTTTGAGTCGACTCAAAAGTCACCTCTTTTGAGTCGACTCAAAAGTCACCTCTTTTGAGTCGACTCAAAAGTCACCTCTTTTGAGTCGACTCAAAAGTCACCTCTTTTGAGTCGACTCAAAAGTCACCTCTTTTGAGTCGACTCAAAAGTCACCTCTTTTGAGTCGACTCAAAAGTCACCTCTTTTGAGTCGACTCAAAAGTCACCTCTTTTGAGTCGACTCAAAAGTCACCTCTTTTGAGTCGACTCAAAAGTCACCTCTTTTGAGTCGACTCAAAAGTCACCTCTTTTGAGTCGACTCAAAAGTCACCTCTTTTGAGTCGACTCAAAAGTCACCTCTTTTGAGTCGACTCAAAAGTCACCTCTTTTGAGTCGACTCAAAAGTCACCTCTTTTGAGTCGACTCAAAAGTCACCTCTTTTGAGTCGACTCAAAAGTCACCTCTTTTGAGTCGACTCAAAAGTCACCTCTTTTGAGTCGACTCAAAAGTCACCTCTTTTGAGTCGACTCAAAAGTCACCTCTTTTGAGTCGACTCAAAAGTCACCTCTTTTGAGTCGACTCAAAAGTCACCTCTTTTGAGTCGACTCAAAAGTCACCTCTTTTGAGTCGACTCAAAAGTCACCTCTTTTGAGTCGACTCAAAAGTCACCTCTTTTGAGTCGACTCAAAAGTCACCTCTTTTGAGTCGACTCAAAAGTCACCTCTTTTGAGTCGACTCAAAAGTCACCTCTTTTGAGTCGACTCAAAAGTCACCTCGGAAGTGGTGGAGGATGGATGGCATGCTCACTAAATGAATGGGCTGTCTGTAGGTGCCGCCTTGAAATGCGCGCTGCCTGTTTGTCGTTCTCAACGGGTTTAGCTCACAGAGGAAGTTGTTCTATCGTTTCTCGCTTGACTCGATTGGTTCTTGAATGTGCTAGTTTCTCTCACTCTCTCTGCTCTCTGCTCCCTCCTCTCTGCGCCGTCCTTCCCGTGCATGAGTCTGCAGGTGACAGTAAAGGGCGTGACTATGGACGTGATGATGGTCATGGAGAACCTGCTTTCTGCTCTCTCCTCGCTTCCCCCTTATCTCTGCTCTCTGCTCTCTTTGCCTTTCTTCGATCACTTTGCTTCGTGTGTGTCACAGGTGACAGCAAAGGGCGTGACAATGGACGTGATGGTCATGGAGAACCTGCTCTACAGCCGTCGGATCACCAAGCTCTACGATCTCAAGGGCTCCCGTCGCTCCAGATACAACGCAGACTGCTCTAAGAGCAGGGTGCGTGCGCAAGGGGCTGGGTGGGGCTGGGTGGGGGGACCTGTACGTTCATTTGTGATAGGGGTGAATTTTGAGTCGACTCAAAAGTCACGTCGCTCCAGATACAACGCAGACCGCTCCAAGAGCAGGCTGCGTGCGGAAGGGGCCGGGTGGGGTAGGGTGGGGGGGCCTGTACATACACTTGTGGTACGGCTTTCCTGTACATGCATTTGTGATAAATCATTCCCACATCAAGTCCCCTTTTCCCCCGTCTCTTTCCCATTCTCTTCCCTCCTCCCCCCCTCTCCTCACCCCAGGTACTGCTGGATGAGAACCTACTAGAAGCCATGCCCACGTCGCCCATCTTCGTGGGGAAGCGATCCAAGCAGCTGCTGGAGCGCGCCGTGTGGAACGACACTGCATTCCTCGCGGTGAGACGAGATGGGAGTGGTTGAGAGTGGTTGAGGCCGGTTGAGCATCACGTGGGTTGGGTAGATGTGTAACGACACCACCTTTCTTGCACTGAGACAAGAGGAATTGAGAGTGGTTGCGAGTGGTTGAGAAACAGGGGGGGTTGGGTATACGTTCGCCTCCAAGCAGCTGCTAGAGCGGGCTGTGTGGACAACACGGCGTTCCTTGCGGTGAGATGAGAGGGTTTGAGAGCGGTTGAGAATCAATTTGGTTGGGTATACGTTTGCCTCAAAGCAGCTGCTGGAGCGGGATGTGTGGACAACATGGCTTTCCTTGCGGTTAGACGTGAGCGGTTGAGAATGCTTCTGAGCGGTTGCGAATCCGGTACAAACGTATTGGTAAACTCACCACCCCTCTACACCTGCTCCCTTCCCCTTCCCCTCCCCCAGAAACACGCAATAATGGACTACTCGCTGCTGGTGGGGGTAGAAGAGGAGCGATCAACACTAGTGGTAGGAATCATAGACTTTATCCGCCCCTACACATGGGACAAGCAGTTGGAAACATGGGTCAAGGCGTCTGGGCTTCTAGGGGGCGGCGGGGCGGGCAAGGACTCTACTCCGACGGTGATCTCCCCGTCGAACTACAAGAAACGGTTCCGGAAGGCCATGCAGACTTACTTTGTGATGGTGCCCGATCAGTGGGTGCCGAGAGTGCCGGAAATTGCTACCACGGCTGCTGGTGTGGTGGTGCCTGCTGTGCTGCCATCTAGACTGGTGCATCAGCATCAAGGGACAGAGCAGGAGCAGCAGCAAGAGCACAAGAAGCAGCAGCAGCAGCAGCAGCAGCAGCAGCAGCAGCAGCAGCAGCAGCAGAAGCCGCGACAGCAGTGAGTTGGAACCATTATAGCAGACTTACTTTGTGATGGTGCCGGATCAGTGGGTGCCAAGGGTGCCGGAGATTGCCACCACGGCTGCTGGTGTGGTCGTTCCTGCTGTGCTGCCGCCTAGGCTTGTGCAACAAGGGGCAGAGCCGGAGCAACAGCAGCAGCAGAACGGGCAGCAGCAGCAGCAGAACGGGCAGCAGCAGCAGCAGCAGCAGCAGAAGTAACAGCAGCAGCAGAAGCTGGTGTTGCAGGCACGGTTGCAGGCACGATTGCAGGCACGGTTGCAGGCACGATTGCAGGCACGATTGCAGGCATACTTTGTGATGGTGCGTGGGGGCCAGTGGGTGCTGGACCTGTGGGTGCTGCGACTTTTGAGGTGCCTCAATGGATGCTGCGGGGCCAGTGGTTGCTGCGAGTGCCGATTGTTGACAAGTAAGCACAGCCAGAGCGGGAGGAGGAGGAGGAGGAACGCCGAAGGCCTCAGCAGCAATGGATGGCTTGCATTGCAAGATGAGCACAAGTGGCAGAAGGTGCCGAGGTACAGTAAGCCAACTCTGGATAGTTGTTAAATATGCTGTATATAATTCTTAACAAGGTGCCATATAGGTTCTACGGTATGTTCTCATATTTTGTTGTTGATGTTGGTGCTGAATGGGACTCAAGAGCAGTTGAGATGGAGAGAGCAGGCTTATGTTACACTTCTCACCACGACTGGTAGTGGGCAGGGCAGTGGCCCATTTGTAACATCAACAATCTACGCACGGACATTACGGGCCGTGATCTCAGAAGAAGGGAGTGCTCGAGTAAAAGGTACCTATGTAAGTGACAAATAAGGTACCTATGTAAGTGACAAATCATAGCCTGTAGGTGCCTCAGGAATAGTCAAACTGCTTGGCACCGTTCCTCTCGAATCATATCCTGCACTCTCTCCTGCAGAACTTCATACGTCTCAGTCACCTCTATCTTTGCCCCTGACATTCTTTGATAAAACCTCTCATACGACCTCCCCGCACCCTCCCCCCCCTTGCGAAAATATATAATATTCTTCCCACCCCAATAGCTAGAGAGCACGGAGGTTCCCCCTTGCACACTGATAAAACAGGAGCTTCGGGCCATCATCCTAAACTGAACCTCGTTGAAACTTAGGCTCGGCCAAGCCTCGTGAATCTGCTGCATGGTTCGGAACCGAGCCTGCGAACCAAACTCCTCAGCCAGCTTCGGGTGGTCCCCCAAATCAGCCAAGTCTGATTGCTCCACATCCGTTTTCACCGAATCCCCAGGCCGGTTATACACCACATAATACCCCTTATTGAGAAACTCGCGAGTGATGTTAAGGAGGGTTGGGACGTCAATAAAATTAACGGGGGGTTCCTGCCATTCAGTCTCATACTTGTTGCTTATAATCACAAGCGGAGCCCCCCCTACAGGAACATCAAGCCACACCCGGCCGAGCTCACGCGTCCGGTACACTATCGGCGGAGGATGCCAGTACTGCGGAATGTCACTATGATGAAGCCCCTGGGTGAACCCATACTTGGTAATCCAGTTGCGGTCACTGGAGCGTTTACAGTCTGGGTTTGAGGAGTGGTTAGGGCTGAAATAGTAGAGGAGAGAGAGCGGGACGCCACAGGTCTTAGTGGATCTAAGAGTTCCGTTGAGGAAATGCCAGTAGGCGTGGGGGAGGACTGCGATCAGCTCGTACCCAAACTCGCCTGTATAGAAGAGGTCTATAGCGGGGATGGAGCTGTCTGGTGGTGGGTTGGGCGAGGGGTTGAAGGAGGAATTGCAGGGGCAGACCCATGCAGGGGGGGTGTCGTCTGGGGAAAGGGGGGGAAAGGGAGCAGGGGGGTGGAAGGAGGAGGGTACATGCATTGGTTAAGTGAACTTTATTGCAGGGGCAGACCCATGTGGCGCGATGGGGTGTAGTCTGGGGAAAGAGGCGGAAGGGAGCAAGGGGGGGGAGGGGAGAGAATGGTTTGAAGGAGGGAGGTAAAATACAATGCTTTGAACATTACTTCAACAAGAAAGCAAGAGATTGTGCACGAGCACGGGCGGCCACAGGGGCAGGGGATGTCGCCTGGGGAAGGGGGTAAACGGACGTAGGGAAGGGCAGAAGAGGCGGAAAGGGGCAGAAGGAGAGAGGTAAGGAGGGAAGTCACAGGCATTGCTTAGAAAATTGCTTGAGAAGAATTTATCACATGAGCAGATTCATGGGAGGGGGGATGTCTGGTGAAAAGGGCAGGGAAAGGGGGGGAAGGGCGGAAGGAGCAGAAGGAAGGAGGTGTGAGGCATTGCTGAATCATGGCTTTAGCAAAACTCTAGAGGCGCCTCAAAAGCGAAAGGAGCGGAAGGAATGAGGCGTCAGGCATTGTTGAAACCGTGGCTTTAGCAAATAGCACTGCTGGGGCTGAACGGGAAAGCGAGGTGATGGTTGTGTATGAAGAGGGAAGGCGTGGAATGGTGCGAACGGGGAAGGCGTGGGGAGGGCGAACAGGGAAGGGGTGAGGATATCCTGAAGAAGGGCGAACGGGAACGGGAGGCGATGGATTTGGGATTGGCAGGTGGGTCTGGTAGTGGGTTTGGTAGGTAGTTGATGCTGGGTTTGGGTGAAGCGGGTGTTATGGCAGGTGGGTGGCCGTTAGCGGGTACGGGCTGTGTGACTGGCATGGATCAGTGCCCCCCACGTGAATGCTAGATGAATGCTAGATGAAGCACGAGAAAGCAGAGGGTGCAGTGAAGAGCTGGATGGATGGATGGATGGATGGATGGATGGATGGATGGATGGATGGATGGATGGATGGATGGATGGATGGATGGATGGATGGATGGATGGATGGATGGATGGATGGATGGATGGATGGATGGATGGATGGATGGATGGATGGATGGATGGATGGATGGATGGACGCACACTAATGGAAGAAAATAGCACCAGAGAGAGCAAGTAAGTTAAGGCCTTTCAATGAGAGACATTCATGTCACTCACTTGATTTACAATCGGATGAATTGTTTGCAGAGGCAGGCTCAGCAGTAGGCGCGGCGGCAGGCTTGGAATCCGAACCAGCACCTAGCTTCGGATCCGGCTCGGTAACAGTGGCTGCTGGTGAACCTTCCGGTGGTGGAGAGCCCTTGTCGTCTGCTTGGGACAATAGCCATTTGCAGCAGGAACAGCACAAAACGCTGAGGGAAATCACGTGAGAAGGGGAGAGAAATAGGATAGACAACGAATTATGAGAGAGGGAATAACGAGAGGAGGCGGATAGACAAGGCGGGGAGAGGGGGAGGGGGGAGGGGTGAGGGGAGAGGGATGAGGGGAGAGAGGAGAGGGAAGAGTGGGCAGGGGAAGAGCCCAAATCAGGTGCGCACCAGACGCGGCAGCAAGGCGGCTTGCGAGAGCGAGGGCAAGGAGCAGGAGAAGGAGGATCCGAGACGAGCGACGAGCGACGATGAGCGACGGACGATGCGCGACGATGCACGAAGACCGACGAGCGAGCTGAAAAGGAGAAGGCCGCGGCGTGGTGGCAGCAGCAAGGGACCTTCCGTGAACAATGAGGCCGCACGATGCGGCGGCGTTGCGATCCTTGCCGCACAATGCGGCGGTGTTGCGATCCTTGCCGCACATCATTGCACGATAGATGATTAGACGAGGCGGTGCGGTCCTAGGGGAGTTCTACGCAGAAGTGTTTTGAATCGTCCCGACTATCATTGCCGCACATTGGCCCAGTCCCAGAGTCGAATGGGTTACTTCACAGCAAAATCGAGAATTACTACTTCTCGGTGGTAAGTCGATTGTTGAGTCGAATCAAAAGTACTACTTCTCTGTTGAAGGATAGTAGCCTCCGAGTGCGCTACGTTGCGGAGCGGTGATGCATCCTAGGGGTACAGTGCGTACCAGCAGTCCCTGTCCGGTTCCGGCGGCTCAGAGAAACAAAGCGAGCTGAGCGCAGCGAACGATGGCTGCTGCTCTCAAGGCTTCCTTTGATGCGCCTCTACATACAGCTTCTAGTTCTTAGACATCTCAAAACTCTTGAGTCGACTCAAAAGTCTAATCAAGGCTTCCTTTGATGCGCCTCTAACGTACAGCTTCTAATTTTTAGAAATCTCGAAACTCGCTGCTCTCAAAGCTTGCACTAAGGCGCCTCCAAGAGACTGAGCTTTTAGCAAGGGCCGTTGCTCTTTGATCTGAAAGGCATCGCTGTTCACACCGCTGTTCAAGTTGTGTCTGTTGGAGTGCTAGGCTAACCGTAACCTAAAGGTACGGTCGATGCTGCTCAGACTACTTGCAATCAGAAGCCATTCACAATCACATTTGAATGTTTTTACTATGGGCAATGTTCCACGGAGTACGGACAGTCGCCAGCATCTTTGGAAGGTAGTGACTGTAGAGTGGCAGATTTACAGGGCGCCTCGAGCCCGAATTGCAGTGAAACCTTTGACGGCCTCGCGCTGCCAGGGTACGCCACGTCGGCCGCGATTGAACTGTCAAGTCCGACTCCTCCACGTGTGAGTGCGCTGCCACCTCACACCCTCACCCGATATACGTAATCATGCGCGTAACCATGTGGCCCATACGATCTGTTTACTGAAGTGAACATATTTTATACACATGACCTGTAGTCACATAATGATAGGACCTTTTAGTTGCCCTTCCCACCATTCTATTGTCAGTTCGTATAGTCACTGCTTTGTTATTTGTTAATTCCGCACAATAAGTTTGACAACCCATAACACTCTTCACAGCTTGTAACCGTGCCCTTACGGCCATTATGTAATGCAATATACACAGATTTACAGATATACACCGACCGCTCCTCGCAGCACGTGTAACACATGTTCCACATCAACAAATGGGAGATGCGAACGAACTGCTCTGGCCTAGACCCGGCGCGCACAGCCTCGGCAATCCAAGCCGCAGCAGCAGCTGCGAGAGCAGCTTCGGGTCGACAGGCTTCTGCAGAACGCCATCAAAGCCACGGCAGCGCCGCGTGACCTCATCATCCACATCTGCTGTGAGCGCCACTATGAGGAGCCTTGCATGCCTGATTGCGCCCTGAGGGATGGTGGGGGCTTTCGAACCTTGCGAGCTTGATTGTGTGTGTTCCGTTGCTGTTCTGTCTGCAGCTTCTGTCGGGGATGTGGGATGAAGCAGCAGCGCTTGTTCGTGTGCTCGTATGGCCTCTGTGGCTGCGTACGTGAGGGGGATTGCAGCGAGGAACGGGCAGAGGCATGGGAGTGGAGAGTGCTTTTGAGTCCACTCAGATGAAGCAGCAGCGCTTGCTCGTGTGCTCGTATGGCCTCTGTGGCTGCGAACCTGAAAGAGGCACCGGCAGAGGCATGGGAGAGGAGAGACAGGAGGTCTGAGATGGATAGTAGTTGTTCGTGTGCCATATGGCCTCTGTGGCTGCGAACCTGTGGGGGATTGCAGCGAGGAACGGGCAGAGGCATGGGAGAGGAGAGACAGGAGGTCTGAGATGGATAGTAGTTGTTCGTGTGCCGTATGGCCTCTGTGGCTGCGAACCTGTGGGGGATTGCAGCGAGGAACGGGCAGAGGCATGGGAGAGGAGAGACAGGAGGTCTGAGATGGATAGTAGTTGTTCGTGTGCCGTATGGCCTCTGTGGCTGCGAACCTGTGGGGGATTGCAGCGAGGAACGGGCAGAGGCATGGGAGAGGAGAGACAGGAGGTCTGAGATGGATAGTAGTTGTTTGTGTGCCGTATGGCCTCTGTGGCTGCGAACCTGTGGGGGATTGCAGCGAGGAACGGGCAGAGGCATGGGAGAGGAGAGACAGGAGGTCTGAGATGGATAGTAGTTGTTCGTGTGCCGTATGGCCTCTGTGGCTGCGAACCTGTGGGGGATTGCAGCGAGGAACGGGCAGAGGCATGGGAGAGGAGAGACAGGAGGTCTGAGATGGATAGTAGTTGTTCGTGTGCCGTATGGCCTCTGTGGCTGCGAACCTGTGGGGGATTGCAGCGAGGAACGGGCAGAGGCATGGGAGTGGAGAGAGCAGGAGGTAAGGGACGGGTTAAAGTTGTTTGTGTGTTCGTATGGCCTCTGTGGATGCCAACCTGGGTGGGATTACAGCGAGGGACGGGCAGAAGTGGCCGCGGAGAGAACGAGGTTTGGGGCATGACAGGTTTGGGGCATGGAAGGGTTGAGGCATGGTAGGGTTGAGGCATGGCAGGGTTGAGGCATGGCAGGGTTGAGGCATGGCGAAGCATGGAACTGAAGGACACACGAGAGACAGTCGAAGTGATTTGTGGGGCATTCACCCATGCATTCACATGACTCACCCGTCCATGCCCACACTCACCCGTGAACACGAGCGACGCACCTGTCCATGAGGGCATGTGCACTTCCTGTGATGCCCAGCTTTCTATCTCTCACACACATACTCACAAACGACCCACCACCCACCCACAACCCGTCCATAAGGGGCATCTGCAGGTCCATATTATTATAATTATTAATAACTAACTGAAAAAAAAAATATTATTATTATAATAAGTTATATTATTATTATTATTATTATTATTATTATTATTATTATTATTATACGACACACACGACTCACCCGTCCATGAGGGGCATCTGCAGGTCCATGAGAACCACATGCACATGCCCCTCCACCGCCTCTGCAGCGCCTCCCAAGCCAGGCTCCACAGGGTGTGCGCTGCCCCCCAGGCCCAGGGCGAGCTTGACTTGCCGCAGCGCCTCCTCCCCGCTGGCTGCGGTGGCGACGGTGGCGCCGCTGCGAGTGAGAGTGCGGCGCGCCACCAGCAGATTCACAGCCGCATCGTCCACCACCAGCACGCGCACCCCCCCAAGCACCCCCGCACCTTGCTGCACCGCACTCAACCCCTTTCCCGGCAGCGACCTATGCCTTCGCTGCACTTCCCCGCCTGACAGGGAGGCAGCCGCTGGTGCGGCTGCTGCTGTTTCTGCTCCTGCTCCTAGTGCTGCTGCTGTTTCTGCTCCTGCTCCTAGTGCTGCTGCTGTTTCTGCCCATGCTCCTAGTGCTGCTGCTGTTTCTGCCCCTGCTCCTAGTGCTGCTGCTGTTTCTGCCCATGCTCCTAGTGCTGCTGCTGTTTCTGCCCCTGCTCCTAGTGCTGCTGCTGTTTCTGCCCCTGCTGTTTCTGCCCCTGCTCCTAGTGCTGCTGCTGTTTCTGCCCCTGCTCCTCGTGCTGCTGCTGTTTCTGCCCCTGCTCCTAGTGCTGCTGCTGTTTCTGCCCCTGCTCCTAGTGCTGCTGCTGTTTCTGCCCCTGCTCCTCGTGCTGCTGCTGTTTCTGCCCCTGCTCCTAGTGCTGCTGCTGTTTCTGCCCCTGCTCCTAGTGCTGCTGCTGTTTCTGCCCCTGCTCCTAGTGCTGCTGCTGTTTCAGGCCTCCCAGTGTCGTCTACAGCCTCATCTCCTCTTCTACTGCTGACGCTGTTGCTTCCGCTGCTGAAACCACCACTCTGTAGCACACCCAAGCTCGTTGCCAACACCTCTGCACCCAAGCTCGTTGCCAACACCTCTGCACCCAAGCTCGTTGCCAACACCTCTGCACCCAAGCTCGTTGCCAACACCTCTGCACCCAAGCTCGTTGCCAACACCTCTGCACCCAAGCTCGTTGCCAACACCTCTGCACCCAAGCTCGTTGCCAACACCTCTGCACCCTAGCTCGTTGCCAACACCTCTGCACCCAAGCTCGTTGCCAACACCTCTGCACCCAAGCTCGTTGCCAACACCTCTGCACCCAAGCTCGTTGCCAACACCTCTGCACCCAAGCTCGTTGCCAACACCTCTGCACCCAAGCTCGTTGCCAACACCTCTGCACCCAAGCTCGTTGCCAACACCTCTGCACCCAAGCTCGTTGCCAACACCTCTGCACCCAAGCTCGTTGCCAACACCTCTGCACCCAAGCTCGTTGCCAACACCTCTGCACCCAAGCTCGTTGCCAACACCTCTGCACCCAAGCTCGTTGCCAACACCTCTGCACCCAAGCTCGTTGCCAACACCTCTGCACCCAAGCTCGTTGCCAACACCTCTGCACCCAAGCTCGTTGCCAACACCTCTGCACCCAAGCTCGTTGCCAACACCTCTGCACCCAAGCTCGTTTTAGGGAGGGGGCGGGCAGGTGGCAGCAACTAGGAGCTGCAAATAGGGGGGTTTGGCCACTAGAGGCTCACCTGATGGCAACAGAGGCTCACCTGATGGCAACAGAGGCCCACCTGATGGCAACAGAGGCCCACCTGATGGCAACAGAGGCCGACCTGATGGCAACAGAGGCCCACCTGAACGGCGTGGTGCAGATGATGAGAGCGCAGCGGGCAGCGACAGACGACCACCCGGGGAGGGATTGTAGCAGAGGCAGCAGGAGCAGAGCCAGAAGGTGAAGCAGAAACATCAGAGACCACAGATGCAGCAGACGCAGCGGCAGCATCACATGTGGCAGAGGCGGCAGACGCAGTTGATGAGGCAGTATGAGTGGATGAGACAGCGGCAGTTGCGAGGGGGCAAAAAGGTGGGCTCTGTATTTGACTTAAACCCCCTCCATCTCCTACTCTTGCAGCTCTTTCCTCTCTTTGTCGCTCCTCTCATCCCCCTCCACCTCCTCCTCCTCTTCTCTTTCGTCCCCCTCCTCCTCCTTTTCCTCACTCTTCTCCTCCCACTGCTCCTCCTCCTCTTCCTCGTCCTCTTCCTCTTCTGCATCCTCCCCCTCGTCCCCATCCCCCATCACCTCTCCACCACAGCAGTCTGTCAGAACGACCGCCCCCACCACCAGAGCATCACACCCCATCCCTTCCATCCCTCTCACCGCCCGCACACCTGCATGCCACACTGCTGCCTCCCTGCTGCCTCCCCCTGCTGGCACCAGCGCCACCACAGGCCCTCTCTTGCCCCACGCCCGCACACCTGCCTGCCATGCTGCTGCCTCCATAGATCTTCCCCCCCTGCAGCCTGCAGCCTCACAAGCTACTTCCCCCCCTCCCCTCCTCCATGCACCGTTACAAGATACATCCCCTCCTCCCTCACTCTGCACCCTCCACAGATCCTCCTCCTCCACCACCACCACCCAAGGCCGACTCTCCCTCATCTCCTCTTCCTCTGTTCCCGATCTCCCCTCCCCTTCTTCTCCCGCCCTCCTCTTCCCACTGAACCACCTCATCACCCACCCTCCAAACTCCCCGTTACCGCTCTCCACCATCCTCCCCACATGACCCGCGGAGGGGGACTGGCAGGGAGATGATAATAACTTCCTCCCACTAGCCTCGCCTCCTGACTCCCTGCTGCTGCTCCCCACCGTGTCCCCCACATGACTTGTGTTGAGAGAGTGCAGAGACAGATATGAATCTTCCCCATTTCGTTCTCCTTTGGAATCCCCGTGACTGCTCCCCACTGTCTCCCCCAAAGGCACTGTCTTCGGAACCGATTTCTGAGGCTCCTGGTTTGCACAAGTCCGGCAGCAAATGCACGTGGGCATCAAGTCCTGCTGATGGGTCTCCAGCTGTGAGTCGGGCTTGAGAAGTCTCAAGAGCGTCTGTTGTTGGGTGTGGCAGTACGTGCACGTGTGCGTGCGCCGAGTCCTGATAGGATTCTCGCTGTGAGCTGATGGGGGTGCGGTTGGACAGGGTGGGGTGGAGGGAGAGGCGAAGGAGGGGGGGGGAGGGCAGGTTGAGAACGCAGAGGAAGAGAATGCAAGAGGTGTGAGGAGGATAGAGAGGTTTGTGGAGAGCGGAAAGGTGTGTGGGGGAGGGAAAATGTGTGTGGGGGAGGGAAAATGTGTGTGGGGAGGGAAAATGTGTGTGGGGAGGGAAAATGTGTGTGCAGAAGCTCCTGAGTTCGTCTCAAAAGAGCAGGGATGCAGCATAAGGGGAAACACGGGTGACCAAAGAAGGAAGGCATAAAAGATTCACAGTGTGGATTCCGCCCACACACACTCCCCCACTCACCTCCACAGTGTGGAGTCCGCCCACACACCCACCAACTCACCTCCACAGTGTGGAGTCCGCCCACACACCCACCATCTACTCACCTCCCTCCCGTACATCTCACTCCCCGCCCCGCTACGCAAGAAAACCGCTCCCTGCAAGCCCCCTATACAACCCATCCCCCTCCTTCCCAAATCCGCACATGATTTGGCAACTCAAATCCGCAGATAACAGCCACTCACCTCTCTCCTGTACGGGTCGCGCCCCGCTATGCCAACAGCCACTCCCTCCAAGCCCAGCCCAGCAGATACCCCATCCCGTCCTCCCTCTCCAATCTGCGTGTGATACTACGACATTTCTTCAATTGTCTCGGAAATTCCCTCCACTCACCTCTCTCCTGCCCAGGTCGCGCCCCGCTACGCCGACAGCCACTCCCTCCAAGCCCCTCATGCACCCCATCCCTTCTCCCCTCTAGAATCTGCGTGTGATGAAACGACTTTCCTTCGATCAACTACCCCCCCCCCCCCCTCTGCTCACCTCTCTCCTGCCCGGGTCGCGCCCCGTTACGCCAACAGCCACTCCCTCCAAGCCCCTCATACACCCCACCCCCTCCTCCCTCTCCCATTTCCGCCTCTCAACCTGCCCGCGTGTCTCTGCCGCTGAATTCCCCACTCCTCCCCTGCTGCTACAGCCCAGTGTGCTTCTTGAATGCCTCATGTCCCCCGTGCCTCTGCGATTCAGTCCGCTCCTGCGCCCCAGAATGGCCCCACATCTCCACAACTCCTCGGCATCATTCTCATCCTCTTCCCCCTCCTCCCCCTCCTCCCTCTCCCATGTCCGCCCCTCTCCCTGCTCTTGTCCCACAGCCCTGGAACGCTCCCCATCCCCCCTGCTGCGGCAATACAGTGCGCCCCTATGTCGCAGCATTGCAGCACATCCCCACATATCCTCCGGCCTGATCGCATCCTCCTCTCTCTCCTCTCCCCCCTCCCCTCCTCCCGCATCCTCTTGCGAGAGAGGACAAGCAGTATGAGTTCCGAGGATGTCAGAAGCGCAAGGGTGAGTAACACGATGGGGAGGAAAGGAGGGGCGAGTAATGGCAGTGGGAGTGACGGGGGGCGAGGGGGGCGAGGGGGGCGGGGAGAAGGGGAGGGAGAAGGGGAGGGAGAAGGGGAGGGAGAAGGCGAAGGTTGAGCCGATGCCGGGATGAGACAGGTAGGCCACATGCCCCCCCATGAGGGTCACCTGGTGGGCGGGGGAGTAGAAGGGAGGGAGGGGAGCGAGCAGAAGGGCAGAGGGAGGAAGTTAGGTAGCGGCTAAGCAGACTGCACCACACGACCGCTCATGAGGGGGAGGAAAGAGGTGGGATGGGAGAGATGCCACACAACACAATCAATGTCTATCTATCTAGCATAGGTGGTAGCTGATTCGATAGACGGTGCAGAGATGGACGAGAGTGGAGTGGAGATGAAGGAGGCGGCAGGGGATTTGCAAGTGAATCGCGAGAGAAGCTCTCACCAGTTGGTGCGTGAGAGCCAGACCCAGCCCCGCCCCTCCACTCTCTGTCCGCCCCTGCATTAATCGAACATAGCCAAGCAGGCAGGCACGTAGAAGCAGCAAGTAGATCAGTGAGCCAGCAGCAGGAGAAATGCCAGAGGACACAGTATGCCCTCCTCCTTCCTTGGCAGTGCTTTCCATGCCTCCCTCCTCCATCACACTCCCTCCTCTTTCACACTCCCTCCTCTTTCACACTCCCTCCTCTTTCACACTCCTTCCTCTTTCACACTCTTTCCTCCCTTACACTCCCTCCTCCCTCACACTCCCTTCTTCCTCACACTCCCTCCTCCCTCACACTCCCTTCTCCATCACAGTCCCTCCTCCCTCACACTCCCTTCTCCCTCACGCTCCCTCCTCCCTCACACCCCCTCCCAGTATCCTCACACGTCACCACCAGGTGTGTGGTGAGTCATCTCAACAATAGTCACATGAGTTACCTTGATTGCAAAAAGGTTTTTCTTGAAAGGAGGAATCGAAGCCACAGCCGGTATCCTCACACGTCACCACCAGCTGCATGCGCTCCCCACCCCCTGTGTGAGACTCTTGACCATTTTCAAACACTATTTGCACATCCTAATCCGCGTATGCTTTTTGAGAATTCTAAAAAAACATGCCCGTATCTGCCTGCGTAGAAGTTACCTCGAATTAAAAAAGGTCTTCCTGAAAGGCAGCATCAAAGCCGCACCCCGTATCCTCACACACCACCACCAGCTGCATGCGCTCCCCACCCCCTGCTGCAAGAGACTCCTGAGAATCCCCACATGCCATCTGCACGCCCTCCACCTCCCCACCCCCGCTCCATCCACTACCATCTTCAGACCCCTCACTTCCCCCCTCCCCTCCAACTCCCTCCCTCACTTGCCCACTTTCCCCCGACGTTTCCCCTGCTGCTTCTTCCGTTCCTCCTACCACCGCTCGCCCTTCAATCGCTTCACTCTGTGCTGCTGCATCTGGTTTACTCCAAGGCTTTGAGAGAGCATGCGAGAAGCGTGTTGCAATGATGGAGGCAAAGTGAGTGGCTCGGGCGAAGAAAGAGGGGCTAGGAGGAGGGCACTGCTGGATCGGTGCACCTGATGCGTCTGAAGGAGAGAAAATGGAGAAACATGGGTGAAAGAGGGAGGGAGCAACAAGGGTGGGGAGGCCTTTTGAGACGTCAGTAGCACGGGCGAAGAAAGAGGGGCTGGGAGGAGGGCACGGCTGGATCGGTGCACCTGATGCGTCTGAAGGAGAGAAGACGGAGGAACAGGGTTTGAGAGGCACGGAAGAGCAGGGGATAGCTGTGAACAACTCCACTCCACCGTTGACTCGACGCGTGAGAGAGAAACATTGGTGGAGACGCATGGAGCAGCAAAGCAACGATCACGGAACAGGAGAATGTGCGGACGACTATAAATTGTGCAAGGTAGGAGGAGCACCAGAAGCGGATTGAATTTTGAGTCGACTCAAAAGTCAACAAGGTAGGAGGAGCACCAGAAGCGGATTGACTTTTGAGTCGACTCAAAAGTCAACAAGGTAGGAGGAGCACCAGAAGCGGATTGACTTTTGAGTCGACTCAAAAGTCAACAAGGTAGGAGGAGCACCAGAAGCGGATTGACTTTTGAGTCGACTCAAAAGTCGACAAGGTAGGAGGAGCACCAGAAGCGGATTGACTTTTGAGTCGACTCAAAAGTCAACAAGGTAGGAGGAGCACCAGAAGCGGAAGGAGCAACCTGCACTGTGCATGTGGGGAAGGGAGAGAGGAGTGAGGGAGGGAGGGCACCGACTGATATGGAGGAGGGCGTGTTCTAGAGGTGTGGAGGCAGGCCACACAGCCACTCGCAGCAGCACGTGGACTTGCCGCGCCTCAGGGGAAAGGGGAGGACTGAGGGGACCCAGGGGAGAGGAGGGGGCACTAGGGAGGGAGAGCACTGACTAATATGGAGGAGGGCGTCCTCTAGAGGTGTGGAGGCAGGCCACACAGCCACACGCAGCAGCACGTGGCTTTGAGGTGCCTCAGGAGAGGGGGTAGGGTTGAGAGGACCCACGAGAGGAGGAAGCACAAGAGAGGGAGGGAAAACTAGAGGAAGGAGAGAGCACTGACTGATATGGAGGAGGGCGTCCTCTAGAGGCGTGGAGGCAGGGCACACAGCCACGCGCAGCAGCACATGGCCCTCCGCGGTGTGGTGAAGCGCATTGTCTGGATCGTTGGGCACGGCGGATAAGGGTGTGCGATGGTCAAACATGCATAGGAGGGTCAAGCCAGCAGCGCAGCATGTGTTTGTGCTCGCATAGATGGATGGGTGAAAGGGATGAACTTTAGCTTGGAACAAGCTCCGAGAGAATATCAAGGCAGTTCTCTCTCTTTGCTCAGGAGTGACAAGGGAGACAGCCAGCTCAACTGTGAGCTCTTGCAACGCTTGCACGAGTCCCACCTGTACTATCAAGCGACAGATGTGAGCTATGAGTGTCACTCACCTAGGAGCTCTTGCAGCGCCTGTGTGAGTGCCTCTCACATACGAGCTCTTGCAACGCCTGTGTGAGTGCCTCTCACATACGAGCTCTTGAAGAGCTTGTGTGAGTTGCATGGCGTGATCTCCTACTCCACTGGCACATCCACCACGTGAAAAAAGGAGTGTTTTGAGACGTCTCAAAACGCTTGTGTGAGTTGCATGGCGTGATCTCCTACTCCACTGGCACATCCACCACTCCCACTGTGGACCCTTGCAATGTGGTGTGCATGTGTGAGCCTCAGCTGTGAGCTCTAAGACAAATGTGAGGTGTGCCTCTCACCTACGAGCTCTTGCAACGCCTGTGTGAGTCTCACCTATCAGCTCCTGGAAAGCCTGTGTGAGTCGCATGGCGTCAACCTCCAACTCCACAGGCACGTTCACATCCACCACTCCCACCACTGCCATGGGGGGATGAGATTCAAAGAAGAACAATGAAATTGTACAAACAGCGTTGAGTTGAGAGAACAAAGGGAAGACTTGAGTATTACGCTACCCCCACCAATGCCCCTGTTCCTGCTCACGCACTGCCCTTCGCTCACCATTCACACATTCACAACCTCGTGCACTGTCCCTCCAGTCCCCACCCCCCACGCTTCACCCACACACTCACATTCAATTCCTTTCTGGCGAGCCCTACAGTAGCTCTCCCGGACGACAGCCTCCAGCCAAGCGTGCGAATCGAATGCCGCACAGCAGAGCCCCATCTTGTTTGCCTCCAGCTTGGACAGATCAAGCATGCGGTTCACCAGCCGCACCGTGTCCTCCGCTGACGCCCTCGCCTCCTTCCTTGCACAAATCATTCACAACAAGCCACACCCCTCGGCCAAACCGTCCGTTCAACACCCACCCAGACACACTCACATTCGATCCCCTGCTGGCGAGCCCTCCAGTAGCTCTCCCTCACTATTCGCTCCATCCAAGCGCGCAGGTCCAAGGGCGCGCAGCAAAGCCCCATCTTGCGGGCCTCCAGCTTGGACAGATCAAGCCCGCGGTTCACCAGCCGCACCGTGTCCTCCGCTGCTACCCTCGCCTCCCCCACATCCGTTATTTGAGCCCCACTCAGCCCCATGTCTGCCAGGGCATCTAACAACCCCATGATGCCGATCATGGGCGTGCGCAGCTCGTGAGACATCGACGCCACGAACATGCTCTTGGACCGCTCCGCTGCTAGCGCACTCTCTCGGACTACGTCTGCTTTTGCCAATAATTCTTGGCTGTGCAGGTATCCCACTCGTTGCTGCCATGCGACTGCTGCGACCAGTGCTGTGAGCACGAGGGCGAGTAGAGCCCAGAGGATGGGCACGCCCCATGACTGCCATGCGTTGGTCGGTTGGGTGTAGCTGGCGGAGAGGGCACGGATATGAAAAGAGAGAATAAAAAAAATTCAAGGTGAAAATGTGTATGGAATATTTGAGAGCAGAAACGAGTATGTGAAAATATAATAACGGCACTCAACCCAACCCCACCAGCACACAGCCTCACCCACCGGCACCAGATATGGTGGTACTTGCGCTGGCGGCAACGAAGCACTTTTCACAGCACTCAGCATAACTCACTCGCCGGCACAACACTCAGCGTGAGAGCAGTCACCGGCACCAGACCTGGTACTTGAGCAGGTAGCACTGCACACACCAAACCCAACCCCAGTCCTGTTGGTGGGACACTAGGATCATTCCCCAGTTGCGTGTCGGAGAACTACAAGTGCGTCCTGGGGGATTATGGGTGTGCTACTCGTCAACGAAACATGCCCTTTTAACCCAGTCAGTAGCAAGCTGGGCCAACAAGTGGTATCAGAGCCAAAGACCTCGAGTTCGAGTTCCAGTGTGCGCCAGTGAGCGCCAGCGCCCTAACGAGCCTCAAGTGAGGGGGAGACGACTCCAGTGAAGGAGAGATTGTTGGTGGGGCACTGGGATCGTTCCCCAGTTGAGTGTGTGAGACCTACAGGTACGTCATGGGGGTTATGGATGTGCTACCCACCAAACAAACGTGCCCTTTTAACCCGATCTGTAGCAGGCTGGGCCAACAACTCCTTAGCACCGCACTCACCGGCACCAGACCTGGTACTGGCGAAGGCGGCCGCCCAGCAGGTCGAGAGGAACGAAGGCGCGTTGCTCCTAGGGGCGCGTGACGGTGGCGGGCGAGGGGGCAGTGAAGGGTGCGATGTCCCTCTCCTTGTAGAAAATGAGCCTTGGGCCCGCCCCGTTGATCATGGTGGGCGCACTGGGGTCTGTCGTGTCATACGCCTCAAATGTGATCGCGGGGTCTGCGAAGCAGTGATGAGGGGTTTAGAGTGGTGATGAGGGGTGGTCATGAGGTGTGGAGATGAGGGGTGAAGATGATGGGTGGTACGGCGAAACCCTAAGCCATAAACCCCAAACCCTAAACCCGAAACCCTCACCTGGGCTAAACACATTCTCCAGCACGTTGCGAATGATGGACACGAGATCCACCACCGCGCCCGCTGCCCCCGTCACTGCCTCTCCCGGCTCGTGCCCGATTGTGGTCCGCGAGAGCGGATGCTGGAAGATGGGGAACACAACGGCTGGCACGGAGGGGGAGGGGATGGGTCATGCATACATGTGTTAGCGGGCCAGAGAAAGAGAGAAGCGGGGCGTTTTTTAGTCGAAACTGCAATGAGCAGAAGCATGCACAAGTGAGGAGATAGCAAGCAAGGCACTTGGGCAGGACAGAGGAGAGGGATGGAAGGGATGGGAGGGATTGGAGGAATTGGAGGGATGGGAGGATGGGAGGGGTTGGAGGGATGGAAGGGATGGGAGATGGGAGCGATGGGAAGGATGGGAGGGATGGGAGCGATGGGATGGATGGGAGGGATTCAAGGGATGGACGGGATGGGAAGGAATGGGAGCGATGGGAGGAATGGTGGCGATGGGAGGGATGGGAGCGATGGGATGCATAGGTGTTGGGCAACCTCATATTTGTTTCCGGCTTGTTGTCCTTGTGTTGTGTGTGCGCATGTGTTTGCATGGAATGACATGTGAATATGATATAACATGTTCTATGCCTATACAAGTGTGTGAATGACAAATTATGATGTCGAATGTGTGTGTTGAGTTGTTAGCGAGATTTCGCTAGTCGCGTGTCACATTGTCGTTCGCGTGTCGTGAGCATTTTCTGTTTTATCGTCTCGAACGTTCGGCGTGTCGGAGGTGTGTGCAGATCAAGGAAGTGTGTGAAAACTCAGAGCCTTGTTTTCAAGATTCAAGTGATTTCAGAGCTTGTCATAAGAATAAAGAACAATATAGTGGAAATGATACCAATGCATTGTGTAGTGTAACATTTTTCATGATGTAGGCGCTTGTGAAAACTGATTTTGAGACCCTTCGAGGTTGTGGATTTGGCGGCAGCTGTTTTACCTTCTTGGACTTCGACTTGTGGGGTTTGTAAAGGCTAAAAGTCATTCCCAACTCTAACCTTTTCTTTTGTATCCAATACTATAGATGTTGTCATACTGCCGTCCGTTCAAACTATTATTGTGTCGTCATTGTTTTATCTGATCGACTGAGTCAATTTGTTTGATCGTAGAGGATATCAAGACGCCTCATATCCAATTTCAAGCACACATTTTTGTTATGTGCCCAATCGGCTATAAAATTTTGAATTCGCTCTGCCAAAATCCAGCTGTGCACTCTAACTTCCGTTTAAGTCATCCCAACCAACCAGATGCTCAATTGTACTTACGAAAGCCAGTGAGGTTGAAGGAGAGGTTTCCGACGGGCACGACAAAACCAAAAACCACGTCCCCCGTGCGCTTCACGAGAGGCATCTCCTGAGGCAGGCGATGCACGATGTCCATAAGCGGGATGGAGCCGCGGTAGTAATGGATGTCCAGCAACTTGGGGCAGTAGAGCGGCTGTCGCTGTTGCGGCTGCCCTGCCATGTCCACTATCGGCCCGCCATACTGCCGCTCAAACGCAGGCCTGTGGGGGGGGGGGGAGGAATAGACAAGGGATGTGGGGTGTGGAAAGTCTGTTTTTGGGGCGTTTCAAGGACAGAGATCCATCCATGAATGGCATGGACCCTCACTCGGCTAAGGCGCTGCACAATGTCCATGAGGGGGATGGAGCCGCGATAGTAATGGATGTCCAGCAACTTGGGGCAGTACAGCGGCTGTCGCTGTTGCGGCTGCCCTGCCATGTCCACAATCGGCCCGCCATACTGCCGCTCAAACGCCGGCCTGCAAAGGAAGAGGAAGGAAGGAAGGAAGGAAGGAAGAGACGTGGGATGCGGAGAGGGGGGTACGGAAAGGTGGTGGAAGAGAGGCGTGGGATGCGGAGAGAGGGGTACAGAAAGGTGGTGGAAGAGAGACGTGGGATGCGGAGAGGGGGGTACGGAAAGGTGGTGGAAGAGAGGCGTGGGATGGGGAGAGGGGGGTACGGAAAGGTGGTGGACGAGAGACGTGGGATGGGGAGAGGGGGGTACGGAAAGGTGGTGGACGAGAGACGTGGGATGCGGAGAGGGGGGTACGGAAAGGTGGTGGAAGAGAGACGTGGGATGGGGAGAGGGGGGTACGGAAAGGTGGTGGAAGAGAGACGTGGGATGCGGAGAGGGGGGTACGGAAAGGTGGTGGAAGAGAGGCGTGGGATGGGGAGAGGGGGGTACGGAAAGGTGGTGGACGAGAGACGTGGGATGGGGAGAGGGGGGTACGGAAAGGTGGTGGACGAGAGACGTGGGATGCGGAGAGGGGGGTACGGAAAGGTGGTGGAAGAGAGACGTGGGATGGGGAGAGGGGGGTACGGAAAGGTGGTGGAAGAGAGACGTGGGATGCGGAGAGGGGGGTACGGAAAGGTGGTGGAAGAGATTGATGGGCGAATGAATTGCAGTTCAACTACATAAGATTTTCGGTTGCTGGAAAAGCCTTTGCACCGTCTTGTTGAGGCAGTAGTCCCACCCCTGCTGCTTGTTTTAGGGCGACACAAGACACACCCTCCCACCCCCCCATCCACGCACCGTTCCTTGTCAGTGACGAAGAGGCAGATGGATCCACCGGTGTTCCCTGGGCGGGCATACCCCGTCCTGTTGATATAGTCGTCCCACCTCTCCAATGCAGGCGTGTGTTCATTCAGTCGACACAGGACACACCCATCCACCCACCTCCCCTTGTCGGTGACAAAGAGGCAGATGGCTCCTCCGGTGTTGCCTGGCCGAGAGTACCCCGTCCTGTTGATGTACTCGTCCCATCGCTGCTGCGTGAAACACTTATCCCACGCCCACTTGCTGTGCTCCTTGGGTCTTCCCATCACGGACGCCAGGCCTGCAAAGGTCTGCATGGGTGGTGAGAGATGGTGGGTGCGCCAAAATCATTGATGAGCAATGGTTGGTGAAGAATGGCTGGTGCGAGAGTGTTTGCTGTGAGCCCTTGGTGGGCGCTCCCATCGCGGATGCCAGTCCTGCAAAGGTCTGCCATGGTTAGTGAGAGATGGACGGTGAGAAATGATGGGTGGGAGATGGGGTGGTGAAGATCAGTTGGTGAGAGAGAGAGTGGTTGCAATCCAATGCAAGCCACTCCATGTTCGAGTGCCACAGCAGAATAAACGCACGCTGTGCGCACAGCAATGCATGCCCACTCGAATACGGCCGACGGTGGTGCGCGCTCGCAGCGACAACATGCGCCTACTCTACAGCAGAACTCACGCAGCAGATCTGGCTGACCATGGTGGGTGCAGCGTGCATCATTCTGTGGGAACCCACATTGCCCGGTGCACAACTCACGCGGATCTGGCTGACGGTGGTGAGCGCATGCACGCGTGCGTCTGTTGTGCGGGAATCCGATCCAGCCCATCGCACGGCTGTGCACAACTCACACGGATCTGGCTGACGGTGGTGAGTGTGTGCTGCTCGAAGAGCTTGGCGCGTTCGTAGCACCACGTGTCGAGGTCCTGCCACCGCTCGCTCTCGTACGACGCGTGCCGCGAGTAGCACAGCCACGCCGCCATCGACGACCCCGCCAGCACCCATGCCGTCATCAGAACCGCGAAGATGGGGCCTGTGGCAGCGCAGAGCAGTAGAGAGAGAATTTCGATGCTGTGTGAAAGGTAAAAATGAATCTCGTACGAGGAGTGCCGTTGGTAGCACAGCCAGGCCGCCATAGACACGCCCAGCACCCATGCCGCCAGCAGAACCGTGAAAATGGGGAGTGCCGCAAGTAGCACGGCCACGCCGCCATCGACAAGCCCGCCAGCAGGCCCCGCCGTCATTAACTGCCCCGCCAGCAGGCCCCACCGCCATTAACGGCCCCGCCAGCAGGCCCCGCCGCCATTAACGGCCCCGCCAGCAGGCCCCGCCTCCATTAACGGCCCCGCCAGCACGCGTGGTGCCAGCAGAATCACGAACATGGGACCTGGCGTGGGCGGAGCGGAGGAGCAGTAGTAAGGAGAATCTATCATATATGGAACGGAAAGGCGGATGTGGTAAGAGGAGTGATGTGAGTAGCACAGACGCTGCGACCCACAGCCCCCCCCCACACCCGTGCCACCAGCACCCGCTGTCAGGAGAAGCAAGGGGTTTCAAGGGTACCATGCAAAACACTAAACTTGTAATATGTAACAGAGACTAGTTTTACCCAATGATGATGTTGTGGCAGAATCAGACGCAGACACTGCTGTGTACGCAAGGGCCATGCGGGTTAATGCCTAATAGCTCTCGTATCGAGGACCTACGACAGGGGTGGAGCAGTGCCTGAGAATTCTCATGAACCGTTGCGAAGGTGTGTTTTGAGAGTCGGACTAAAAACACGCCATGCGGGTTCGTGAGTAGCTCTCGTATCGAGGACCTACAAGGCGCCGGGGGTGGAGCACTGCACGAGAATTCTCACGAACCGTTGCGAAGAAATGGAGGCCCTCTTTTCGCGGAAAAGGGGAGGAGGAGCGGAAGGGGAGGAAGGGGGAGGAAGGGGTGAGGGGGGGGGGGAGGGGGAATGGGGTGGGGGAGGGGGGAGGGAGAGGGAAGGGGAGTGGAGAGAGGGGAGAGGGGGGAAAGGGGAGGGGGGGTTACGGGGGAACTTATGAGGATTTTCGTGGATTTTTGCGACGAGGAGGGGGGAGAAGAGCAATTTTAGGAATTCTCTTGATTTTTTTAATGAACTCCTGCGAAGGCGGGGTAGAAACGGTCTTCGAACGCCCGAAAAGGACATCTGCGTGCCTAAGCTTTACCTCGGTTTTTTAGGCGCCTAAATAATCCTACCGCGGAATAGGAGATCCTGAAGTGTGTCTTTGCTGCGTGCAAGCGGCATTGCCTCTATTGGAGCTCGCGCTACGCGAAGAAGCGACACTGCGCATGAGATGCAATGCTGCGGTTTGTCACATGATCCTGTTCTTCGAGAGCGTAAATAGCGGAGAGCTTTGACAGCAATGGAGCAACGAAGTGCAAGAAGAGCAGATGGGGTTGCGGGTTGCGAGCAGGACACTTGGTGCGATTGGACAAGCCAAGTGGCATACATAGCGTGCTGATCAGGACTGCTGGGTTACAGTTCACGTATGAAGGTTCAGTCTGGTGACTAACGGTTCAAAGTGTTGAGAAAATACTACCGCTCTGAAGCGCACAGAAACGAACTCCGCCTCTTTGACTCAACTGGCTGTAACCTGCCCAATAATTCTCCGAAAATGCAGGTATGGCAGATTCCAACAGCTGGTTTCGTTGTGTGCAAACGGAAAACGTGTTAGCGAGATCTCAAACAACATTCCAATGGAGAGCGGCGAGCGCTAACGAAATTCTAACGAGTGTTGCTAGCTCTCTGGGCGACATTAAGAAGGGGTTACTTCGTTTGCCGAATACTAACAAGCTTCGCATTATTTTCCATGTCCCACGTGTTAGAGTTGGCGGCTCGCCCTCGCCAGCCAGCATGCACCAATTTGCGAGCCATCCTCCACCTCCAGGATGCGCGTGGCCTGAGGCCCAAATCTTTCTGCAAGGGGTTTTGCCTTGCATTCATCCGACCGTGGGGGTCGCTCCACTTGTTTGATTGGGTGGGTCACAAAAGCAAACGTTTTCCCCAGTTGAAGCTGTTGAGTACGATGCTGTGCACTCTGAAGCGGTTTTCAAACTTCACCACTTTGAACCGCTGCTTACCATCCTGAACATGAACATTGAGGCTGCCCGCCCCACACTGACACAGCCATAGTGGGCATTTCGGTGGTTTGCTGCGGTGCGTTTTGATGGACTCTTCTTGAGAGTTTCCAAGCGAATGTGGTGCATTTGAACTCTTCTTCCAAGCGACCAGCAGATATGATGGTTGCCGTGGGGAATGCAATTTCAAAGTGGATGACAGAAGCTACCCACATCTTTATTCCTGCCAGACAAATTTCACAAGTGGCTGGCAAGGCAGTGTATCTCCTTTTCCACAGCTGCTTTCATTCAATTCCATAAACGATTCGATAAAAAAGGCTGTCGAGATACTAGGTCTCTGGCATGCAAGCATGGATGCTACTAGCCGTTCTTTCACTGAGCTTATCCTGACATTGAAGAGTAGCAGTCGCCTTGCAATGTTATACCTAAGACGTGTTCGCGCCTTGCAAGTATCTCACGACATGGCTTTCACAATGCGTTCGAGCAGCAAGACCACGATTCGAGACGTGGTGATTCGAGGTACGCTACGGTTTAAACGTGTCGGCGTCGGTAGTAGGGCCGTCGCATTGCCAGCGAAAGGCTCTTTTCATCAAAACCGCCCGTGAATTTATCCCACTACGACGGCGTGTGTATTAGTAACACTATGCACTGCGACGGCGTTGTAATGCCTTTGCTGCTTGATGCGCAATTTAGGGTTTCGTCGCCCTCTCCGCCCTCAACCAGTCAGTAGTAGTGACAGCCCAGAATCGCGCGCGCCTCGCCCTAAATTTGCTGAAGTGTGCTTCTACCCACGCCTGTGTCACGGCGGTGCCAGGCACGTGTCTCATGATGCAAAAGCTTTCATGCATGGTCGTGATATACAGCGTCGAAACGCACTTACTGCTCCACCCCCCGCGCCAGGCCCCATCTTCGCGGTTCTGCTAGCGGCATGGGTGCTGGCGGGGCTGTTGATGGCGGCGTGGCTGTGCTACTCGCGGCACGCGTCGTACGAGAGCGAGCGATGGCAGCACCTCGACACGTGGTGCTACGAGCGCGCCAAGCTCTTCGAGCAGCACACACTCACCACCGTCGGCCAGATCCGCGTGAGTCCCGCACAGCCGTGCGATGAGGGGCAATGTGAACCTATTGTGACCCAGTCGTGACATACCATTTAGGATAAATCCAAGGCAGCAACATATTCTGCAGACAGACGCACGGGAGGACTCACGCACAACCGTCAGCAACGAACCGAACTCATGTCATCAGCCACTCTACATCAACTATGCACGTCGATCTCCATCCCAGACTTTTCCACAAAGAACGCTTTTCCGGCGCCTAAGGAAACGGTTTTGGAGGCTTGGAAAAATCCGTCTTAGAAACCTATCAACGCACCCTTCTCCTCTGGAGCGATCCGTACCTTCTGGTCCCATCCCTACCAGACGTTCGCAGGGCTGGTGGCGGTGATGGGTAAGCCGAGCAGGAACGCTGTTTTGGACTCCTTAGAACAGTTTTGTCTCTGAAGAAATGTGTTTATTCACCTTCCTCTGAACTGAAGTGATGTGAACCCTCCCGTCCCCATCCCTACCAGACATTTGCAGGGCTGGTGGCGGTGATAGGTATGCCGAAAAGGGACGGCGGCAAGTGGACGTGGGACAAATGCTTCACTCGCCTGCGCTGGGACGGGTACATCAACCAGACGGGGTACTCTCGCCCGGGCAACACCGGTGCCATGCTCTGCCTGTTTGTTACTGACAAGGAACGGTGAGTGGTGGGTGGGTGGGAGCCTGGGAGGGAGGGAGGGTGGGTGGGTGGGTGGGAGGGTGGGGTGTCCTTAGAGCCCGTTTTGGGAAGTTTTCTTCTCTCGCACGAAGCATTCTCTTGCATTAGTCAGTCCCGTTCCTTGCCCCCTCTCTTCCACCTCCTTCTCTTCGTATGCTCGCTGCTCACACATCCCTGTCCATCATAGATTCCTCGCTCTTGTCATACCACGTCCCGTCCCGTCGCATCACATCTGCACTACTTCCGTGCCCGCCCTTCCTTCCCTCGGCAGGCCGGCGTTTGAGCGGCAGTACGGAGGGCCAATAGTGGACATGGCAGGGCAACCGCAGCAGCGCCAGCCGCTGTACTGTCCCAAGCTGATCGACATCCATTACTACCGCTCCTCCATCCCCCTCATGGACCTCGTTCAGCGCATACCTGACGAACTCGCCTTCCTTAGGCGCACTGGGGAGGTTGGGTATGGCGCTGTGACGCCTGTTGGGAACCTCAGCTACAATCTCACCGGCGTTGGTGAGCCGTGGATGATTAATAGGAGTGTGAGTCGATATACAAATCTCCTTCCAACTAACCTCCATTGTAGATCACCACTTACTTTCTTTATCGTGGTTGGGGTAAACTAAAGCAGGGGCGAGTGTAACACTCCACGGTCCACCCCTTCCTCCTTCTGCTCCTCCGCTTCCCTCCCTCTGCTCCCCCTAAACGCCCTGCATTGACACGAGAAAGCGGGTACCAACAAGCAACAAGACTCTCCCTCTCTCCCTCTCTCCGCATCCTCCCTCCCTTGCCTCCCCTCCCCATGCCAGCGGTGGGCTTCCCCATCTTGCAGCACCCTCTGCCGCCGAACCCAACGCAGCAGCAGGCTGAGGAGGCAGTGATCGGGGCGGCGGGCTCGGTTGTGGACCTCACCTCCATCGCCAGGAACGTGCTCACCAAGGTGTTCAGCGCAGGTACTGCAGTGCAGCAGAGGTCCCCCCAGGTACTGCAGCACAAGCTGCGGCAGTAGTAGGGTTGCAACTGTCGAGCCATGTTCACTAGAGAGGCTGTTCAGCAACCCAGCCTTTGCATCTGTAGTTGCTGCTTCAGTGTTCAACTTTTGGGACCCTGTTAATTGAACAGGTAATCAAAGCATCCGATTGTCACTCCAACATTGACACTTCCCATTCCCTTCCCATGGTCCTTTTCTTCCCTTCCTCCTCTGTTACCACCCCTCCCTCATCGCCACCCATCATCACCACCCCTCTCATCACCACTATAACCCCTCACCACCGCTCTGCAGACCCGTCCATCACATTCGAGGCATATGACACAACAGACCCCAGCGCACCCACCATGATCTACTGGCCGGGCCCACGGCTCATCTTCTACAAGGAGAGGGACATCGCACCATTCATTGCCACTCATCACCACTCTAGACCTCTCATGACCCCTTCTCACCACTCCCAACCCCTTGTCACGGCTCTGCAGACCCCTCGATCACTTTCGAGGCGTATGACACGACGGACCCCAGCGCACCCACCATGATCTACGGGCCGGGCCCACGGCTCATCTTCTACAAGGAGAGGGACATCGCGCCCTTCACTGCCCCTCATCACCACTCCATACCCCTCATCCCCACTCTGAACCCCTTATCACCACTTTCGACCCTTCATCACCGCTCTGCAGACCCCTCCATAACCTTTGAGGCGTATGACACGACTGACCCCAGCGCACCCGCCATGATCTACGGGCCTGGCCCACGGCTCATCTTCTACAAGGAGAGGGACATCGCGCCCTTCACTGCCCCTCATCACCACTCCATACCCCTCATCCCCACTCTGAACCCCTTATCACCACTTTCGACCCTTCATCACCGCTCTGCAGACCCCTCCATAACCTTTGAGGCGTATGACACGACTGACCCCAGCGCACCCGCCATGATCTACGGGCCTGGCCCACGGCTCATCTTCTACAAGGAGAGGGACATCGCACCCTTCACTGCCGCCTCGCCCACCACCGTCACGCGCCCCTGGGAGCAGCGCGCAGTCGTGCCCCTCGACCTGCTTGGGGGGCGTCTACGCCAGTACCAGGTCTGGTGCCGGTGAGTGCGGTGCTGAGGAGTGGGGTCTGGTGCCCATGAGTGCGGTGCTGAGGAGTCGGGGTCAAAGGGCCCAAGGCTGCTATTCTACAAGGAGAGGGACATCGCGCCCTTCACTGCCGCCTCGCCCGCCAACATCACGCGCCCCTGGGAGCAGCGTGCTGTCGTGCCTCTAGACCTGCTTGGGGGGCGTCTACGCAAGTACCAGGTCTGGTGCCGGTGAGTGCGGTGCTGAGGAGTGCTGTCTGGTGCTGGTGACTGTGAGTGCGGTTCGGAGGAGTGGGTTGGGTCCAGGTGGGGCTGGATTGGTGAGTGCTGCGCTGTGCCCCTGGGAGCAGCGTGCTGTCGTGCCTCTCGACCTGCTTGGGGGGCGTCTACGCAAGTATCAAGTCTGGTGCCGGTGAGCGTTTTCTCGTTGAGTGCTGTGCTGGTGAGTGCGGTGCTCAGGAGTGGGGTTGGGTGCACGTGGGGTTGGGTTCGGTTAGTGCTGTGCCCCTTGGAACAGCGCGCAGTTGTGCCTTTCGACCTGTTGGGCGGCCGCCTTCGCCAGTACCAGGTCTGGTGCCAGTGAGTGCGGTGCTGAGGGGTGGGGTCTGGTGCCGGTGAGTGCGGTGCCCTGAGGAGGAGTGGGGTTGGGTGTGGGTGAGGTTGGGTCCGGTGAGTGTAGCTGCCAGCAGTGCCGCCTGCGCAAGTACCAGGTCTGGTGCCAGTGGGTGCGGTGCCGGTGCTGCTGGTTGCAAGGCTAGGTCGTCTCATCTCAACCGCCACTTGTTGTGCCGAGTTTCTATTATCTTCTTCTTCCATCACCCTACCACCAGCTACTCTGAGCCTCCCAATGCATGGCAATCATGGGGCGTGCCCTTCCTCTGGGCGCTACTGGCCCTCGTGCTCACAGCCTTAGTCGCAGCAGTAGCCTGGCTGCAGCGCGTGGGCTACTTACACAGCCAGGACGGAATGGCAGAGGCCGACCGCCTCCGGGCCAGCGCGCTGGCAGCAGAGCGGTCCAAGAGCCAGATTATCCTCGGTAGCACTTTCCATTGGCTCTCAACTCCCCTCCAACCCCCACCACCAGGTACTCTGAGCCTCCCGATGCATGGCAATCACGGGGCATTCCCTTCCTCTGGGCGCTACTCGCTCTCGTGCTGACAGCCCTGGTAGCAGCAGTAGCCTGGCTGCAGCGCGTGGGCTACTTACACAGCCAGGACGGAATGGCAGAGGCCGACCGCCTTCGAGCCAGCGCGCGAGCAGCGGAGCTGTCCAAGAGCCTGTTCGTGGCGTCCATGTCTCACGAGCTGCGCACGCCCATGATCGGCATCATGGGGTTGTTAGACGCCCTGGCAGACATGGGGCTGAGTGGGGCTCAAATAGCGGATGTGGGGGAGGCGAGGGCATCAGCGGAGGACACGGTTCGGCTGGTGAATCGCGTGCTCGACCTGTCCAAGCTTGACGCGCGCAAGATGGGGCTGTGCTGTGCGCCGCTGGAGCCGAGGGCCTGGCTGGAGGGCGTTGTTAGGGAGAACTACTGGAGGGCCCGCGAGAAGGGGATAGAGCGTGAGTGCGGGTGAGGGGCAAGAATGGGGACAGTGGACGGGGATATGAATGTGAGAGTGGTGGGTGAAGGGGATCGTGTGTAAGAGTCGAGGTATGTTCTCACAACTGCATGTTCGTTGCGTGGGTTTTCGCCTCGCCACTTGTTGTATGTGTTTCCTTTCGTCGCTCAGTGCTGTTGATCGACTGTGATTGTTCTTTCCCAAATTCCATCCCCTCATGGCAGTGGTGGGAGTGGTGGATGTGAACGTGCCTGTGGAGTTGGAAGTAGACGCCATGCGACTCACACAGGCGCTGCAAGAGCTCCTAGGTAGGACTCGCACCTCACTCTTGTCGCTGGATTCTCTTAGATTGAATTATAGGCGGGGCTCACAGCTCACAACTTCAATCAATTCAACTCGTTACTCTCCAAGTGCTCACAGGCGAGACTTATATTGCTCGCAATTGTCATCGCACCGAAGATGAGCACGCACCGAACTCGAACCGGCTACATGAACACGAACCGAACCCGAACCCTCCCATGCTCCCATCCCTCCCTTGCTCCCATCCCTCCCATGTTGTAATTTCATATTTTATACAACATACATAGGCTAGAATTAGATGTGTAGCACATTTATAAATTGGGGGGTTGTTTAGTGTACCCTCCAACCACATTTTGTGGTTGGTTGGGATTGGTCCTTAGCTCAACCAATCCCAACCAACACACATTTGTGGTTGCTTGGGCCACAAGCAAGCTCACCCATTGGCCAACTTATTGGCCAATAGGGTAAGCTTCCTTCTCATCTCTGTCTTGCTCATTGTTTGTACTAAAGGGCCCCTTGGCTCATTATTCAATGTATCAATTCTCTTTTTCAACATCCCATTCTCCCATCCCTCCCATGCTCCCATCCCTCCCATGCTCCCATCCCTCCCATGCTCCCATCCCTCCCATTCTCCCATCCCTCCCATTCTCCCATCCCTCCCATGCTCCCATCCCTCCCATTCTCCCATCCCTCCCATTCTCCCATCCCTCCCATTCTCCCATCCCTCCCATTCTCCCATCCCTCCCATTCTCCCATTCATCCCATGCTCCCATCCCTCCCATGCTCCCATCCCTCCCATTCTCCCATCCCTCCCATGCTCCCATCCCTCCCATGCTCCCATCCCTCCCATGCTCCCATCCCTCCCATGCTCCCATCCCTCCCATGCTCCCATCCCTCCCATGCTCCCATCCCTCCCATTCTCCCATCCCTCCCATTCTCCCATCCCTCCCATTCTCCCATCCCTCCCATTCTCCCATCCCTCCCATTCTCCCATCCCTCCCATTCTCCCATCCCTCCCATGCTCCCATCCCTCCCATGCTCCCATCCCTCCCATGCTCCCATCCCTCCCATTCTCCCATCCCTCCCATGCTCCCATCCCTCCCATGCTCCCATCCCTCCCATTCTCCCATCCCTCCCATTCTCCCATCCCTCCCATGCTCCCATCCCTCCCATGCTCCCATCCCTCCCATGCTCCCATCCCTCCCATGCTCCCATCCCTCCCATGCTCCCATCCCTCCCATGCTCCCATCCCTCCCATTCTCCCATCCCTCTCATTCTCCCATCCCTCCCATTCTCCCATCCCTCCCATTCTCCCATCCCTCCCATGCTCCCATCCCTCCCATGCTCCCATCCCTCCCATGCTCCCATCCCTCCCATGCTCCCATCCCTCCCATGCTCCCATCCCTCCCATGCTCCCATCCCTCCCATGCTCCCATCCCTCCCATGCTCCCATCCCTCCCATTCTCCCATCCCTCTCATTCTCCCATCCCTCCCATTCTCCCATCCCTCCCATTCTCCCATCCCTCCCATGCTCCCATCCCTCCCATGCTCCCATCCCTCCCATGCTCCCATCCCTCCCATGCTCCCATCCCTCCCATTCTCCCATCCCTCTCATTCTCCCATCCCTCCCATTCTCCCATCCCTCCCATTCTCCCATCCCTCCCATTCTCCCATCCCTCCCATTCTCCCATCCCTCCCATTCTCCCATCCCTCCCATTCTCCCATCCCTCCCATTCTCCCATTCCTACCAGACAATGCAGTGCGCTACACGGGGAGCGGACACGTGTTGCTGCGAGTATCTGTCTGCTCTGCCTCCACCACCCTGCAGCAAGCCCTCGCCCACCTCAGTCAGTACTCCCATCCCATACCAGCCAGCCAGCAAGTGTTGTCCTGCTTAGTTCCAACCCTACATAAAACAGTCTTATTTTCTAGTTGCGAAAGTTTGGCTGTTTTTTTGCGAAGTTTTCCCTGTGCGTACAAACAGTCAGCCCTTCCCATAACGCTCGTCTTCTCACACTGTCTGTCCTACCCCTCTCCTACTTTTCCCTCCCATCCAACCGTCTCTCGCTAACCCCCCCCGCTTCATACGCCACAGACGCCCCTCTCCCGCCCTCGCCTTCTTCTCCCCCTCCATCGTTCCTCTCCTGGCTCGCCCACCTGCCCGCCCGCCTGATCACCCATCTGGTTTTCTGCACCAGAGCTCTCCTCACGGCCTGCCAGGGCAGCCCGTTGTGCGCCCAGAGCACTGCGGAGAGCAGTGAGGAGAGAGTTGACCACATGTCCTACCAGGGTTTCTACCAGAGAGCTGATGAGAGAATAGCCCAGAGGAGGAGCAGTCAGAGATTTGATGAGAGAAGCGATAAGAGAATAGCCCAGAGTAGTGATGAGAGCAGTGAGGGCGAGGAGCTGCCAGCGCGAAGTGATGCAGACGCAGCAGGCGGGTGCTTGCCCGCTGATGCAGGAGGAGGGTGCTTGGCTGGTGTAGGGCTGTGGGGGCAGGTTGAGGTGCCTCAAAATGCAGGTGCAGCAGGAGGTTGCTTGCCTGCTGATGCAGCAGGGGGGTGCTTGTCTGGTGTAGGGCTGTGGGCGGCTAAGGGAGTGAGTGGGGTCACGAGGGGGGATGGAGGAGAGGGGGACTCGGAGGAGGGTTGGGAAGGTGGTGGGGTGGAAAGTGGGTGCGGCGGTGGGAGTGGGGGGATGCGGCTGGTTGTGTCGTGTGAAGATACGGGGTGTGGCATGGAGGAGGAGAAGCAGGAAGGGCTGTTTGAATTGAAGGTAAGGGACCGTGGAGTGGATGATTACCTGTGGTGTGGCTGAGGTGGGGGAGCAAGTGGGTGGGTGAGATTGCGAGGATGACTTTTGAGGCGTCTCAACAGTTGTGAAGGTGAGGAAGCGTGGATGACTACCGGTGGGTGACGTGAGATAGTGCATGCATGCGTGCGTGCAGGCGGACGGCGGGCAAAGGCGCGCGCGTGTGCGTGTGTGTTTTGTGGAAGAGGAATGACAGGATTGTGTGAGCGTTTTGCTAGAATTCTGGAAAATCTGTAGTGTACGAGAGTAAGGGCAGCTGTTGTTGCAAGCCAAGGCCAGAAGGTGGGTTGGCAAGTTCCGATGCCTTCCTCTGTTTTTCTCACAATTTTGAGTCGACTCAGAAGCTGAGGGTGCCCGCTCACTTTTGACGTGGTGCATGGCAGTTTTGGAAATATAATCTCGCACATTCGCATCGATATATCGGCTTTGTTTTTTATATACATCTTGTCACCAACTCGCTTCTTGTTGTCTGACTGTTTCTGTGTTCCTCAGGGGCGGTCAGAGAGTGGAGGGGCAGGTTTGGGTCTGGCTCTCTCACACCAACTGGTGAGACCTCTTGCAATTTGTTTGCGAGTTTCTGAGACCGCCTCCTTCATATCCACCCTATCCCATGTCCATCTTTGGGTCTGGCTCTCACGCACCAACGGGTGAGATCTCTTTGCAATCTCTCTCCTCGTGCTTGATGCTCTTCCCATCACCCCTGCCACCACCGATGTACCCGTGCGACTGTTTCCTCGCTCGAACTATTAACAAAGGTTTGCTATTCAGTTCCACCCATTTCCCATGCTTGCCCCTCCCCACCTTCCTCCTGCCCCTTCTACTCCCCCCCACCAGGTGACCCTCATGGGCGGTCATGTGGCCTGCCTGTCTCATCCCGGCATCGGCTCAACCTTCGCTTTCTCCGTCCCCTTCTCCTCGCCCCCCTCGACCCCCGCCCCTTCCACTCACGTTACTCACCCTCCCGCTCACGCCACCCTGCTCCCCGCTCCTCATGCACCTGTTACTCACTTCCCCGCTCTCCCCACTGGCGGTTTGGAGGGAGTGGAGGTGGCTGTGATGGCATCTGATGGAGTCAGGAGGAGAGAGGTGAGAACGGATAAAAGGAAGGGAGCTGACTTTTGCGGCGCCTCAAATGTGGTGGTAGCGGTGGTGGCGTCTGATGGAGTCAGGAGAGAGGTGAGAAGTGAGCATAGGGAGGGAGTTGGCGGTCGCAGGGTTGATTGCATGTGGCCGTAGAGAGAGTAGAGAGACTGGCGACGGGCGTAGAGAGACTGTTATGAAAAGGTATGAAGGTCAATTTGCTGCTTTCATTCTCTCGCTGCACCCCCGCCCCCTCCCCTCCCCCCCCCCCCCCCCTTTCCCATCTTTACCGCCCCTCTCCCTCCTCGCTTTCATGGATGGACCCCTTCGGAACGCCATACGTTTCCTGTTTTCAATTTGGTTTTGTTTTACCAGACTGTTTAAGTATGTAATTATAATACTCCCTGCACTCGGTAGCGGTTTCCTTGAACTGTTCACGCTTGCCCTATCGCTCCTGTGTCTTGAACCCTTTCCAGCTCACGGCCCGCATTCTATTGGGTCTCGGGGCACAAGTGCACATTCTTCCAGCCACTAGAAGCGAGCCGCAGCGAGGTAGAGAAGGTGAAGCAAAGATTCTCGAGGGAGAAGGAGAGAGCATTTGTTTAGATGGAGAGAAGACTGAGGGTAGTGAAGAGGGATTGTGGTCAGAGCGTGGGAGGCGGAGCTGTTTAGAGGGAGAAGGAGAGGGGATGGAGGGAGGAGAGGCGATGAGGAAAAGTGCCACTTGGGTGTTGGTGGTGGAGGAGGAGGATTTGCTGAGAAGGTACGGGAGAGAAGCAGGAGGGGCTGCTTGTAACGGTGCGTGTGACAGCGGTGGGAGTGGTCAGGAGTGCGGTGGGGATGGGTGGGGAAGGGGGATTGGGCGAGGGAGTGGGGCGGGTGTGACGTGGGGCGAGAGAGGGCCTGTGCCTGTGGTGACGCTGGCACCCGCAGGCGCAGGCAGTTGGGAGGCAGCAGTGTGGCAGGCAGGCGTGCGGGCGGTGAGAGAGGTGGATGGGATGGCATGTGATGCTCTGGTGGTGGGGGTGGTCGTTCTCACGGCCTGCTGTGGTGGAGAGGCGATGGGGGAAGGAGAGGAGGGGGATGAGGAAGAGGTGGGAAAGGAGGAAGAGGAGAGCCGGGCAGCTGCTACAGCCACTGCTACTGCCTCTGCCTCTGCCTCTGCCTCTGCCTCTGCTGCCATCTCACCTCGGGTGGTCATCTGTCGCCGCCCGCTGCTCTCTCACCATCTGCACCACGCCGTTCAGGTGAGCCTCTGTTGCCATCAGGTGAGCCTCTGTTGCCATCAGGTGACCCTCTGTTGGCATCAGGTGAGCCTCTGTTGCCATCAGGTGAGCCTCTGTTGCCATCAGGTGACCCTCTGTTGGCATCAGGTGAGACTCTGTTGCCATCAGGTGAGCCTCTGTTGCCATCAGGTGACCCTCTGTTGGCATCAGGTGAGCCTCTGTTGCCATCAGGTGAGCCTCTGTTGCCATCAGGTGAGCCTCTGTTGCCATCAGGTGACCCTCTGTTGGCATCAGGTGAGCCTCTGTTGCCATCAGGTGACCCTCTGTTGGCATCAGGTGAGCCTCTGTTGCCATCAGGTGAGCCTCTGTTGCCATCAGGTGACCCTCTGTTGGCATCAGGTGAGCCTCTGTTGCCATCAGGTGAGCCTCTGTTGCCATCAGGTCAGCCTCTGTTGCCATCAGGTGACCCTCTGTTGGCATCAGGTGAGCCTCTGTTGCCATCAGATGAGCCTCTGTTGCCATCAGGTGAGCCTCTGTTGGCATCAGGTGAGCCTCTTTTGCCATCAGGTGAGCCTCTGTCGCCATCAGGTGAGCCTCTGTTGCAATCAGGTGAGCTTCTGTTGCCATCAGGTGGGCCTGCCATCGGGTGAGCATTAGTGGTCGAATTCCTCATACTTGCACCTCCTTCTTATTACCACCTGTCCCCTCCCTCCCTTCGTCCTTCACTCCGACTACTCTCTTGCCTTCGCAACCCAGCCTTCCCCCCTGCTCTCCTGCTCTCATTTTCAACCATGAATGAGTCACCTACAGATTATCCTTTGTCTTTGTTCTCTCGCATGCACTCTCAATCTCCCCTCACCCACACACCTCGTCTGCTCCTAGCTAGCAGCTTTCGGAAGCACCCACGTTGTAGGCGGAGAGGCGCGGCCGGATGACAAGAAGCAAGGTGGGCGTGGGGAGTGTGAGGCGAAGGAGACGAGCGCACAGGTGTTGGAAACGAGGTTGGGTGCGGTACGGAGCGGTGATTCCAGCAGCGGCGGAGGCAGCAGCAGCATCAGCAGTGGTACGGGAGACGGGGCAGTAGAAGTGACTGGGATGCATGAAACAGCTGCAGAATCAGGAACTGCAGCAGAAGCAGGAGGAGCAGCAGGAGCAGTGGCAGGACTGGGTGCAGTCGCAGGCATGCACTCTCTCTCTGCCAGTGCAGCCACACCAGCTGCTGCTTCCAATTCAGCCCGAGAGGTGCAGCGCAACGGTTGTTCCCTGCCAGGCAAGGGGTTGGGTGCGGTGCTGCAGGGTGCGGGGGTGGTGCAGGGTGCAAGGGTGCTAGGGGGGGTGGGCGTGCTGGTGGTGGACGATGCGGCGGTGAATCTGCTGGTGGCGCGTCGCACTCTCACTCGCAGCGGCGCCACCGTCGCCACCGCAGCCAGCGGGGAGGAGGCGCTGCGGCGAGTCAAGCACGCCCTGGGCCTGGGGGTCAGCGCACACCTCGTGGAGCCTGGCTTGGGAGGCGCTGCAGAGGCGGTGGAGGGGCATGTGGATGTGGATGTGGTGCTCATGGACCTGCAGATGCCCCTCATGGACGGGTGAGTCGTGTTGTGGGCATGGGTGGATGGTAGGGTGGGAGGGGGAAGGGGGTGTGAAGTCCAAGTGGCATGGGCATGTGGTGCTCATGGACCTTCAGATGCCCCTCATGGACGGGTGAGTTGTGTGTGTTTTATAATACTAATACGAAGAATAATAGTAATAATAATCATAAGAAGAAGAAGAAGAAGAATGACAATAATAATACTAATAGTAGTTATACTAGTAATATTTTAACTGTTATTCATTCTGTTATTGGCTTTCCATATGCTACTGCTCAGCCGCATGCCCTTTTCTCAAACACATTGCTCCCTCTTCCATGCACCCATGCTCCCGTGCTTTGCACCCCAGCTTCGCTGCAACTTCGGCCATACGAGCATATGAGACCGCCACAGCCCTTGAACGTGCATCAGCCTCAGAAACCACCTCCGAAGCATCAGTTTTAAGAAAAACAGGACAGGGCAACGAGAGTCCAGCCTGTGCCAACACTCCTCCTGCCCCCTCGGTGCATCGGCTCCTCATAGTAGCACACACAGCAGATGTGGACGATGAAATTACGCGGCGCTGCCTTGCGAGTGGCTTTGATGGCGTTCTGCAGAAGCCTGTCGACCCGAAGCTGCTCTCGCAGCTGCTTATTCGCTTTAACAGCAGGGGCAGGCTGTGACACATGCGCAGCGCTTCACTTGATGTTGAAGCAGCACCTTTGTTCAAGGACACTCAAAGAACGGTCACCTATGCTGTTTGATGTGCTTGAGAACAGCTGTACTTTCAGTATATTTTTTCATTATTTATTGCCGAGCCGGCACATGAAGGCTTTGTTGACACAGGCCCTTCTAAACTGGCAGGTCGTCTGGTTTTGGTGGCTCGCAAGTATGATCCCAGTTATGTGGACGAAATGTTCTGGTTGCGGGGTTCTGAGGGTAGGTACGAGTTCAACTCCTTTTTTTAGGCCGCATCATCATGCCTCCCAGCTGTGTCTCTGGTGTAGAGCTTTTCCAGGCCAGTTTCTTGTTCAAAGACACTCATTATTCAACGGACTTGTGTCATAGACACTCATGCATGGCATAGATTGAGTCCATTGTAGCCGGCATCTTGACTGTCGTTTTGGTGTATTGTACTAATAACGCGGTTCCTTTTGGGATTTTTGGCGGAAATATGATACCCGGACCGCGTGAGGCCAGAAAGCGGCTTCAGCAGGAAAGGCTGGAGCACAGCCCTTACAACGACGAAAAGGAAACCCTTCTCGAAGCCAGAAAGCCTCGATGTCAGGATCCAGTGACGCGGCTTTCGTGACGTCCTCGTCACCAATATTTCGACGCAGGTCGCACCACGAATGGCGTTGAACGGATTTTCGCAGGTGGTCCCACCTAACGGGCATATCCATGGTTTGCTTGTAGAAGCCGAGCCCCAGAATCCTCACAAACAGAATTTCCGTTTGAATTCAAAGGGCAGTTGACTGCAAAATGATTCAGAAACATGGTGGTGTTGATACCATGCTGAGTGCCTCATTAAAGCGATGTCTTACCCAAGTGTCTAGTTAACATTTTAAAACTCCTCACAAACCACAGAACCGGTTTGTCTTAAACAGTATAAAATATGATTGCAAAGACGTCGAAATTCGAGGACATATTAGTGGTAGCAGCTAATCGAGTTTATATCAGGGTAAGTAGCCGTTGCTCAACCTTTCCCTCCATTCCACCATCCCCTCGTTCTTTCTCACCTAGTCCTTCACCTCCACTCCACCTCACAATTGTGAAGCCATTGCTCATCCCTGTTTTTCTCCCACCATTGCTGAGCCTCCTGTTGATCAACCTTTATGAAGAGCGAAGCGACAAACCTTTTCGTGACTGAATCTTCCCGTGGCTGTCCCCTTGTGCTAGGGATCCTAGTACACTATCGGTGAAGTAACGATTGCACATTCTTCGCCTGTCACATCCTCGTCAGACTCCGTTTCCCTTCTAGTCTTTAGAGATTACGCCGCCATCTTATCAAACGACCACATTGTGAAATTCCTTAACCTATCGAAAACCTGTAGAATTTCCTCACTTCGCATTGGCGCTTCGGCATTCATCAGTAGTACTAGTGGCAACAGATCAGCCATGCTAGCGCTACGGCGTCTTATTGCGACACGTGGCAGCTCGGCAGCAGCCGTAGTAGTCTCGAAGCATCTGAGAGAAGCGTGTCGCGAATTCAGAAATGGGAGCGACGCGTTCTGGCAAGACATAGCGAGTCGATCCAAGGACACTGGTGAGTGGCGGCGCGTTATGGATTTACCCGTTGACTGAAGTCCGTCGAGGGCTCGAGGAACGAAGCGAACAGGGTGATAGCAGCGTTCATCTTGGCGGTTACCGAGGGATGAAGCGGGAAGGCTTGTTAGGGGGATGACGCAGACGAGAAGGGGTGGCTGCTTGAAGTAATCACCGTGACAGTAGATTAACGGTATGGGTGTTACGTTGTCTGCGTCGTGATCCCTTGACTCTGAAAATGTAGCGCCCTCCCCCTCCCCTCCCCGCTTCCCCAGCATCCACCCATGCCATCCGCAGACGTGCCCCCCGAGCGGCACTTGGTGGTGACGGCGTCGGGGCCGAACAGGCTGGGCATCGTGTCGACGCTGGCGAAGCGGGAGGGGAGAAGCATGGTTGGTGATATCTCACCTCATCCACACCCCCTCACCCCCTTTCCCCCCCCCGCCCCTCCCCCTCCCCCTCCCCTTCCCCCTCATCCAGCCGCGTCCCCTGACCGGCACTTGGTGGTGACGGCGTCGGGCCCAGACCGGCTGGGCATCGTGTCGACGCTGGCGAAGCGGATCCTCGAGTGCGGCGGCAACGTGGAGGAGAGCCGCATGGCGCGGCTGGCGGGGGACTTCTCCATCATCATGCTCATCCGCGTGGATGCCACGTGAGTGTGCTGAGTGCGCCGAGCATGCTGATTGCACTGAGTGTCTTGTGTGCCGGGTTTCACTCTGGACTGCGGTAGAACGTGGAGGAGAGCCGCATGGCGCGGCTGGCGGGCGACTTTTCCATCATCATGCTCATCCGCGTCGACGCCACGTGAGTGCCTTGCGTGTCAGGTTTCGCCCTAGAGAGAAAGAGAACGTGAAGGGAAGTCCGTTTCCATCATTAAAAGCTTATCTCACTCCATATAAGGACGCATCGTCACCCCATGTGCCCACTCTCTCTCGTCCACCCACTCATCGTCACCCCGTCGCCTGTCTGGCCTCCCTCCCACTTTCTCGAATCGGTATTTCGAATCGACCAAAAATCCTCTCCGTGCCTGCGCTTCATTCCGCTCTTTCTCAGGTCGCCCCGGATAGCGGAGGACCTTCGGCTCAAGCTGCTGGAAGTGTGATGATTTTTTCATGCACCTAAAAAATCTGTCGCCCGCCTGCCCTCCTTTCCACTCCCTCAGGTCGCCCCGGATAGCGGAGGACCTTCGGCTCAAGCTGCTGGAAGTGCGATGATTTTGTACGCAGCTAAAAAAACTTTCTCCCGCCTGCCCTCCCTTCCACTCCCTCAGATCGCCACGGATAGCGGAGGACCTTCGGCTCAAGCTGCTGGAAGTGCAGGGGCTGCAGGTGAGAGGGAGGGGGAGAGGGAAGGGGAAGGGTGCAGGTGAAAGGGAGGGGTGGGCAGGGGTGCTGGTGAATAGTGTAACGAACCAAACCTGCTAGTATCCTGCCCAGCTGAACCTCAATCCACACAATCACAGTCACACCCACACCCACACCCACACCCACACCCACACCCACACCCACACCCACACCCACACCCACACCCACACCCACACCCACACACACACCCACACCCACACCCACATTGAACTTTATCCCACGTGTGCAGGTGGGCACGCGGTGTGGATGGTGGACGAGCAGACCATGTGAGAGGTGGTTGACAATGTGCGTACTCACATCCATATTTACCCTGCCACACCCACTCAATCCTACCCATACCCACTCAATCCTAAACAAACCCACCCTCCTGTGCAGGTGAGCACGCGGTGGACGGTGGACGAGCGCAGTGACGAGACGGCACCCAAGCGCAAGTTCCGGCGGCTGGTGCTGCGAGGGGCGGACAATCCAGGGCTCGTGTACAACGTGACTGAGTACCTTTCGTCCAAAAACATCAACATCGAGAATCTGGAAACATTCACAGAGGAGGTGAGAGAAGGTCTTGTGTTGCTCTTGTGGGTGCTGCTGGTGCTGTGCTGCGATAAGGCTCGTTTGTACACCGTCACAAGGACCTTGTCTTCCAACAACAACTTTTGAGACGTCTCAAAAGTCGTTTGTACACCGTCACGAGGTCCTTGTCGTCCAACAACATCATTGTCGAGAACTTGAAGAAATTCACAGAGGAGGTAAGAGATTACTGGAGTGGGGGGGGGGGGGCACAAGGGAAGTGGGGATGTGATGTGTGGCTGGAGAGGGTGAGGGGGTTGTTTGGTACCATCACGTGCTCGCAGGCCCATCCGCCTGCTTCTCTTCTCACCGTGTGCGACCCGTGCCATGCTCTCTGCTATTCATCCTGCCATTCCCTCTGCCTCTCCTCTTTCCATTCCCGCATCCAGGCGCCTTTGGAGGCACCATGCTTTTCTTCTGATGGAAAGAGTCATCGCCATGCCCGTCCGCCTTCTTCTCACTGTGTGAAACCCCTGTCTCTCCCCTTCCCATGTCCCATGACCCTCCCCCTGCCATCCCCCATCCAGGCGCCATTCGGAGGCACCATGCTGTTCCTGATGGAGGGAGTCATCGCCATGCCCATCCGCCTGCCTCTTCTTGTGTAGAATACCTGTTATCCCCCCTGCTGTTCCCCTTCCCCTCCAACTTCCAGGCCCCATTCGGAGGCACCATGCTGTTCCTAATGGAGGGAGTCATCGCCATGCCCATGCGCCTGCCCACACGGCAGTTGGAGCGGCAGCTGGACGCATTGGAGCAGTCGCTAGGCGTGCAGATAGAGCTGCTCAATCTGGACCCGAAAGACATGGTGGAGGACTGGAGGTGAGGGAGGGGTGATAGCATGCGTGGGTGAGCGGGACGGCGCGGGCGTGGGTGAGTGGGTGGGTGAGAGGGTTGCATGGCAGGTGGAGCGGCAGCTGGACTCATTGGAGCAGTCACTGGGAGTGCAGATAGAGCTGCTGAATTTGGACCCGAAAGACAATTGTGGAAGACTGGAGGTGCGTTTTGTGTTGACTGCAGGTAGAGCTGCTGAAGCTGGACCCCAACCCAAGGATATGGTGGAGGACCGGAGGTGCGTGTTGGGGTGACAGGGCGTGGGGTTGAGTGAGAGGGTTGTTTGGCAGTTGGAGCGGCAGCTGGACGCACTGCAGCAGTCTCTGGGCGTGCAGATAGAGCTAGCTGCCGAATCTGGACCCTAAAGATATGGTGGAGGACTGGAGGTGCTGAATCTGGACCCCTGTCTTCATTGACGTGATATTTGAGGCGCCTCAAAAATCACTGCAGCAGTCTCTGGGCAGGCAGATAGAGCTGCTGAATCTGGTGTCCTCTCCCCCCGCCCCTTACCTTCTCTCCCCCTCCCAATCGACGTGCAGGGTGTGGCAGCAAACAATGGCACGGAATTGGGGGATACCAAAGCACAGTTTACTTGCAGCAGCTCCTGCTTACCAAGAGCTCTGCTCCCTTCCTCTCCCCTCTCCCCCCCCCCCCCACCCCCACCCCCACCCCCACCCCCCACCTGATCAATCTGCAGGGTGTGGCAGCAAACAATGGCGCGGAATTGGGGGCTACCAAAGTACAGCTCACTAGCAGCAGCCAAACCACCCCCTTTCCACGTCTGAAGGCAAGGCCGCAATCAGGAACAACCCACCCCCCGCTGGCCATAGAGGGATGTATATTGTCCTACACTGCAGTGCCTCAATGCGTGGAGCTAGGAACCTTGTTTGGTTGGAGAATAAGCATATAATGTGCTGCAGTAAGAAGCATACGTATGAGAAGCGTATCCCTCCAGTGGGAAATATATGCAATGAAGTGCAGTTAGTTGGCAGGCGAAACGCGCCCTCGCCCAAGTATTACATAATGCTTTGCATAAGCTAAGCGATAGGAGATTGCATGTGTAGGGTTTTGTTTGTTCAAGCGGGTGTCAGAATCACATGTGCGTTCCTTCATACCCACTGTCCGATTATGCCTATCACGTGTGAGTGTAATATTTCTATGAGCGTGCATTAGAACAGACTTACATACCAGCACGAATCGTCTCACATATTTACAACACACACAAATCGGCTCTCGAATGCGTGAGTGGGGCTCGCCGGAAGACTCTAAATCGATCAACCACCAGACATCTTCTCAAGCTGAAATCGGAGGAAGGGGAAGAGGGCGGAAAAGGCGGGGTCAGGGACTCCTATCAGAGTCCCATCTCTTCCATGTGTTTCCATACGGAGGCGTAGAACGAGGTGGTGGTTGTGTTGGTCGTGACGGTTCTTTTGGTGGTCGTGGTTTCCAATTTTAGATTCGGGGTGGTGGTTGGCTGGGTTGTCGCGACCATTTCGATCGGGGTGGTGGTTGGCTGGGTCGTGGTCGCCATGTCGATCGGGGTGGTGGTTGGGTGGGACACGGTGGGCACGGTCGTGGTCGTGGTTGGGTGGGTCGTGGCGGTGACCGGGGTGGTCTTGACTGTCAATTTCACGGCGGTCGGGGTCGACTCGACGGATTTCTGGAGGTGAGGCACTGACCCCACCCCTAGAATGCGCCGCGTGGCGACGAATCCCTTGGCTGCACAGAAAACAACAGAAGGGCTTAGGTCGAGTAGACTACTAAAGTACCAGAACCTACTATAGTATCAGAATCTACTTTAACGATTCTGCTTCAGATATTAACTACCGAATCTGAACAGGATTCACCATGATACGAGTACGTCACAAACAAGATTCGACGTTAACGTCGGACGGGTTGCGTAGTTGTCACATTCATATTTTACAAAACACGAGGACAAGCAATTTAATGTATTTATATAGCACCAAGTTTTAACTTTCATGTATTAATGAATATAGCAAGTCTAGTTACTTCTTGATTATGAAATAATGTGTTAGTTTATGATTACATTGCTAAACTATGGGTGAATATAGAACAATTGAGTGTCTTTTTTATAAGTAGTTTATACATTTTAGTGAACAACTATGTTTTATATCTTCAATAGTATATTTTGTAACACTATACTATCCGGTTCTTGCTCTAGCAAAAGTGTGGTTCAAATTGAGCTGTTTCCAAATTCACGTGATTATTTGTGTGTTCTCACGTGGCACCAGCGTTTGGTTTTTGTTTTGAGTGCCCAAGTTCTGTGCTGGCTTTCAGATTGCCCCAACGTTTTCGTTTACTGTAGTTTCTTGTTTGGCACTCCCTCCCACCCCGTCATCACTTCTCCTCCCCCACCAGCTGTTGCCTCACCCTCCCACCCACCACTTCATCGCCTCTCCCTCCCACCCACCTTTCCATCGCTACTCCCTCCCACCCCGCCATCCTCTCTCGATTCCAGCCCGCCATCCCCTCTCCCTCCCACTACGCCGAGGCGTCTCCCTCCCTCCCGCCGTCGCCTCTCCGTTCCTCCCGCCGTCGACTCTCCCTCCCTCCCGCCGTCGCCTCTCCCTCCTCCCCGTCGTCGCCTCTCCCTCCTCCCCGCCGTCGCCCATCCCTCCTCCCCGCCGTCGCCTCTTCCTCCTCCCCGCCGTCGCCTCTCCCTCCTCCCCGCCGTCGCCTCTCCCTCCTCCCCGCCGTCGCCCATCCCTCCTCCCCGCCGTCGCCTCTCCCTCCGCCTCACGGTCGCCTTTCCCTCCCATCCGCCGTCGCCGCTCCCCCCCATCCGCCGTCGCCGCTCCATCCTCCCGCCGTCGCCGCTCCCTCCCATCCCGCTGTCGCCTCTCCCTCGCATCCCGCCGCCGACTCTGTCGACAGGTCACGAGCAAGCTGGTGCGCGAGTGGGAGCCGGTGCGCGAGCGCGGGTTTGACTCTGCACCGTGAATTGCAGGTGCGTTTACTGTTAGAATATACATATATATTCTTTATAACTGTCTGTAGTGTAGACTGTAGTGTATCTCACTTGCTGTAGGTGGTGTACCATGTGGCTTTCTCCTTGCTATATCTTGTACCTTGCTCAATAGTGAACTCATCCTTTCTCCAAACTCCTCGCCATGGTTCTCGTTACTCTCAACTTGCTCGTCCTACTCCTAAGCCGTTCTCCTAGCTACTAAGCAATCTCGACATGCTATCAGAGCAGGCTCGTTCCTAGAGCCTTCATTCTTGGGCCCACCGTAAGCTTCCGCTAATGCGCCTCCTTGCTGCCCGTCGCGCGCCCGTGGCGTGCGTCGGTTTTCTGCCCGTCGCGTGCCCGTGGCGCGCGTCGGTTTCTGCCCGTCGCACGCCCCGGGCGTGTGGCGGTTTCTGCCCGTCGCACGCCCCGAGCGCGTGGCGGTTTCTGCCCGTCGCACGCCCCGGGCGTGTGGCGGTTTCTGCCCGTCGCACGCCCCGGGCGTGCGTCGGTTTCTGCCCGTCGCGCGCCCCCAGCACGCGGCGGTGTTCTGCCCGTCGCTCGCCCCCAGCGTGCGACGGTTTTCTGCCCGTCGCGCGGGGGCCCCGCTGCCCTGCTTCCCGTCGTCCCCGCCGCCCGCTTCCTCCTCCCTCTCCTGCTTCGCGTGCAGCAGTTTGGGGGGGGGGGGGGGGGGGGGGAGGGTGTTGGGGGGACGCAGGAGTGGCGGTGGGGGGTGGTTGCACCTCCAGCGCCCCGCTGCTCTGCTTCGTCACCAAGCCAGCAGCCCCCCCCCCTCCGCCTCTCCTTCCCCCCCCTGCTGCTCCTACTGCAGCGGCGGTTTCTGCCCGGCGCCTCGTGCGCCTCTGCCCGGCGCCTCGTGCGCCCTGCCCGCCCGCGCCCGCCCCACCAGATCGCACACCTCGCCCCCCCCCCCCTCCCTTCTATTCCCTCTCCCTACTGCGTGTGCAGCAGTTTGGGGGGAGGGGGAGGGGGTGTAAGGGGGAGGTGCTACTGCCGCTGCCGCTCGCCTTCCCCTCTGTCTCCCTGCTGCGCGTGCAACAGTGGGGGGGGGTGGGTTTGGGGTGGCGGGTGTGAGCACCCAACTGCCGCCGCTCCTCCTCTCTCTCTCACTGCCGCACGTGCCGCTGTAGGGGGGAGGGTGAGGGGGTGGCGGGTTTCTGGCCGCCGTGTGAAGGCTTGAGCAGGGACCACCGTGGGTGGGGAAGGCTTTGAAGGAAGGGTGGGGGGAAGGCGTGAGGTTCCAGGGGGCGGTTGACAAGGGGGGTGAGGTTGAAAGGGGGTGGCTGAAAGGGGGCGTGGAATTAGGGGGTTAGTAAGAGGGGCTCGCCGCGCTAGGCTCCCCCCCACCTCCTCTCCTCCCTCTCTCACCCCGGGGTTCGTAAGAGGGGCTCGCCGCGTGGCTCCCCCCACCTCCTCTCCTCATCCCTCTCTCACCCCCCCTCTTTGTAAAACGGGGGTTCGTAAGAGGGGCTCGCCGCGTGGCTCCCCCCACCTCCTCTCCTCATTCCTCTCCTCTCCCCTCTCTCTCTCTCGTCTCCTCCTCCTCGCATTCCTCTCTGTTGTTTTCCGCTGCGCAGGTTATACCCCTTCAGGGGGTGTTGTGCACAAGGTTCTTCACTACAGGCAGTTAGGGGGTGTGTTAGAATATACATATATATTCTTTATAACTGTCTGTAGTGTAGACTGTAGTGTATCTCACTTGCTGTAGGTGGTGTACCATGTGGCTTTCTCCTTGCTATATCTTGTACCTTGCTCAATAGTGAACTCATCCTTTCTCCAAACTCCTCGCCATGGTTCTCGTTACTCTCAACTTGCTCGTCCTACTCCTAAGCCGTTCTCCTAGCTACTAAGCAATCTCGACATGCTATCAGAGCAGGCTCGTTCCTAGAGCCTTCATTCTTGGGCCCACCGTAAGCTTCCGCCAATGCGCCTCCTTGCTGCCCGTCGCGCGCCCGTGGCGTGCGTCGGTTTTCTGCCCGTCGCGTGCCCGTGGCGCGCGTCGGTTTCTGCCCGTCGCACGCCCCGGGCGTGTGGCGGTTTCTGCCCGTCGCACGCCCCGAGCGCGTGGCGGTTTCTGCCCGTCGCACGCCCCGGGCGTGTGGCGGTTTCTGCCCGTCGCACGCCCCGGGCGTGCGTCGGTTTCTGCCCGTCGCGCGCCCCCAGCACGCGGCGGTGTTCTGCCCGTCGCTCGCCCCCAGCGTGCGACGGTTTTCTGCCCGTCGCGCGGGGGCCCCGCTGCCCTGCTTCCCGTCGTCCCCGCCGCCCGCTTCCTCCTCCCTCTCCTGCTTCGCGTGCAGCAGTTTGGGGGGGGGGGGGGGGGGGGGGGAGGGTGTTGGGGGGACGCAGGAGTGGCGGTGGGGGGTGGTTGCACCTCCAGCGCCCCGCTGCTCTGCTTCGTCACCAAGCCAGCAGCCCCCCCCCCTCCGCCTCTCCTTCCCCCCCCTGCTGCTCCTACTGCAGCGGCGGTTTCTGCCCGGCGCCTCGTGCGCCTCTGCCCGGCGCCTCGTGCGCCCTGCCCGCCCGCGCCCGCCCCACCAGATCGCACACCTCGCCCCCCCCCCCCTCCCTTCTATTCCCTCTCCCTACTGCGTGTGCAGCAGTTTGGGGGGAGGGGGAGGGGGTGTAAGGGGGAGGTGCTACTGCCGCTGCCGCTCGCCTTCCCCTCTGTCTCCCTGCTGCGCGTGCAACAGTGGGGGGGGGTGGGTTTGGGGTGGCGGGTGTGAGCACCCAACTGCCGCCGCTCCTCCTCTCTCTCTCACTGCCGCACGTGCCGCTGTAGGGGGGAGGGTGAGGGGGTGGCGGGTTTCTGGCCGCCGCGTGAAGGCTTGAGCAGGGACCACCGTGGGTGGGGAAGGCTTTGAAGGAAGGGTGGGGGGAAGGCGTGAGGTTCCAGGGGGCGGTTGACAAGGGGGGTGAGGTTGAAGGGGGGTGGCTGAAAGGGGGCGTGGAATTAGGGGGTTAGTAAGAGGGGCTCGCCGCGCTAGGCTCCCCCCCACCTCCTCTCCTCCCTCTCTCACCCCCCCCCCCCCCCCCTTTGTAAAACGGGGGTTCGTAAGAGGGGCTCGCCGCGTGGCTCCCCCCACCTCCTCTCCTCATCCCTCTCTCACCACCCCTCTTTGTAAAACGGGGGTTCGTAAGAGGGGCTCGCCGCGTGGCTCCCCCCACCTCCTCTCCTCATTCCTCTCCTCTCCCCTCTCTCTCTCTCGTCTCCTCCTCCTCGCATTCCTCTCTGTTGTCTTCCGCTGCGCAGGTTATACCCCTTCAGGGGGTGTTGTGCACAAGGTTCTTCACTACAGGCAGTTAGGGGGTGTGTTAGAATATACTTATATATTCTTTATAACTGTCTGTAGTGTAGACTGTAGTGTATCTCACTTGCTGTAGGTGGTGTACCATGTGGCTTTCTCCTTGCTATATCTTGTACCTTGCTCAATAGTGAACTCATCCTTTCTCCAAACTCCTTGCCATGGTTCTCGTTACTCTCAACTTGCTCGTCCTACTCCTAAGCCGTTCTCCTAGCTACTAAGCAATCTCGACATTTACCTTTCCCTGTCCTTTTTTCCTCCCTTCCCCCTACTGAAAGGTCCTATATTTCCGATTTTTCCTATCGTATTTGTAGTTTCTGTGTGTTGATTGGTCTCTTGCGTTGCACTACTATTTGAAGAGGGGGGAGAAGGAGCGCGAGGGAGCGAGAGCGCAGGAGAGTGCGCGCGTGAGAGCTAAGGAATCACTAGAGGGAGAGGCGCGAGAGAGAGCGCCGTGCGCGCTTGCGCCGTCGGCGCGGGCCCTATTGGCGCTTGTGCCTAGCCGCTTGCGCTTAGGGCGCTGGGGCCGTGGGCGCAAGCGCCGTGGTTGCTGGCGCCTAAGGCGCTTGCGCTTATGGCGCAGACGCCTTGGCCGCTTGCGCCTAAGGCTCTTGCGCCATGGGCGCTGGCGCATAAGGTGCTTGCGCTTAGGGCGCTGGCGCCGTGGGCGCTTGCGCCGTTGGCGCGGGCTCCGTGGGTTCTAGCACCTAACGCGCTTGCGCTTAGGGCGCGAGCGCCGTGGGTGCTGCCCCATGAGGCGCTGGCGCTGTGGGCGCTTGCGCCGGGGGCTCTGGCGCCTTGGGCGCGAGCGCCGTTTGTGCTGGCGCCTAAGGCGCTGGTGCAGTGGGCGCGGGCGCCGTGGGCGCTTGCACTTGCTGGCGGCTTGGGCACGGGCGACGTGAGGGCGAGACTTGGATGTGCACGTGCACTTGCGGGTGAGTGCGGTTGTGCAGGCAAGGGCAAGTGCGAGAATCAGTACGAGAGTGTGTGAGGGTGAGAGGGCGGTATCCGGGTGCGAAAGCGGGTGTGACTGCGAGTGTGAGTAGTACACGCATATACTTGTAGGTAAGTGCGAGGGTGCGTGCAAGTGCGTGTATGCGGGTGAATATGAGAGGAAGTACGAGGTTGCGTGTTTAGGTGAGTGCGAGGGTGAGAACGAGAGCAAGAGTTGGAGCAAGTGCGAGAGTGAATGTGAGTGTGAATATGATGGTGTAGGGTTTGGGGTGAGTGTGAGCTCGAGTGTGAGGGTAGTTCAAGGGTGAGTGCGAGGATGAGTAGGTGTGCGTGTGAGTGCAAGGCTGAGAGCGAGACTGCGTGCAAGTGTGTGTCTTAAGGTGAATGCGAGAGCCAGTGCGAGTGTGAGTGCAAGGGTGCGTGTGAGTGTCCTTGCGTGCGCGTGTAAGTATTTGTGTTAGTATGATTGGAATGAGAACGATCATGAGTGCGAGGGTAAGTGTCAGAGTGCGTGTAGGTTTGTATGTGTCTTTCTGTGAGTGTGTCTAAGAAAGTTGAGAGTATGTGTGCGTGTGTGAGTGGGTGCGGGATTGAGTACAAGATTGAGTGCGAGCGTGAGTGTGAAGTTGAACTTGAGGGCGGCTTCAAGGTATGGCATCATGCTGTGTAGTATCTGTGGTGCCACGACTAATACCAATTTACCTCTGTGAGCTGTCAAATCGATTGCTCATCTTTTTCGATTGTGCTTATTTTGTCTCTAGTGTGTGAGCTACATTCTCTGCTATTGTCTTCTTGTGCAATGCTATGAGGTGTACTTTCTTTGTTTTTGCTTTCTTATGCAGTGTAGGTGAGTTGTTTCCTACTTGGCCTCCTCGCAGGGCACATGAGTTGCATCCTCTGTTTTTGCTTTCTTGTGCAGGGCGTGTTGCGTTCTCTGTTTTTACTTTGTGCAGGGCGCGTGAGCTGCATTCTTTGATTATGTTTGGCGGAGAACGGAGGGAGGCAATGGGAGGGAGGGAGGGTGGGAGGGTGGGAGGGAGGGAGGGAGGGAGGGAGGGAGGGAGGGAGGGAGGGAGGGAGGGAGGGAGGGAGGGAGGGAGGGAGGGAGGGGGGTAGGGAGGGTAAGGGTTGATTGGCTAGTGATGATTTTCTAATAGCTGAATTTCATGATGGTTGTGTGTAGACTATCCGTATGTATCTGTGCTTGTTTGTGTGCGTGTTAGTGTGTATGTGTGTGTGAGCCTGTGTGAGATATGTATGTGCACTCGTGTTGTTTGTATCGTTTGTGTCCGTCTCAAGGCGTGTGCTGAAGTGCCTCGTGTATGCAACACAGGTTGTGATCGCCGGTGGGGCAATAGCCTTAGCGTGCCAGACCAATCTTTGTTGCATCATCGATGCATTTTAGCATTCTCCCCAAGACACTCGTACCGGTACCGTAATTGTTATGTGTGGTCGTCTTTGTTGTACCAGTACAATGTCACGTGTGCTCATTCTTGTTTGTTGTAAGGTGTCATGTTAAAGTGTGTCGGGTCTGCAATTGAGGTGGGGATCGTTGTTGGGGCAGCGTTGCTCGCCTTAGCATACCGGATCCATCGCTATTGTAGCACCAATGCATTTTACCATTCACTTTATGACATTTGTAGTTGTTGAGTGTTGTCGTTTTTGCACATGTTCAATGGATGCAAATATTGTTATTTGCATCTACGTCGAATTTGTTGTCTAGACAATTGTGTTTGACGTAAAACATGCTAGGCAACCAATTGTTTCCATTCGCCGTATTTATCGACGATAATGGAATAATTGGTCCCATTTGGTTTCACCTTTTTTGGAGTCTCTTGTGTATCAGTGTGTCATCTCCACACATTTAAAGCACTCGTTCTCAAAACGTTAAAGCTGGTGCTTCAGATTTTGGGAAAATGGCAAAAAATGCACTGTTCACATGAGTTCCCCGAAAATCGGAAAAACCAAATGTAAAGGGTTGCTACGCAACCCAAAAAGAGAACGCCCAAATGCCTTCAACATCAGGCGTTTCCAACAACCATGCGCGGAAGCGAAGGCCCTAGGACTGCTTCGCGAATCACCTAGCATTCATTTCGGGAAGAGGAGTTCCGATGCATTGTCATTGTGTTCACCACCAATGCATCCCCTTCCACATTGTGTCCCCCCTAGGACTGTGCACCACTCACAGCGGGCCCTGAGGTGTTAGCCGTACAAACTTATTTGCTGTTGTATATAATTGTCTCAGAGTGTATTTTGCATCAACTACTACACCAGCAACTTTAAACAGAAAGTACCATCAAATAACAGAAAATAAGGAGTGAAAATACCAGCATTACAGCACCAGAGGTCAGAGAGAGATGCTACATGCCACAAACTACAGGGTTCAGGGGGTCGCAGATATAATACACATGCGTCAAACTACATCTCCGCCTTTAAGATCCATAAAGTACTCGCGTAGGATGTGCGGGTCCCTAACACTATCCATCTCCGTGCGCACCTCGGCCTCGTGCCACCCCCATTGAGCGTCTGAGAGGCCTCAACGCATCTCTTCGCGGCAACGATTCGCCCACTTGTTCAGGTACCAGAGTCCAGGAGTCACAAACGACTCCACCATGTGCACGGTCCTCTGCACGGCTATGACCGGCACAAAGTCATAGCTTAGCTCGTCGTCGGACGGGCGCATCCTCATGCACCCCGTGCACTCGTCCACCTGTGAGGGGTACCACTGCCTCACAAATGCCACCTCCTCTCCCGCGGGGTCAGCGTCCTCGCTGTTCTTCGTCAGCGTCAGAAGGAGGTGCACGCGGCCATGCACCGTCTCCCCGCTCCCGTTCTCATACTCAATGAATGAGAACGCAGGTACGCCATAGTGCGAGGCGGATGCTCGGGCGTAGTGGGGCCTGATCAGGGTGTAGTCCATCTCGCGGGCGGGGAGGGCGAGTGCGGTGTGGACCTGCATGGACAACGGGTTAACAGGTGGACAGCAAGAGGCAGCACGAGGGCAAGGCCGTGGTAACATGCGGGGGAAATGACCGGTATTAGGGCAGAAAGAGGCAGAGCATGAAATCCAATGGGCCTAGGGACTAATCTGCACACGAGCACCGGTGGGTTGCATGTCAACAAGGGCAGATTCAAGATACGACATAGACACGTCAGAGATAGCGAGTTTACCACCCCGGGCATGCAGAAGCGTTGGGGACAGCACTGGTATTGCACTTGGGGAACCGGCATGGCAGGGTTGGGTGGAGAGTATGGCTTCATGGACATGTTCTATGTAGAGAAAGCTCCAGCAAACTGCTGGCCTTACCCATGCTGGGAAAGCGATGTAGCCGTAGAGTCTTGCCAGGTAAGCGTAGGGCCCGATGCCTCCAGGGATCGCGGCGTCGTATGTCGCATACAGGTCCAGTGGCGCCTGCTCCCTGTCACAGATCGCGCTGTACATCCTGGAGCGCTGGCGGCACAGCTGGGGCACACCAGCAGCTATGGCCTGGCACATGCCACAGGAGGGGTATCAAGGCAAGTGGTTGGAGGTTACATATGTACGCATGTTACAATGAAACCTACTGCATCCCATGCCATTGACAGCCATTGCCAACCATAATAACAACACCACGTGGAGAACAGATGGCTAGCAGTACATACCCGGCGCAACGCCGTGTTGTACTGCCGATCTCCCTCGAGGTTGGTAGGGAGGCGGGTCATAAGCGCCTGAATGGTGTTGTGCTGTGCGATCACCCGCCGCAGGTCCCGGTGGTTGGATGCCCGATACGGCCTCTTGCAGGTGCGGATGTGCGCGTTCTCGTAAACTGCAGCAGAGTACTCTCGGGGAAGCCCCCCCCGTCGAATCGCCTCCGTAAGGTGGAGCAGCAGGTGGACCTTCACTAAGTTCCACCCAGAGTGATCGCGTGGGAAGGTGCTCTCCACTAGCTGCACCATCCTGCAAGGAAGGAGGCCGTGGGTAAAATGTTATTATCGTTGCCATCTACAACGGATGGAACAGAGACCAATCACATGGGCAATCATGCGCACATCCCACCAGCCACCCACCAGGTCAGAAGCTTACCTTCGTGTGGCAGTGTCGAACGCGCTCAGGCTCTCGTCTGTGTGCTCCGATGCCCGCACATAAGTCTCATGCCAGTCCAGAAACGCGACGATAGTGCGGCTGCTGATGACCGAAACCTCGCCCTCCAGTACAAAGGGCACGATCTGCCACGTTCCAGACAGGCATGGAGCATAGGTGACACGGATGAGGTGGGATTACGTGCAGTACGAGGGTGTGGTCAGACACCCCACACCCGCGTGGCTGTTCATACGCACCATCATGACACCGGCGTGCTCTGACGCCGTGAAGTTCGCACCAGAGACCCAATATGCAGCATCAGTTGGAGTGATCAGCCCCGCCTGCCTGGCCTCTGGGTGTAGTGCATTCTGGCGCCTGCAGAATTGGAACGACACGAGAATATTAACATACCGCCCCGGGATTCAGAGCGTACCACAAGTAAGCAGGGGTCTCGGGTCGAGAACACGGGGCAGGCACGTGCAAGGTGGCTAGTCATAAACCGCCGCATGATATGGGTGTTACGTACCCGTCAAGAGTGGCGGCGCGTCCATCGGGTCCGCGCAGTGCAGCGCGGAGGTACAGCCAGAAGCCCATGTAGATAATGTGCAGGATGTCAGGCATCTGCGACAGGTACGTGTTGCCCCATAGAGTCCGGGAGAAATTCCACTCCCAAAGAAACGACTGCATCAAGGGGGAAAAAGAGGGAGGTTGATTACAGATAGGGGCGCAAGTGAGGATGATGGCAGGTGCGTATGAGCGCAAGTGCTGCTGAGCTCAAGTGTGTATGATGTACAAGTGCACCAAGTGGAGGGTGGTGACCGTACCAGGGGCTTTCCGAGTCAAGCGCCGACAAAGACAACCGCATACAGAGGCCCGTGCGAATAGAGGGGTATGCGCAGCAACATGCGGAAAGAGGCAAGCTATGACATAAACATTGGAACAGCTATGCGAGTGCGGACATGGAGGTGTGCAGAGAGAGGCAACTTTGACGGTCCCAACTGCTCGTGCCTATGGGTGGAACGGTGGGAATAATGGTCCGCGCAGACACAGCTTTGTGCATTCAGAGGCAATAGCAGTCAGAAACAAGCGCGTACACGCTGGTCTTACTGCAGGATAGTGCGTAGCTAGATGTGCGGACGGTGTGAAGACATCCTGAGATGCACCTACCGGGATACAGAGAGTGGAGTACGTTCTTGCGAGCCGCGGGCTGTGAAGCAGAGAGGACTGCTGATCCACAGAGCGAGGCTCCGATGGTCCCGCCGTCATGTTCCTAAGCTGCCCCCGATCCACATAGCACAGGGAGCACGGCATAGCACTGCCATGCTGCTGAGTGCAGGAGACCTTGCAGGTCTCTGGGAAGTCCGCCACGTAGGAAAAGAGAATGGGCCAGATGACCCGGTTGACCCCCCATGGATCGCGCGCCGCTATCCCTCTGTGATGAGAGCAGCACAGAGTTATACACGGTGTTGGCTTAGCACGAGCGGTCGGTGAGCCAGTGCTGGAATCGGCACTTGCAATGAAACGAGCAGGTTGATGAGGCCAGGCTAGTGCGGGCAGATGCAAGTAACGGCATAGTCGGCTGCCGCAATAGGGACGTCCGGACTGTGGAAAGTATGGACACATACAGGTAACACCGTGGCCTGAGGACAGGTAAGGACATGGGGTTTGGACTGACCAAAAGCAGACAGTACACTGCGGAAAGAAGCACGTCTCAACGGTAAGGGATGCGGACACCAGGAGCATAACTATGAAGGAAGGATGCAGGTGCGGGCACAAAGAAAAAAGTATGGGTCGACCTAGGCGCATGCAGAGACAGGTAAGGGCTTTGGCAGGTCAGGGAATAGATACGTAAGAGCATCGGGAGGTAAGGGCAGAGGCCGGCGTAACACACTTCAGTGCGGGCGGAAGGCTACAGATGCACTCACGTGTGTGATGCGACAATCAGGTCTGCCAGAACTATCTGCATCGCGGCTTGGAATAGCTGCACCTTCTGCTCGGCCGTCATTCCCTGGATAGGCATCGGGAGTAAGGCCAGCAGGATCTTGCCAGAATCCCCCCAACGGAGGCGGAGGTGGATGTTCGCGAGACTCAGGTACACCGCCCACACCTTCACACGCTCGTTCCCGCTGAGAATCGTGGCGTCGCTTGAAATGATGATGGGGGCCACCACCTGGCCCTCGCCATGGAGCGCATCTAGGGCAGCCTGCAGTGGGAACATCAGGCCGGAGAAGAGCAAACATCACATGTTGGCGCAGCTGAGCCCGCAACCGAGCAGGCATATCAAGTGCAAACGTACGTTTGGCAGAGCCAATCACAACGACTCGGCGCGGAGTACTCATACGGAAGACACTACATAACATCAGATGCGGAGCTTACCAGCCGCGGCGTACGATGCTGAGGTCAGGAGCAGCACCAGCAGAAGCACCGGCAGTACCGTCCTGGTGGCACCACACTGCTTTGTCCGAGCCATAAGTGGCAAAGGAATTCAATCCCTTCTCGCAAAACTAGTAAGCGTGGGAGGGGAATAACCGGTGTGAACAGGAGCAGACGGAGTATGAGAATGTGAACGACTACTTATGAGAATGCGAGGTGGGTGAGACACGTGCGAATAAAATAAAGTATCCGACGCTTCACACCTATAACTCCAGGATAGGAAGTTTTTTTTCGCAATCCTGTCATATATAGGAGTGGGATTGCATGGGTCTCCCATGAGATCATTGCACGAAGAATTGAGGCTTCCAGCAGTTAGCTGGAAGCTTGCCAGGTGACGCTCGATTTTGTGGGTCCCGCGCTTCTGCTTGCAATACGGGGAGGTAATTATTGGGCAACAGAACCGACCTGCTGTCAACTTGGGGTTAGCCGAAACCAACCTGCGAGGCGACTGCAGTGTAATATTCACGCATCGCATGTCAGTTGGGGCGAGCAGTTCGAGATCGTTACCATCTGACCCAAAAACTACACCCTCGCACATGCGAGACTGGATCAGTTGCGCTATAACCACACGCGTAACAAAATTTCATAAATGTGTTACCGAAAATACAAAACTGCGGAAGTTAAAAACAAATATGATAATTGTTCGTAGTTATTGGTGACTGAACGGAAAGGTGATAATGGGAACCGAATATAATCAAAATACATGTCAAGAATAGAACTATGAATGGATGAGTGAACTAGGCAAAAAGTGAGTACAAGTAGGGGAAACCTAACCCTGAAGTGTTGTACTCACTAAGGAGTGACCCTACTGTAGCCTAGAGATACAAATGTAATTTGACACACCCCCATAGGCAAAGTAGGGAACAGCAAACACAACAAGCGGTCACAAGACCAGTCTGCAGAAGAGAACACAGCTCAGGGTGGATCACAAAGTCACCACGCATTCTGAGCACACGCAAGTGGCCACAAGGCCAGTTCACATGCAGAGGTATATAATAGCAAGGCAGTACACTGATCACAACCTAGCAAGAGAAAACATGCAGGGATAAGATATATAGCAGTGTACAACAAGAGCAAGTCAAGCAACCAGCAGGTGAGGCAGAGTGGGCACAAGCTCAAGAGCAGTGCAGAAACGGTGATGATCACCAGACCCAAGGGCCTTGGTGAAGACATCAGCAGTGTTGGCCCGAGAGGCCACGAAAGCAAGGCGCAGCTGACCACGCTGCTGCAGCTCACGTGCAAGAAAGTAGCGAAGAGCAATGTGCTTCGTTCGGTGCTCCAGTCTCTGCTCGCGACACAAGGCAAGCATTGCCTTGTTGTCGACGTACAGAACTGGAGGAGAACGAGGCCGCTCCCCCAAGTCGGTCAGCAGGTAGGTCAGCCAGCGTAGCTCCTGTGCAGCCATGACCCCAGCGTAGATCTCGGCCTCACAGCTGGAACCAAGCACAGAAGAAGAACGAGTGGACCTCCACGAGACAGAACCAGAGCCAAGACTGAAGGTGTAACCCTGTGATGAACGCTGAGTCGTCTGGTCGTCGGCCCAAGAAGCGTCAGAGTGTCCTGTGAGGACCACCGAACCCCGTCCTCCAAGCACGAGCCCCATGCCCGATGTGCTGCACAAGTAACGCAGTACCCTCTTCGCAGCATCAAAGTGCACCTTTCGGTGTCTACCAGGTGCCACGTAGCGAGCCAGGAGGCTGAGAGGGTACGCGAGGTCAGGTCGTGTGCACGTCATCAGGTACATGAGGCAACCCACAAGCTCTGGGTACGGACCACTCGGCTCTACGGACTCGTCCGAAGGTGGAGCTGAGAGCGAATGGCCGGTAGACAGAGGAGTGGGCTGTGGCGAGGACCACGTGAAGCGGAAGCGCTGAAGGACCTGCTGCACCATGTGTGACTGAGTCAGGGTGATGGTGCGCCGTGCTCTGTCCCGGGTGATCTGCAAGCCAAGATAGCTCCGCAGCTCACCCAGGTCAGTGCAGGTGTGTCTCTCCTGCAGCTCCGCCTTCACTAGGGCCAGTGCCTCAGTGTCAGCAGTAGCAAAAACCAAGTCGTCGACGTACACGAGGATGTAGAACGGCGGCAAAGTAGTGTCGGTGCGTAGAAACAGCGACGGGTCAGCAATCGAAGGAGCAAACCCAAGAGCCGCAAGTGTCGCCCTCAGTGTGTCGTGCCACTCACGGGGCGCCTGACGCAGGCCGTACACTGGTCGCCGTAGGCTCCACTGGGTACCCTCACGAAACGACCCAGTGAAGCCCTGTGGACGGCGCAACCAGATGGCCTCGTGAAGGCTACCCTGCAAGAAAGCTGTCGAGAAGTCGAGGGAGTGCAGCTCGTAGTCATGCTGAGCTGCAACGTGTAGCAGCACCCGAAGAGTTGTCATCTTCGGGGTGGGGGAGAAGGTCTGAAAGAAGTCGACCCCCTCACGCTGACTGAAGCCTCGAGCAACGTAACGTGCCTTGAAGGCAGGCGGAGAACCCGGCGGCCGCTTCACCCTGAAAATCCACATGCCACTGACGATGTTCGCCCCAGGTGGGGGAACCTCGTCGACGTAGGTGCATGTGGACTTCCAGGAAGCCATCTCTGCGTCCATGGCTGTCTGCCACTGAGAGGAGTACTCACCCGAAATCGCCTCCCTGTAGGAGCGCGGGGTGGGGATGTCAAGTGCATCCGGGTCTCCCTCAGGGGCAAGCAGCATGGTCGCATGATGGGGTGAAGCGGCAGCAAGGCACTCCAGCTCCTCCTGTCTGTCCTCAAGAACGTCACAGCCAAGGGCAGTACAGCCAAGAGCAGTCTCACCCCCGACGGACGGAGGACAGGCAGGGACAGGGTCAGAGACAAGACTCGCAAGGTAGTCTAGGCGGTACACAGCAGCAAAGTCAACGAGCTCAGCTACGAGGGCAGACGCAGCAGGAGACGAGAACGTAGGGTCCGTCACAACCGTAGCAAGAAGGCGAGTAACAGTCGGACTGGACGCACGAGCAAGGTCAGACGGAGGGTCAGCAACGTCAGGCAGAGAGGACGCAGGAGGTAACGGTAGGACAACACGCTGAGGAACAGAGGAAGGACGGAGTGTCATATCGTGAGTGCCGGGGACAGCCGGAGCACGCGGACGACGAACACGAGGAACACGAGCACGGACAGCAGCTCTAGGCTCAGGCTCAAGGTCAAAGCTAGACTCAGGCTCTCGACGCTCAGGGGTGGACGCACGAGTCTCAGGCTCTCGACGCTCAGTCAGGGACTCTGACACCGCAGTGTAAGGAGCAGGAGCAGGCAGTGGGGAGTGCGGTAGCAGCGGCGGCTGTGACTGGTCCGCCGGTGGAAACAGTAACTGAGGAGTAGTACCTGCCACAGGAAAGTCAGTAGCACCTGGCGGAAGACTGAGAAGGTGGCGAAGAGCACCAGTAGCTCCCGTACCTCCAGCACGAGCAGCTCCTCCAGTACCCCCAGCAACACCTCCAACACCAGTAGCACCAGAACCTCCAGCACCACGAGCTCCGACATCGCCAGCACCTTGAGCACCAGTAGCACCTCCAGCACCTCCAGTGCCTCCAGCTCCAGCTCCAGCGCCTCCAGCACCAGTAGTACCTCCAGTACCTCCTGTGCCAGCAGCTCCAATAGCACCTCCTGCACCTCCAGCACCAGCAGTACCACCTGCTCCGGCAGCTCCAGCACCTCCAGTACGAGCACCTCCGGGACCAGTAGCTCCAGCACCTCCAGGACCTCCAGCGCCAACGCCTCCAGCACCAGCAGCACCAGCACCTCCAGTGCCAGTAGCTCCAGCACCTCCAGTAACAGTAGTACCTCCAGCACCAGCAGCTCCAGTACCTCCAGCTCCAGTACCTCCAGCACCGGCAGCACCTCCAGTACTAGCAGCTCCAGTACCTCCAGCACCAGCAGCAGCTCCAGTACCCCCAGCACCAGCAGCTCCAGTACCTCCTGCACCAGCAGCACCTCTAGTACCTCCAGTAGTACCTCCAGCACCTCCAGCACCAGCAGCACCTCCTGGACTAGTAGCTCCAGCACCAGCAGGACCGTACCCTCCACCACCAGGACTGCCTCGCAGAACGACCCACGCACGAATCGCCTGCGGCGAGAGTGTCTCAAGTAGAGCAGGCTGCGGTGGCTGTCCAGCTCCAGTACCTCCAGTAGTGGTAGCTCTAGCACCTCCAGCACCAGAAGCACCTCTAGTACCTCCAGCTCCAGCACCTCCAGCACCAGCAGCAGCTCCAGTACCTCCAGCACCAGTAGTACCTCTAGTACCTTCAGTAGGACCTCCAGGCCTAGTAGCTCCAGTACCTCCAGCTCCAGAACCTCCAGAAGGACTCGCAGCACCCCCAGAGTCAGCACCCGAAGTCTCAGCACCCCCAGAGTCAGCACCCTCAGGCTCAGCACCCTCAGTCCCAGCACCCTCAGTCTCAGCACCCTTAGTCTCAGCACCCTCAGTCCCAGCAGAGGCGGCGAAGACGGCAGAGGTGGGAACCCGGGGGGGTAGCCAGACGAGGAGAGCGGGCACCCCCAGACTCACCACCCCCAGTTCCAACTCCAGTAGTCTCAGCTCCATAGTCCACAGCAGCAGGCTGCGGAGGCGGCGAAGACGGCCGCGGCGGGAAACCCGGGGGGGTCGCCAAGCGAGGAGTGCGGCGAGTGGTCGCCGTGTCGTCGGCTACGGCGTCACCCCCCTCAGGTGAATCGGAGGAGTCAGAAGAGATCTCAACTGGCTCATCCAAGGGGGGTGGGTCTACCTGGGACACACCTGAGGGAGCAGGA